AACAGACAATTTACGAGATACGAGACCTACATATCGAATTTCATCGTTGACCACTTGATATAAAACCGCGCCAAGAGCAGTTAAACTAGCATCAGTAGCCAAGTGAAATCGAATCGAAAAATCAGGAGGTGACAGCACAAGTGCCATCGTAAGTGCATCCTTCAAGTCGGCAATCGCTTTTGTATGAGACTCATTCCAAACATCTGTTAGATCTTTGTACTGTTTCAAGCTATCAAGATCTCGAGTCAGACGAGAATAACATGGAATGGCAGCACGAAAGTACGACATTAAACCCAAGAAAGATGCCAATTGACGACCAGTGGTAATAGCCGGCCAATCTGCAATGTTGGTAAGTTTTCTACCGTCAGGCAGTAATTTACCATTAATAACGCTCCATCCCAAGAGATAAATACTACGCTGAGCGAAGACGACTTTCTCAGGATTGAGCACCAAATTAGCATCGGTTAAACGACGAATTACCTCAGCAACCAACGCATAGTGATCTTGTAGGCTCCCATTACTACTGCATAAGATGTCATCCACATAGCAGGAAACCGAGTGATCACCATCAGTAGGAAACGAAGTAGAACTAGAGCTTGTATTCAAATCAGAGAGCAGTGTTTGCAATGTGCGTACAACCACCGATCCGACATGGCGAATTCCATAAGCAGCCTTTTTATGGGTGTATTGGATATTCGTGAAGGGACAAGTAAATGACACTTTATGAGCTTGCTCTGGATCCAAACCAAAGCTAGTAAAGCAAGCATGGATATCGAGACAAGTATGAATCATTTTTGTACCAATGCTCTGATGGATATGAGAGATCAAAGGTAACTGTTGTTTGTCATCCACTTCCAAGATAGCATTCAACTTACGAACGTCACACACCACTCTAGGCTTAGACATTGTGTAATTACCATCAGCGTCCTTTTTCTTTACAACCAACAATGGATGATTGAAACGTGTATGACTAGCAGATCTTTCAACAACACCCTCATCAAGCCATATCTGAATTTGTTTGGCAACAGCATCACGATAAGCTTCAGGCAAAGGATATTGAGCTCGCCAAGCGACAGCACCTGGTTTAGTATCAAGCTTAATAATCGAATCCGGCAGATTACACTGAGTATTCTTCATATCAATGCGCGAATTCTCTTCTAATAACCCCTTTAGTGCAAGTAGAAACGGCTGTCTCTCTTCCTCACTACCAAAAGGATGTGCGTTTGGAGTAATACCATCATCAATAGGGTCTGGTACACGAGGACCTGATTGAAAGCCATGTTGACTCACCAAGCCCGTAAGACCAATGCCAAGCTTGGACAAAATATCCATACCAAGCAACACAGGTACGTTTTCCTCAGAATAGAATGGAAATACTTCAAACAAATGGTTTTTATTTGATTTATTGTAGCTAATGTGCAAACGTACCGCACCTATTCTAGGCACAGTCGTTACTTCATGAGCCATTTGAACAAAGCTCTCATCATCATCATTAGCCTCAAATCCAGCAAGAGAGGTTCCTCCTAAGAATTGAAAGAACTTGTCAGTGACGCACGAAAACGTAGCACCCGTATCCACTAAGCCAAAGCAAATGACATTTTGAACCACAATAGGAACACAAATAGCATTGGTGGTCATAGTAGGTGGAGCACTAAATCTAGCATCGAACTTACATTGCTGAGCAAATATATTTTGTAGCGTATCGTCGTCCACAGACATGCTACTCATCTCTTTTTCAAGAAGAATAGACTGGGCACGATTCACCAGGTCAGTATCCTCAAAGATACCATGAGCTTCACTCATCACAGCATCTTGGTCAACATCAACATTGTCACTATCACCAGAAGAAGGAGCAAGGACAACATCATCCACCGATTGTTCAGCAGAGGAGACAGCAGGGGAAGAAGCACCTTTCTCAGCTAACGCACGATCGACACGAGCAGAGAGAAAAGCAGCTTGGATTGCAGCATCCATCGAATGTTTGCCACCACGTTTCTTAGTCATGGCACGCAAAACTTTTTTACCACCATTGCCCTGATGGGTGTTACCACCACCAGTACGAATAGCAGTGTTGCAGTGATGCATCTGCCCCTTTGGTCGAGGACCGTTACATTTGGAGCAAGTCCCTTCAGCAACATGTTCAGCAAATGTTTTGCCAAAACGATTAGCACTAGAACGTGGAGAGTTGGACGAGGGACCATTGGATCTCGACGAAGAGCTACTTTGAAAAGCGTTTCCACTAGAAGAAGGTGCGTACCGAGACTTCTTTGCTTCGTTCGAAACAGGTATGTCAGCAGCGCGTTTTCTTCCATCAAAAACAGAGCCCAAAGATTCTTGACCCGTCTCAATAGCCATCATATCCATCTTGCGCACGAGAGAGGACACATAATCAATGTCATAAAATGACGATTCTGGTGCCTGACTCATAGCAACCATTAGCAACCTAGCGGTAACCTTGGGGAAAGCGTCAAAAAACACCATCGCTACGACACCCTTATCACTGATGTCAGCTCTATTTCTCAACGTCTTAAACCGCTCTACGAAACCATCAACGGATTCTTCGTTTCCTTTAGTACAACGAAGAAACTCCCTAATTCTTTCGAATCTGAGCTGTTCTTTTGGTGTACCAAAACGACCGATGATAGCTCCCTTCAAGGTAGCCCAAGACACAGTGGAGCCAGATGCTTTCACAAACTCATCAAGCCAATTGCGAAGATCGCCGGGAAGACAAGGAGGAAGCAAACGATACCAGTGTTCGTCAAGATCAAGCGTGCAACTGCTCAACTTATCGGAAAACCGGCGACAACACTCCTCAATGTTGGCAAAAACTTCCTTTTTTTCATCTTTGACACGTCCAAACCATTGAAACAAAGGAAGATCATCAGGTACAGTTGAACTATTAGCCGCACCTTGACTAACCACTGTTACTTGGGAAGGACTCTGGTTAGGTGTGACCATAGAGAGAGCTTTCTCTATAGCCTCCAAGTTAGAGCACTTCTTTGACAGGGCAGCCTTCAAAGCGTCGACCTCTTCGTCCGACTTGTCCCCACTGTTCGCAACTTCAGCGATCAACCCATGAACCTCCTGACGAAGTCGCTCTACAGCTCCTCCGTATGAAAGCTCGCTTCCAACAGCTTGAACATCTGAACTCTTGTTCTGTTCTGCAGGAGATACAGTAGAATCATTCATAGTCATATTTTTGGTTTAAATTAGATAGGTAGGTTAAAATCTGGAAGATTCTGATTTACACGATCTTAAAAAATGTTAAGCACAAAGAATAAAAGGATTATTATTTGTAGCTTATAAAAAATGTTCGATATTATAAAAACAAGAAAAGACTTATTTGAATAAGATCAGACACAAAAACTAAAGATTTATTGATGAAGACAAGAGTTATTCTATTTATACTAAGTTCTGAATGCCAAAGTAGCAATTTATCTTGTACAACGCTTATCACATCTGGTGAACCTCAGTATTTAGATAGCTGAGATGCACTTCACTTATCATAGCTTGTCCATGTTGTTGCACAACATAGACATATCTACCCATCAAGAATACCTTAATCTTTATAGGCAGTTGTAGCCCTTCTGGCACAACAACAAGTCTGTAGTACATAAAGTATCTGTAGCTAGTATCACGGATATAAGCATGTTGTGTCTTATAGCGTGGATCATGAAGTGCACATCTGAAGCAACAAGCTCATATTGCATTAATCTTGGTGCCTATCCAGATATGGTAAACATCCGTAGTCAATGTCGGAATACAAGTATAAGTCTATAGTGCCATCCATGTCCGTGGTGCCATCTATAGCCTATATCTTATATAGTATGAATCTTATAGTACTAGCGTATCTGAAGTCCATATCTTCTTATAGTATAAATCGATATCGTACATCTAATCCAGTGTACATACAGTTTATATCTAAATCTGGTAACTGGATGAACTGTAAGAATGCAGATCATAGTGGATGTATTCCGCAGTATATTCGAATATAGGAAGCATATACGAGTTTAATGTCAAATTGTAATAACAGAAGTAGGATCCAATATAGTAAGCAGTGAAACATAGTTTATTCGGTAGTGTAGGCAATTTATAGCAAAAAGAGAGATTCAGTTACAAAACCAAAGTCGATTTGTAACACTATATTATTATCATGGCATTTGTCAAAAACAAAAAAAAGCATGACAACATATCACGTTATTAGACAGTTTACAAAAAATGAAAGCCCAACGGGGGGGTCGAACCCCCAACCTTGAGATTAAGAGTCTCACGCTCTACCGATTGAGCTAGCTAGGCGAATTGCTTGTTTATGAAGGCAAAAAAAAGTCCATAAGCAAAAAGCTTAGATTTGTATCACGTGATCTGCCTTATTTTTGATATCTGTCCTTTCTGCTTGGAAGCTCTCGTTCTGAGGTCTCAAATATCATATTAATCTTAGCTACTGATAGTGGAGAAGTTGCACTGGTAAAGTAGACTATGTCTTGCACAAGTTTTCTCTTCCTACAGATGTCAAGGTTTAAGATGTAAAAAGAAGGGAGTAGGTGCTTCATGCAATGCAACCAACAATTGATAAAATGGCATTCCCAATACCAAGTCAAGTGAAACATTGACGTATTCCAAGCAAGCAGCTGCTTTCGACAATGGCTCAGTCTAGATTGCCTTGAAATCCAAATGCAAGGCCCATTTGGAATTGCCGAAGCTACTGCCTTTTACCCTTCTTCGGACCGATAATGAAATGCAAAGATATTTGCGACGCAAGCAAGACGATTTTAACTCACATGAGATGATTGAACTGCATATCTGATGCAATTCTAGTGCAACTCATTGTAATTTCTCGAATGGGGAAACACCAAGTTCTGACATCCGCTTACTATGTGTAATGGGCACATCTCATCTTTTCTCTGTTGTAATTTGTTCCCTGGAATTTCATTTGACGCAAACATTAATGTACTTTTTCCTACTCCCTTTCTTTCAATCAATTTCCCCACAAAAACTAAACAATGAATAGCAAAAGACTATTGCAAAACGTCCTCGTTCAATCTGCGCGCTATAGTGTAGCAGCACAAAGACCTATTTTCACTGTTACTAGCAGTGCTGCTGTGCGTTCCAGGTTTGCTTTGAACAGAGGTGCGCTTATTGATATGCCTGTTAGATACGCTTTGGTTCAACAACGTCAATTCAACAGCAATGCAGAGCCTAGTTCGTTTAAAGTTGTTGATTACAACGATATCCAAAAGCTGATTCACAATAGTGATAAGGTATGAGCTTTGTTGATTTGTAAAAAAAAACACTCTGATATTAAGCATGACAATAGAGTTACAGCTTGATTGATGTTCGCGAAGAAAAGGAAGTTGTGCAAGGAGCTATCCCTACCGCCAAGAACGTACCTTTGGTAAGTTAAAGTACTAGTAACATCTGGGCGTATGATCATTGAATGGTATGTTTTTTTTTTTTGCATGGCGTGTAGAGTCAATTTGCATCTGCATGGAGTTTATCAGACAAAGAATTTAAGGAACACTTTGGATTTGAAAAGCCCAAGAAGGATGCAAGTGTCATTCTGTATTGCTTGGGTGGTGTTCGCAGTACGAGAGCAGCTGAACATCTTGCTAGTTTAGGATACGACAAGTAAGTTGATGGTTTGAAACAAGACATTGAGGATCATCTGTTGATACATTTATGATAGCCTTTCAAACTACATAGGAAGTTGGGCCGATTATGTTGAGAAACAAAAGGGAGAACAATAAACAAATCATCCCCTTTCCTTATTCCATAATAAAAATCCCCTGTTGTTGATGTGATTTTACAATGTGTGATTTGATGGGCTATTTCGCGCATGTCCTGTTTACTGATCCCCCTATTTTTGTTTATTATAAATATACCAATTTGATTGTAGTTTTCTCCTTTTTTTCTCTCTCTCTCTTTTTGTCTTTCTGTATACCTTTCTATCTGCTCTACATAATGGGTGTTTGTATATCAAATGAAGAAAGAGCTGAAAAGATACACAGCTTTAGCATCGACAGATCACTAGTAGAGGAGAGCCGGAAATTGGAGAGTGAATTTAAGATCTTGCTGTTAGGTAAATCATTGCAATACAACAGCAATGAAATTGTCAACTAAGCTTTTCTCTCTATTCATTCAAGGTAGTGGCGAATCAGGCAAGTCAACAATCTTTAAACAAATGAAGATTATCCATCAAAACGGATATACAAAAGATGAGCTCATGAATTGGAGAGTGACAGTATACCGCAACCTGATTCAGTCGGCTCAAGCGATTGTCAATGCATTAAATCAATTTGAATATCAACTTCAGTCAGAGAAGGTGGAATACGAAGCTCAGCGTATCATTGAATATCGATTAGAAGAAAACATAGACCCATTATTCATTGATGCTGTCATTGCTGTTTGGAATGACCCTGCAGTTACACTATTGCTGGATAATAAATCAACAGAATTCTACCTTATGGATTCAGCATCATAGTAAGGAGCACCACTGTTGATAATATCCTGTAAAACTAACAGCCATTCTAGTTTCTTTGAGGATATCAAGAGGATTGGCCAGCATAATTACGTGCCAACAGCACAGGATGTACTGAGAGCTAGATCAAAGACGACTGGTATCGTAGAGACAAGATTTATGATCAAAGAGACAAGTATACAGTAAGGATCAAACCATGTGGCTAATGTGATTCAAGCGCTAAACCAAGATTATTAGTATGTTTGATGTAGGAGGACAGCGATCAGAAAGAAAGAAATGGATTCATTGCTTTGAAGCCGTGAAGTCCATCATATTTTGTGTCTCACTATCTGAATATGATCAAGTGCTGCTTGAGGAATCTCGACAGAACCGAATGATGGAGAGTCTCGTGTTGTTTGAATCCGTTGTTAATAGCCGCTGGTTTCTACGAACGACCATCATCTTGTTTCTGAACAAGATTGACGTATTTCGACAAAAGATCAAAAAGATACCCCTGGAAAGATTCTTTCCTGACTATGGAGGAGGAACAGACCTCAACAAAGCAGCCAAATACATCCTATGGCGCTTTAACCAAACCAACCGTGCAAAGCTTAGCATTTATCCACAGTAAGTTTGGCATCATGTGCAAATGATTTTCATGCAAACATGCTAATCACATTGACTTGTTTAGTCTTACACAAGCTACAGATACTTCAAATGTAAGTGCTCTAAACTAGAGAGAGGATGTGAATAGCGACTAATGCATCATGTAGATTGCTCACGTATTCAATGCAATTAAAGACACCATAATACAAAACCATCTGAAAGACTCTGGCATACTATAAACCTGAAAAAAATTATAAATCTACATAAACCCACTCTATATACATACATTTTTTAATCTTTCCTGTATTCCTCCTTTTGAATCCCTTCTCCTTCCACGCTTCCCCTTTCATATATTATATTACTCCTTTCTTAATTTTTATTTTCACACACACGCCCACACACACACACCTCCTTCCTTCCTGTAAACCACTCCAATGTTCCAAATTAAAAACGCTATTCGCTATTTACATACAAATAAAGTCAATTTTTATAGTCAAGTTTAATGATAAAATGTCAAATTCTCTTAAGCAGAGGCAGCGGGAGCAGATGCCTTCTTGGCTTGAGTACCTTCACGGAAACCGTTCTTGAAACGGCGTTGGACATCCTTCAAGTGAGCCATACGGCCAGTACCGGTGGTCTTTCTGCGTTGACCCTTTTCGGACCAGTTGAAAGATCTGATCTTGGCAGCGGGATAACCACATTGAGCACAGGTCTTCTTTTGCTTGTGGAAAGAGCGGTTGCCACAACGACGACATAAGGTGTGAGTCTTGGTGTGACGCTTACCGAACGAACTGGTACCCTTGGACTATGGTAAAGATGGCAGTTTGAGTTTAGTAAAAGCGTCAATATCACAAAGAGAGTATCTTCAACGCTATATGAGATGAATATGCGAATTCTACAGGTTGATGTATGTTGGCGACGAGAAAAATAGCGATGGTGTTATCCGAGCCATATTGCCTGTCGTTCCATGTCGTGGTCATACTGGTATGTGGTGGTTGTTACTTTCAGTAGAACTTGACGGGTGTAGTTTTATTCCAGCGAGTTGCATCCATCACACCTAGTGGCCATCTGGTCATCCATCCATCCATCTCCTCCAGTTGCATGTTCTCTCAATAGCGTTGATGATATCTACAGCAAATGCATCTATACGTTACCATTCTTAAAGATTAGCACGTAGAAGGAGGATCCTTTTAGATGCGCTCCATTGTCCATGATAGACACTCTAGAATCAAAACCTCAAAATGACGGCTATTCAATTTTGCACTCGGGTGGCATAGACCGCCAATGAAAACTGGCTTGATTTATACTATGTACAACTAATCATGAACTGTTTATTTAAGGGATATTTACTACATGCACTTGAGGGATTATTCAATGGATAGGCGAGCCTTCTTTGCTACAGCTTCATCTGCTCTTTGAAACCTCTTCTTCTTGCGTTCTTTTCTTAGGCTGTCAGCACTTTTGGCATCTTCTTGTGCAAACAATGCCAATTTCTGCATTGAATCAATGTCAACAGCTCTTCTTGGATATCTTGCTCGGGGTGATTCATTGTTTGGCGTTAAAGAAGATCTTGCTGATCCAGGCACACTGACCGCAACTGGAGATCCAGTGGGGATACCAATCGATACAGGCGCAGCAGTAGAGGCATCATTTTGAGCGACATTGGGCTTCTGTGCTGACTTCTTTTTCTTCGTTGGTTGGGTTGATGGTATTGTGCCCAGGTCATTGGCGCCCAAGCCTGTAGTCTGATCCTCCTGGGAGACTGCAAGAGTAGTGGGAGCTTTTGATTTGCGTAGCTTACCATTTGGTTTCAGTGCACTACTAGCGACAACTTCAGGGATGAGGTCTTGATCGGCATCTGCAGCCTTGATTTTATGGGTTTTTGACACAGGAGTCGGCTTTGGCTCTACGGTGGCGACAGACTGTATAGCAGCGGTCATGCTTGCAAAGGCGCCTAGCACAAGGCTTCGAATGTCTTGTGAAGAGTTTTCAGTAGATTTTTTCTGAGCATTGGTTTGACTCTTACTAGCAAGCGCCTGCTTCTTTTTGCTGATCTTTTTAGCCTTTATTTTGTTCTTCTCTTTGCTTTGTTGAGCCTTTTTCTGCTTCGTTGCTTCCATATTGCTGTCGGCTTTAGATCCTTGTTGCTTTGCCAAAGCCGCTGCTAACTTCTTTGTTTGTTTTTTGGCTGCTTTGTCGGCTTTCTTTTTGATCGGTGATGGTGTATTGACAGGGATCGAATTAGACTTTTTCTTGAGGCTTTGCTGTTTATCGTTCATCGAAGCAGTGCTGTCGACTTGAGTGCTTTGGTCTGGCTTTGGCGTAAGCTTCATTGCGGGCTCTAGTGGAAGTTGCTGTGTGAGCTCAGGAGAAGACAGAGATGTAGGCTTTATCACAGACTCAAATGTTACTTCAGGCTTTGGCACTTGCTCTGGAACATGGTTTGATACATGCTCTAGTTCGATATTTGATTCATGCTCTTGTTCCTGCTGTGGTTCCTGCTGTGGTGCTTGTTGTGGTGCTTGTTGTGGTTCTTCTGGTTCATACTCAGACACCTGATCTTGTTCGTACTCTGACACTTGTTCTGCTTCCAGCTCTGGCTCGTAATCTGATAGCTGCTCAGACGTTTGCTCGGATTCATGATCTGGACCTTGTTCTGGTTCCTCTTCTGATCTTGGTACGCTATCTTCAGCCACTTGTTTAGTTTGGCTATCCATATCCACATTGTCTTGTTCCTCTGTTTCGGTGACATGCTGCTGCGAATCTAATAGAGATGGATGATCTGCGACAGCATCTGATATATCTGATTGCTGATCAAATGGTTCTGATTCCTCTGTAGCACTATGAGCACTGGCATTACCATTAATCAAGACATATCTACCGGCCCCCTCTTTGTCCAATGGCGGTGATGCATGATCTTCCATGTCATGGCTGGTCGATGAGGCTGTTGGAGTCAATCTGTCTGCATAGGAGCCTAGTCGAGCAATATTATAGTAGGGCATCGCCTCTGAATCTGGTTCTGATTCTGATGCCACGTCCGACTCTGATTCTGACTCTGCTTGTGATTCTGAAGTGCTTCCAAATTCGTCTGATTCATCAAAGCCGAGTCCTTTTCTTTCAACAGGAAAAGTGATGGATGGCAATGTCTCCTCCAAGATGCTATCAGCAGGTTTATCTACATCTGACCCATTCAATTCGAGAAATCCAATTTCGTCGTCTTTCTGATCGTCAATGCCATCCTGCGAAACGTAGTTTCCTAGGAGATGTATGACACTGCATGAAATCAAATCAATAACACGTTTGTGCAATGTCAATAGTCGAATACCATACTTTGGGCCGTCTACTCGAAATGTGATTTCTTCTCCTTGAAGACATGTAATATCAACGACTTGCTGCTCAATCTAGAGGTTGAAGTCGAGTTAGGAGGCTTGTATCCAACAAGAGAGAGAGAAAAAAAAAACTTACTTTTTCTGGAATCAAGGAACACAGCAAGAAGGTAGAATCTTGAAATCGCATGTACACAGACGTTCGCTCCGGACCATTGAATTCAAAGATGGAAGCCTAGAGATATTGGTATTGCAAGTGTCAGTATCGCTCGCGTTTTTTCCTTACGAGCCTGGATGATTACCATTGTTATTCTGAAGGAGGCTTCTACTTTGATAACCTGATCAGATTGAGGGCCAATCTGAATACCTAAACAAGTGCGAATGAGCAAATTGGCGTGCATGGAAACATGGTCCAGATCAATTACCCCATAATCCTCTCACAAGCATGGTGTTTTAGAATGAAAGAAAAGCAGAGGACTCAACGACATGGCTTGACAAGGAGAAAACTACTAAGAGAGAATTGAATGCCAGTCAGTTTGATTGATTTGTGGCACAACAGAGTGTTTCATATGGCCTGCTTTATATCCTCTAGTAGAATATTGAGAGCAGTAGTGGACTAGCAACAGTTTATACTCTGGAACCGAGTCGTACTTGAATGCAGGACATGTCCTTTATTAATTTCTGTTTTCAATCAAATTCCAGCTATTGAACCACCATCGATTAGAGTAGTTTTTGATGTCTCCAGTCATTCCAAATGAAAATGGAGCAAAGTAGGCAAAGTTGGCTAAAATCAAGCCAAATACAACAGCGTACACCGTATGGCGAGTTTTTGAAGAGGCATTGGCAAGAAAGTGCTCTAGCAAAAATGGCACCATAAAGACACTAAAATACAGGGCAGGAAAGTAGTGATGGATGTATGTCACACGGCCCATCATGAAGAATGGAATGTAATGAAAGAACCAGCCCAGAAAGAAGAGCTTGCCTACCGATGTAAACTTGCACCAGCGATCTGGCGTCATATCAATGATTTGTCTTCGTTGACGGACAATGTAGGTAGCTACTGCCACGCTGAACGTGATGATGGACAGGAAAGATGGCCACCATACAGAGGGATTGCCCAGCAGATAAAACTTGACCGTCTTACTGTCCCAGCCACACATACGAAGACCCGTAGTGACCATGGGCCATTCTGTAGGTCCAGAGGATAGAATGTCGTTCTTATCAGGGTCGGGAATCAATGCGTTATTGGTGTTCCACATGGCAACGTTCAAGTGCCAAAAGTCCTCGAAAAAGTTGGATTTGTAAGAGTTCTTGGGTGCAGGAGGTACTTAAGGGGGGGGGGGGGCTTTAGATGCGTGCTATTCAATTCTACCATGACTACTACTTACAGGCTTCGTTGCGGTGATCCTCTACATTCCACCAGGTATAATGATCATTGGGTTTGGCCTTGCGGTCGCAGTACACTTCTTGCTGCTTGAAGCCCCATTGAGGCAATACGACATTGCGACTGGTTAGCAGACAGTCGAGATAAACATGGCGAAGTCTGAAGCGGGTTGTCAGTGCTTTGACTTGAGTTGCATCCTTATCAAAGACGTCTTGTACAATCTCGACTCGCCAGTTGTCCTGCACATCGCCAATTTCCTCGTTTCCATAGGCACTCACCTCCCAATGCTTTGAAGAGACAGGGGCGTTGATAGGATGACTGTGAAGATTGCGCTTGGTCATGATGTGCTGCAATCGAATCACATCGCCATGCTTGACGAACTGGATCTCGCCATCCACATGTGTTGGTGCAGGCTCATTGCTCATCCTGCGAGGCTGGCGAATCTGCCATTGATTGTTGTTGTCCTTGAATGAATAGCAAGTGATTTGCTGCTGCTTGGATCCATCAGGGTATTGATGAGGATGAGAATGAAGCAAGCCACCGCCATAGCCAAAGTTCTTGATTGTGACATTGGAGCCAAAGGCGACTTCGAGTGGATTTTCTCTGAAAGCGCTTCCATTTAATCTTGCTTGGAAAAGAGACCCCATGTTGACATCGCCTGGTCCACTGTTACTGAGAATGTGGAAATGAGCAGCAAAGCTGGCCATGTAGATTGTCAATGGCACTGCAATTAGACATACACCGCGAGCAAGCCAGTGAGAAAAGTAGGTTTTCTTGGGCATCTGAAGATCACCTAGCATATCCCACAGATCCTCTATAGTGTAGGTGCCAGCCAAAGCAACCGCAAATAAACCAACCCACTTTACACTCAACACACACCCCAAACTAACACCAAGACCAAACAACCAGCTCCACCATTTAAGTGAAAATGGGCTACAAGGTAAACAAACATGCATATCAATATAAAAGTACAAATTGTGTATGCATCAAACGCATTCGCCTTACTTTTGTCTCTGTGAACGGAATCCAGCCAAGCAAAAGAAACTAGCGCCAGTAAAGAAGAGCAACATAGAGTCCAGCAAGACAAACCGACTGATGGTCAGTAATGCGTTATCAAACAACACCATGGAAGCAGCTAGCACACAAGATTTCCACGATAGATTCAGATGACGAGCAGTACCATAGGCTAATGGCACCAACATGACGCCCCACGCAGCATTGAATACGCGCATGGTCGTGATATCAAGGTCATCAGGGTAGGCCTTGCCAGATTCAAAGCCAAAAGAACCGTTGTAGTTGGCAATGACACCCGATAAACCCACCAACATCTTACCCAGAGGCGGATGGACGTCAAAATAGAATTCACGTTTCAAGTAAAAGGAGCCGAATTTACCAAAATGTGCCTAAAGAGGCTTTGTTTAGTGTTGACATGTCACTGACAGTGTGGATTATCCTACCTCATCCCAAACAACTTTTCTTGATTTTCCAATCAAATGAAAGCGAGTCCAGCATGATAAGACCGTTAATAAGCTTACAGCGATTGTATGTTGATATTTTATGAGGAATTGGATAGTCTATACAAGGTTTGAGCTAATTGTCTCCACCACCACACACACTCTCTATTAATCTTACCTTGTTGTGTTTTATTGGAGCCTTGTATGTTTTGCCCTCCTTTTCTAAAATGGCACTCGACGGGTAATGGTCATCACTCAAGGGCACGGGCTCATATGTATCTGAGTATTTGGGCGGTGGCGAGTCTGGTGTTTGTGAGATGGGATGCCTTCTTTTCAGAGTCTCCATTGCGTGCTATGACAATGATATGGAAGAGAAAGAGAAAAGAGATGCGTGTTCAACTGTATAGCTCAAGTCAATTGAAACTAGTATGCGAAAAAGAGATCAGTTTTTGTTTATTTGTGTAGTCATTTTTTAATCTATTGCAAATTATTTAATTAAACCGTATGGATGAATCCTAGTGAAATGTGCATTTTTATGCATTGTAGCTGTTTGATTGAAAGATGGCTGCTTGGGGCTCAGTTGATGGCAACTATTGTATTGGTCTTTCCGTTCTAATGAGCTTGTATTGGGAGACAGGCTCTTGGACTGACAGAAGCCAGGCAGCTCCATGCAGTAGATCTAAAGATTGCGCTTGGAAACAGAGTAATGACGGTATATACAATAGCCATCAACAGTTTGATTTTATCAGTAGAGCTTCGCCAACTAAAAGCATAGGCAACGAACAAATGTCCATGGATGGCCGTTTGTAGGGAGCATTCATATTGGACAGACAATATGCTGCATAGCTACAATAGCTAAGGAAGTGAAATCTCTTTTATTGAATGGAAAGATGTTTACTAAAGTTGTTGCATTGCTGCAGCAGAACGGTATTTGGATAGACATAAGGCTATGGCCTTCACATGCAAATGAAAGATTGCAATGCCAAACTCTCGACTAAAAGGTTTATAGCTTTGTATATAAATGCATAGCCTTATTGTCAATGCAGAAATCATGGCTGGCCATACATTTTGAAAGCTGCAGTTGCAGAATATATGCAATATACCCCTCTTTCAAATGACATTGTGAGAAATGAATGTTTGGAATAATGGACAAGTTTTGTTGCACCAAGCATCGCACAGCAAGTAACACCTTCAACATATTTGCTTTAGCCACTGTTTTCTTAGGGTCTCAACTTGAGCTATTTGTTTATGCGAGTAAATCTTATATTTCAGGAGCACACACATTGCGCAGTACCATCTCCTCGTGTTCATCTTAACAATACTCTCTAGTTTAAAATGAAGCCATGAATGCAACGATTGATATTACTTGACACACAATCAATCCACTGAGGTTTCATAATAGCCATCAGATGAAGCTACTACTGCTCCATCAGCCTTACTAATTTATTCTTAATAGGGAGACCAACGAGATGCCTACAAGTATCGGGCATATCTATCAAGCACAACGCCATTGGTAAAAGCAAAATCCCATACAACGAATGGTTAAAAAGGTTTTATTGACATGATATGAAATGTGTATTTACAATAAGATATAGCATTAATTAATAGATGTGGATGAGAAGGATTAGTATAAGATAGATTATGATTTTTTTTTTTTGCTGTGTTTTTCTTGTTTGTTGGGTTCAAGTAGAGAAGAAAGAAAGAAAAAAAAAATAGGTAGTGTCTGTGCACGCACACTTGCTATTGCTCTTGTTTATGAGGCAAAATAAGTGTGAGGAATGTCTAAAGATCTTCCATGAAAATGGAGTCATCGTCGTCGATAATGATAGACTCATCATCATCGTCGTCTTTTGCTAATGTTTCCTTTCTGTCATTCTCTCCAATGTCGTCAAGATCTATTTCCTCTTCTTCTTCTTCTTCTTCAACGACAATATCCTCCTCCTCCTCCTCCTCCTCCTCGTCTTCTTGCTTTTCCTCCTTCTTTACGTCTGATCTAATGCGATCCATACCAATCAAGATGGCAGCAGCTTCAAGCATTTGCACTTGTTGATGTTTGGTCAAAGGCAGCTTCTTGGTCAATTCCCATTCTTCCGAATGCTCCCAACGATGCTTTTGTAAGCAATTTGGATGCTTATAGGATTTTCCACAATCGGTACATCTATATTGACCGCTGAAAGATTCAGAGAGACCACGGCTAGCGCTGCTTTTTCTTCTACCACCCATGCCCAGACTGCTGCTGCTATTGCTGGCCATTATATCGGAGGGCCTGCGATTGCTATTACGTATCGTGAGTCCACCTGTAGCTGCTGCAGTGGCAGTAGCAGTACCAGCCATGGTAGGCGCAAGATGCTTTCTTGGCACACTGCTGCTGGAATGATCGATTGTGTAATTCTCTGGTAGCGATGTTGAGTAGTCTTTGATGTGCATATCATTGAATACGGTTTGAAGGGAATCTCTACGAGTTTGGGCCAGAAAAGCAGGCTTTTCATGGATGGTTGTTGTTGTGGTAGTGGCAGTTTCTTCACCGCAAAATGAATTTGGAGGAGAGGGAAGACCACCGGCATTGCTGGCCTTTTCTTGCTGCTTCTGCTGCTGTTGTTGTTGCGCTTGTTGACGAATTTGAAAAGAGAGCATGGAAGACATGTTGCGATATATAAAAAAGGTTCCAGGGCACAAGATATAGAAAGAGATGGAAAATTAAATTCACCACTCAAAAGAGGCAAATGAGGAAAGGGGGTGTTATACGGATCTTTAAATGAGGGTTAGAAAAGCCATGTATTTTAATAGTTGCTAGTTGTGTCAGTGTGAGTGTGGAAATGTGAAACTACATCGTTTAATGGCTCAAGGGCATGATGGTTTGGTTGAATTTAGAGTCAATTTGAAGAAAGTGCAATCTCATGACGAGAATAACCTCAGCTTTGATGGTGATGACAGCTGTATGATTGGAAAGAATGCGTCTTTGCCTAGCTGAAGCATGGAGGTATTGTTTGCTATTTCTGACAGTGAACTGTTGAAGACTTCTCAGTGTACCGTCTCGTTGCCAACAACTCGTGAAATCATCCATGGCAAGCTCAAGCGCTACTCTGTCCAGGAATTGACGACTATGATTGAAGATGGGGTCCAGGTCAAAGGAGAGATAAATGTAGATTCAGATCATTAAAGTCTAGCAAGGCATTGCAATGCTGGTTGATAAGCGAAGTCAAGTCGGATCCTCTTAGCTCTACTTGGCGAACTGTAGGGAACCAGTAGCCGATATCCAGGAGAGTTTTGCTTGTGGCAGGGAATAGAGTCTTGAATTTAAGATTGGTAATTTGCAGTGACATGTCCTCATCAAAAGCATGAAATGTAGAGAGGACGGGGTCCAGATGCTTGCAGTTTTGGACCGGATACATGTACAATTCTTGTGCCATGAGTTCTCCATCGATGCCAAGTTCTTCCAATTGAATGTCTGACCTGTCGTTTTGTTCTTGAGCTACAGTCTGTTGTACTTGGAAGCTGGCCGGCTTGATGTGAAGGCTTAATTTCTGCAATTGAGGGCACGCTTTGAGAAGTGAATCAAGCACAAGGGACAGTCTGTGTCCAATGACAGACATTTGAGCATGGTAAACTCGTGCAAATAGTCAGAGATGTTGTCTACAGCAAGGAAGCGAGAGAAGGCACCGATGTAGACACTAATGTGCAATTGATTCAATGTGGCTTTATATATGAATACCAGGTTGAGGAAGTCAAAGCCAAGAGACAACAGTTGATCCTTGTTCTCTACCAGAACCAGCTCCAAGCGAGGTAGATGGACATGCTTTTCAATCATGGCAGACACCAGAGGCAAAGGATTAGACATGTGCATGATGATTTCAGCCAGGTTATAACAGCCTTCCAGCAGATGAATCAGGCCAATCTGGATATTGTGGTAATCTCTTCTGACTGGAAAGAAGAGCTCCAAACGACGGATACCATGGCCATAACTATCGTCCGTCCGTATGTTCCTTGCGAGTCTGTAAAGGCAATTACGACCATAGAGCATGCGAGTGCTGGCACTGAGCTCTGTAAAGGGGCGAGCAGCGGTGTTCCATGACTTGCACACAAACAAGCACTGACATTGGCTGTAGATGGGCAAATGCTAGAAGATATTGAGCAGTAATTCAGTGGGGAACATGAGGCAAGAGATGAGGAGAAAGAGGAAAAAAAAAAAAGAAAGAAAGAAGGTTATATTGATATCTGTACATTTTATTGTCATTGTGCTATTTTCTATTTCAATTCAGACAAAACCAGCTTTTCATCATTCAACATGGATTTGACCTTTTCAGGCACCTTTTCCACTTGATTTGCACTAGCCATGGTGGCGTCTAGTATCTTCTCCCACGCCACAAACTCGTCCTGGTCTGATGCAAGCGCCATGGCTTGATGGATCCAGGCTAAAAGACCATTGTACTGAATGAGGTTGGCTGTGACACTGGGAATAGCCGTCGCTTGCTCCATGATCTATCAATCATACATTGATGAATATGCTTGCGAACGGATGTCAGATCCCAATCTATCTTACCTCTAAAACAGCCTTTTTGCTGGATGGATCTGCATAAGCAGAGTTGTAGAACGTAGCAATCATGTCAAAAATGCTTTGACGAGCGAATATCTTGTAGTCCTCGTAAGTTCTCAATGACGATGACAGCACATACAGTAACCAAAGACGCTCTTTTTTGTGGTTGGGAGAGGAGGAGGTGAACAGGAAGGTGAACATGGGCACGTACTACAAGACAGGATTAGGATGAGACATACCAGCCTACAAGTAAAAACTTACATTGAAATCAAAAGAGGGGTTCTGCAATATCCAGGTGGTAATATGGGGCAGCATAAAGTGCTCAGGATGAAGTAAAATAGACACAGCATGGGACACACACACAGTGATGGCAGCAGGCACCCGAGGAGGAGCATCTGCCTCAGATCTGCCCTGAATCGAGTTCTTGAACTGCTCCAGCACAAAGATAATCGAGGGCTGTTCACGGAAGCGAGCATGCTCTACCATGACATAGAACTGATCCATCATTTGATAGGCGACATGGCGCACATGCTCGTCTGTCGAGGACATGCCCATCATGACAAAACCAAGGCCATTGCACTCGATAAACTTGCGGCAATCCACAGCACCTAATGAGATCAAGTTGGCAAACAGAGGCATAAAAAAGCAAGGGTCATACACAGGCGTTGTTATGCTGTCGTGATCCACGTCAATGGCGATATGCTTGAGAGTGCAGTCTGCTGGAAAGTGCGTAAAGGTATATTTCATCAAAGCAGGGTCAATGAGACTGAGTGTTTCGATCGAGATGGCGCTGGTCTGCAACAAGGTGCCTGCCTGTGCATGTGCTTGACGTGTGCGGTCTGAACCAGGGCCCCACATGAGCATCTTGGGCAGAATGGTCTCACGGCCATGGCTCTCACAAGACATGAGGACATCCAAGATCAATCGGTCAGTAGCACTGGTAGTAGCACTGTAGCTGGTCAAGAGAGGGTCCAGCAGGCCATGGTGCTTGGCGAGTACCAGAGGCTGAATCTTGTTGAGTGTATGGATCAACTGAATGATAGCAGAGCGCTGAGCATGGTTTGCAGGGATTTGTTTAAGCAGCAGTTTGGCCACATCAGGCGCTGTCAAACGCTGGTATTCTTTGTGGTCCAAGATACGACGCAGGTAGGTCTCCATGGGTTCCATCTTGTCGTAGTCTTCATAGGCATACTCCACCAACACACGCACAAAACGAACAGCAGCAGCATCCTCCATATTGTCCATCAACGAGGTCAAGATGTAATCACGCACAGTTTCCGTGTTGAGATGAGCAGCCCAGTTGCCCTGGAGTTCCTTGACAAATGGCACGAGTTTGTTGTAGAATGCCTCTTCAGGTGTCTCGTCAGACATGATGTTGGCATCCGCAGCAGCCGTCAATTGCTTGAGCAAGAACTCCATCACGACTTGCATGAATTCGCTCTGCTCATCTGTGCTGTTGACTAGCAAGTCATGTCCAATATGGATCACATCCACCAAGTTGGGTGTCAGTAAGAGACGATCGGTCAAGCTGTTGACCACGATACTGGGCACATCCACAGACGAAGCGACACAAGCAGATCGCAGCGCGTCAATATCAATGATACATGGGTTGCCTGCCAAAATGTGCCTGATGATGGGCTCACAGCACGCTTCCAACAAGACGTGCACAGCATGCTTTTCAGCTTCGTTGTCAGTGTTGTCGCACTGTTGTCTGGTCATGCTCAACTCCAATAGCGACAGTACTTGCAAGTTGAATTCTTCGGTTGTGCCTGCCAGTTTCCAGAGCTGTGTGATAATCTCAAACGCTTTGCTGGGAATTGTGTACTCTTGAGACGAGCTGTACATGTACTCGACAAGCACAATCAGCAGCTTCTTCATGGTATCGTTGATGTGCATGTTTTTAGCAACTTTTTTGCTGTAGACATACAGTCCTTGGAAATCCACACGAATCACACAGTCGAGCAGTGTCTTGGCGTTGGATCCTTCACCGAAAATGTCCATAAAGGAAATGGCTAATTGGATGAGAGAGACGTCTTCTAGAGAGGAGGGGAAATGATCGACATCTTGGTAGGCGAGGATTTGGCTGGTCAGTTGGTTCTCCAGGTGTTTCAGCGCAGGATGAGTAAAGATGAAGCTGTTTAGTTCGGCTCGCATTTTGACGTCTTGGATCTGGTGGTGCATGATATGGATGACATGGCGCAAGAGCCTAAAGCAGAATTCAAGCCCTGATGCCGCCTTTTCAGGCTTGGGTTCCATCAGTAAAGTATTGAGGTGTTGAAAGATGCACGAGGTAGCATGCATCATATCACGCGATTTGAGAGAATCCAAAGCACGTTTCAGCACAGACATGGCAAGATCATTGTTGTATCGTTGAGCCACCACGGCGTTGTTGAACAAGCAGGCAAATGGGATCTTGGTGAGTAAGGAAGCAGTGTGTTCACTAGATGAGTCTCAGGTTAGTATGTATGTCCTGTGGTCCAGATCAAGCCGACAACTTACTGTTCCATAGAAATCAACGACTTCATGGGCTTGATGTGGCTGTATGAAAAGACATCGCCTGCAAGTGGATGGCGAGACGTGATATAATCCACAAGAGGCTCATATAACACCCAATTGAGCTTTTGGTGACAGAACGTTGCTGTTTTCTCCAGGTGAAGATCAAGCACATTGACTGGCAAGTGCTGCAACAACTCCACAAACTCTTTTCTACAATCAGCAAGATCCGCAATATCGTCGGCTACAGCACGTTGATTAGATAAACAAAATCTTTCTCCAGAGAGATACATGGCAACTTACTCTTGATCAATTGCGTTAAACGGTCTTCCATCTTGTCATTGCTGCTGCTTGGTTGCTTTCTAGACACCTTTACGTCTTGTCCCAAACACAGTTTGGCTTGGTAAATCATGTCATCTTTACTCCAGATTTCTACGCAGCGAGGATCCACTCTGTGCGATGAACTCAATTCAGCGTCCAATTTTGAGCACACAGCCTGGAGATAATAGGGAACATGTTGCTTGGTGAGCAGCAAGGTAAGCAAGTGGGTGATATACAGCACAGCAGGACGTCTGTCAGATTTGATAAAATTCAGGTTTTCGCACAAGGTCAGCAGCAGTGGACTGAAGGGATGCTTGTATTCTGATGCCATGTCCGTGCTTGTGTTGGCTAAAATCAAGTCTCTAGTAAATCCAGGCTCTTCGGCGTGGTTGCTGTTGACCGTGTTGACGAGTTCCACTAGCTGATCAGTGTATTTGTACTGTGCTTTACTGAATCGATTGATGCAGTTGTCCAGGAACTGAAGCACGCCTTGCTGCGTTTCTGACATGGCCAAGTTTTTGGAAGACGAGCTCAAATTGTGAGGCAGTGCATTCAGCCACAATTGTACTTCTTCAGGGTCATGGTTGAACATGAATGAGTCAGACAATGTTTGGTTCAATAGTCTTCCTGTCAAATCACGGATATGCTTGTAGGGTGTTTGAAGATACAGAGTCAATAAGGTGGTGATGTGAGATGAAGAGGATCCAGCTAGTTGTAAATGAGTGAGCATGCTTCCGCCACAAGACACACAGTTGCTACTTACATGATTTACTCGTCCAGTTGAAATCAGGCATACTGAGAAACAGCTTCAACAAGTGGATCAACGTGCCTGGCTTGACAGACAAGATGTCTGCTGGAATAAAGTTGCCTGGATCAATATTGGACTCCATCAAGGCTTCAGGGACAAACTCTTGATAGTAACGAATCAATCGAAATGCTGTATCTTGAAGAAGCTGATTTTGATAGATGAGTTCATCTTGATCCACGGCATCACTTTGTTGCTGTGCCATCTTGATAGAGGTTTGTTTATGCAAGGCAACCAAGGTCTGAATTTCAGGCACTCTGCGACGCAGCCCCTCACGCACACTTTCCAAGCATTTTTTCCAGTTGTCAGATGCAGTTGCTGTGCTCTTATTCTTGTCTGTTGTCTCTAGTGTCATGATGACTCGTTTCATGGATTGAGCTACCTTGTCATACTTCTGAAAAACGGCTGACAAGACGAGCATGGTGGTATATCTGACGAGAGGACTGGCATGTTGAAGACCCTTACTGGCGGGTGATCTGTTAAAGACGTTGGGCAAGATGTTGTCGAGGATCGTGTCTACACTAGGTGGTTCAGTAGGGTAAAGTCGAGTTTCGCCATAGTATAACGATGGCACGGGTAGCTGAATAATCTTTTGTAAAACGGTAATGTTGGCAAGCCATTTGTTTGAAATACGAGGTTCAAACATCAAGATTGTATTGTGCCAGTACCTGTAAGAGCAACATCTCCATTAGCTACTCATAACACACATATACACACACACACACACACACACGCATATCAATGGCTCACTTACTCTTGCACGAGCTCTGGACAGGCTCCCAAAATCTTCAATACAAGTTCTTGTTGGCGCATATCATCGGCAGGCTTCAACGTTGTAATAAACTTGGCCAATACTCTGTTTGTGATTTTGGAATTCTTGTTGGCTTCATCATTGGCTGCAGGTTTAGCAGGATACCAAGTGGTGTCTTTGAAACAGATACCCACATCAGGCACACTACAGATCGAGATCAAGAAATGATGCACTAAATCTGCTGGAATGCCGCCCGTCTCTCCAGGCACAGTCTCCTCTGGTTCTGAGCGAGTGTAGATCTTGGCAAGTTTCTCCAGAATATAGGGTGAAAAGAAGAACGCCTTTAAACTGCGAGGCACGTTGCTATCCAAAATCAGTTTTTCGTACATGACAGACAAGGTCTCTTCAATCAATGGATATGCATCTTCGTCCATGCCGACAAACACACCGCTGACAAGGCCCTTGACTCCTAACACTTGCTTTTTGATCTCGGCATCGCCATGTTTGAAAAATGCAAGCACGAATTGTATGTAGTTGGTACGAAGATCTACGCAATACAGTAAGTCTCTAACTCATGCCTAAGCGTCATTCAGTCAGTATGGGTTACCATAGATGTAACTCTGTGGCTTCTTGTTCTTTTTGGTCTGTCTGTATCTGGAAGCTCTCAAAAATCCCTATGCCCGCAAACACACATGAGTATGGACAGGATCCGGATATCACAGCTATCCAACAGCAACTCACCTCTGCCTGGAAATTGAAGGTGGTGAACAAATCTCTAGCTGTTGATTCGTTGAATGAGACCATGGAGGTCAATAATTTATAGGTGGACTGACAATGTGGGATGCGCATGGATGAAATGCCACGATAAATGTATTTCATCTGTCGTTGCAGTACAGTCTGGATGAGCTGGATACCGTAAGATCGGATGACAGGTGTTGTACATAATCTCATGAATAATCCAACGATATCAGGCAGCATGCATTCCAAGTCCTGGATATTTGTCTGTCGATTCAAAGCGTTAGTCAGACAATCTGTCAAACTTCAGTGCAACTAGGCTTACAGAGGCTTGATAATCCCACAGATTGCTCAATTCATGGCTGTCTGTGCATGATTGGCAGTATTCAACAAGAGGTCGAGTATGTTTTTCGGTGGGATCGACTCGATTTTTGACAGCAATGGTGAGTTGTGTTCTTAGCTTTGATAAACCTGTGGATCCACCCAGTCAGGACACATACAAACATGTGGTGTGTATCACCTTACCTCGAATCAATGTCTGAAGATCTTTGACTTTCAATGCTTCAGCAACCTCTTTCGGCGTCTTGTAATAGTCTTCCAGTTGAGTGCTCATGCTGCAATTCTGTATGTGTGCAAGTGAAAAGTGGTGTTAATTTTTTTTGAAAGGATAAATTTAACTTTTTTAGTGGCTTATTGGATGTCAATCGTGACTAGAGAAAAGGTTGGTTTGTCTGCATGAATTCAACATTGGATAGCACATGCGCATTCAAGGGGGATACTTTATTACATGATGGAATGCGTGGCTCTATACTCTATGACGACTGTGGAACTATGGTACAAAAGGGTCTAAGCGGCTTGCTTGATTTCATGTTGGCTGACGGCGGAAGCTGCTGCGGTGTCGAATGATGGTGGTGCCTGATTTTCCTGCTTCTGTTGTTGATTCTTCTCCCATTTACTAGGATCCACCACCTTTTTCTTATTCTTAATCTTGGGCGGCTTAAACAGTTGGCCCTTATCACACAATAGCTCCAATCCCTGATTCCTTGTCCACATGGGATACACCTCCTCCTCCAATGTCGACACTTCACTCTGTGTAAACTTGCTCAGCACAAATCCTGCTACCACATCATAGGAGCGATCATCAATATCAGCAGGTGGACGGCCAATACCAATACGCACTCGCTTGAACTCGTTGGTTTTCAGGTTTTCAATCACTGATTTGATGCCATTGTGCCCATTCGCTGATCCGCTTCCTTTCAAGTTGACCTTTCCCAAATCTCTCTGCATATCGTCGTGGAAAACATAAAGGTTTTGCAACGAAATACCCAAATCCTTGACTACAAATGCACTTTAATCATCAGCATAAAGGCAACCTTGCTGCAAGCTGTCTATTTACCTGCTTGTGCCACACAGGAACCACTGATATTCATCAGCTTCCGAGGTTTAAGCAGTGTCACCTGGTACTCTTTGGTTTCATGCTTGGCTTCCACTCGAACCGTCGCTTCCGTGATGTCTGATTTCCAGTTTTTGTTTTGAGACCAGGTGAGATTAAGCTTGCTAGCAATGGAATCCAGCACCATCATGCCAACATTGTGTCTTGTGTTTGGCAATGTCTTGTTGCCTAAGCCAACCAACTACAGTACAGTGTTTAGTGTGAGCCCATCACTCAATCGCTGCAAGCAATTACCAATATTCTAGTGCTCATAAGTGAGTTGCAAATCAAGAAAAGAAAGAGATGGTCAACCGCAGTTTTAGGCTATTGAGCATCCCCTTTTATTGAAAATCTTTTTTAAATAGCCGAATGTGATATGGGATCCATCAAACCAACCCCCTCTTTTGGAAGGTCAGAGAAAATGACAGAGCGAGGGAAACACGCGCTTCTAAATAAAAAATTTTCAATATCCTTTCCCTTTCTCCTCTCTCTCTTCTCCCATCTCAAACGTATAGATACATCAAAAAAGAGTCAAAATGCAGGCACCAGTTCTTGTTATGAGTAGGCATCCTGTTGATATGCGACATGCAACATTGAACTCACTGAAAAGCGGCTTTGAATAGATACCAATATGGAACGTGAGTCAGGGCGCAAAGCTCAACTCTCTAATATTACTGCTGCCAAGGTAAAAAAAAAAAAGAGGACGTTTACAGCGTACACAGGGACTCCATAGATACTCATCACTCTCTGCAGACGGTAGCTGACGTTATTCGCACCTGTCTTGGCCCTAGATCTATGCTCAAAATGCTGCTTGATCCAATGGGTGGCATCTTATTGACAAACGATGGTAACGCCATCCTTCGTGAAATCGAAGTCGACCATCCTGCTGCCAAGAGTATGATTGAACTCTCCAGAACGCAAGATGAGGAAGTTGGCGATGGTACCACCAGTGTCATTATTCTCGGTAAGATAGCTTCGCATTCAGGGTCAAACAGATGAGCTGACGACTTGTTCAAATAGCCGGTGAAGTGCTCGCCGGTGCGTTACCCCATATCCAAAACAACATCCACCCTATCGTGATTATTAGTGCTTTCAAAAAGGCTCTTGAGGATGCCTTGCAAATCGTCGAAGACATCTCCAACCCCGTTGACGTGGACAACACTGAAGAAATGATGGCACTGATTAAATCCTCTATCGGCACAAAATTCGTCAGCACTTGGAGCGATTTGATGTGTAAGCTTGCTTTGGACGCTGTTCGTTGTGTCGCTATCGAAGAAGAGGGCACTGGCAAAACCGAAGTGGACATCAAGCGTTACGCCCGTGTTGAAAAGATTCCCGGTGGTGAAATTGAACAATCTCAAGTGTTGGATGGTATCATCTTGAACAAGGATGTCACTCATCCCAAGATGCGTCGTCGCATTGAAAACCCTCGTGTCATCTTATTAGATTGTCCTCTCGAATACAAGAAGGGTGAATCTCAAACAAACATTGAAATCTCCAAGGAGGCTGATTGGAACCGTATCCTTCAAATTGAAGAAGAACAAGTAAAGGCCATGTGTGATAAGATTATCTCATTGAAGCCTGATTTGGTGTTTACTGAAAAGGGTGTTTCTGGTAAGTTATCTTGGTATCTGGTTTGTGTGTCTTGCCTTACTCAGCGCCCTACAAATAGACCTCGCTCAACACTATTTCGTCAAGGCCAACATCACAGCTATTCGTCGTGTTCGTAAGACGGATAACAACCGTATCGCCCGTGCTGTTGGTGCCACCATTGTTAATCGTGTCGATGATCTGCGTGATTCTGATGTCGGTACCAAGTGTGGTCTCTTCAACATTGATAAGATTGGTGATGAATACTTTACCTTCTTGACCAAGTGTGAGGATCCTAAGGCTTGTTCAGTCATTTTGCGTGGCCCCAGTAAAGATATCATCAATGAAGTCGAGCGTAATCTTCAAGATGCCATGTGCGTCGCGCGTAATGTGTTCTTCAGTGCCAAGTTGGCTCCTGGCGGAGGCGCTACCGAGATGGCAGTGTCTGTCAAGCTTGAAGAAAAAGCCAAGTTGGTCGACGGTGTTGAGCAATGGCCCTACAGAGCAGTTGCTGAAGCCATGGAAGTGATTCCTCGTACTCTTGTTCAAAACTGTGGTGGTAATGCCATCAAGACGTTGACACAATTAAGAGCCAAGCATGCTGCTGGTGAACATTCATTTGGTATCGATGGTGAAGCTGGTAAGGTTGTTGATATGAAGGATTACGGTGTTTGGGAGCCCACTGCTGTCAAGGTGCAAACTATCAAGACTGCAATTGAGGTGAGTTCAACTTGATTTGTTTGATCTTGTTACTGACAAGAGGTACAATTTAGTCTGCATGTTTGTTATTGCGTGTTGATGATATTGTCTCTGGTCTCTCAAAGAACAGAGGCCCCGCTCCTCAACAAAATGGCGACCCTGAGGTAAGTCTGATTTGAAAACCGAGCGCGCAAACACAAGATGCTTATAATAGTTATTAGATGATGGAACAACATTAAACAACACAACTTATATATAAGAAAAAAAAAAACATTGTATACACCAATTTTTTAGCAAGACAGTAGTTAACACATTTCCTCTCTTCTTTTTTTGTTTTAATAAACCATACAAATCTAAAATACTCATACAACAATCATCGCATGATTCAAATGCACCATAAAAACTCGGGGTTTATTGCAGTCATCCAGAGACACACAACACGCACATGTCTACATAAACAAACTTTTATCTCCTACCGCTATTACTGCTGCTTCTTTTCCACACTCATCTATATCTATTTCTCGGCCGAAACAAAAGATGAGCAACAAAGTATTTGACATTACTGTATTCGGTGCCACTGGGCTCACAGGAAAGCAAATCGTGAGACATGTATTTGAACTATCCGTCAATAAACCAGACTTTTATCCTCCAAGTTTCCGTTGGGCCATTGCTGGAAGAAGTGCCGAGAAACTCGAGGACATCATAAACGAAATGACAAACAGATATCCTAATGCAACTATTGGCAAACCTACCGTTCTAGTCGCTAATGTAACTCAAAGAGAACAGTTGGATGCCATGACAAGTCAAACCAAAGTCATCATTAACGCTGTGGGTCCCTTCCGTTTTATGGGAGAATACGTTGTACGTTCTTGTGTTGAAAACAGCTGTGATTATGTAGATGTTACAGGTAAAATTGCTAAAATAACAATACAGAATTAGAGTGTATAACCGTCCATTAGGCGAACCCGAATTCGTTGAGCGTATGCAACGTACCTACCAAGACAAGGCAGCTGCTAATCATGTTACCATTGTTCATTCCTGTGGTTTTGATAGTGTAAGCTTAACTATATCAATGCAATGAAATGCGCATGACTAATGGGGATGTCTCTAAATAGGTACCTACTGACATGGGCGTTGTGTACACCAAAAACCTCTACACCCAACACGGATGGGTGCCTGAATCCATCGAAATGTTCTTGAAGGTGCATGTCGGTCCTGATGGTATGCGAGGCGGATACGCTACTTTTGAGTCTGCAGGTAAAAATAACATGGTGACCACCACCCTCTCTTGAGACACTCAAACGGCTCTGCCTTTTTATAGTTCATGGATTTGGATCTGCTGAGCTTTTGAGAGAGATTCGTAAAGCATCTACATTAAAGAAGCTTCCTCACCCTCAAGGCGAGAAACTTCATTTTCACAAGGGCGCTCACAAAGATGAAGAATTCGGCTACCATGTTCCATTTGTATTTGCCGACCCTTCCATTGTTCGTCTCTCTCAACAAATCTTTCTTACTGGACTAGCTCAACCGGAAAAGCAAAAGCCAGATGCCGTATTGCCTCCACCTATCCAATTTGCCGCCTATTTACTGCTGCCATCGCTTTGGGCTGTTATTTTATACACCATTTATGGCTTCATCTTTAGTTTCCTGGCTGGGTCTCCTTGGGGCCGAAACCTCTTGTTGAGCTACCCTGAAAAGTTCTCTGCTGGTTTGTTTTCCAAAGAGCATCCCACCGAGACACAGCTGGATCAATGTTCGTTTGAAATTATTCTTCGATCCAAGGGCTATGATCATGCATTGAACCCTCATTACAATGTACCTCCCAATAGAAACATCAAAGTGGTTGTACGTGGTCCTGAATCTGGCTATGTTGCCACGCCTCGTATCGTCTTGCAATGTGCTATGGCTATTTTGAATAACAAGAGTCAGGGCTATGTGCCCAGCGGTGTATTGACTCCAGCAACTGCATTCTGGGAGACTGATTTGATTGATCGTCTTCGTCATGTCGGCATTACTTATGATGTCTCCAACTAAATAAAAGAATACATTAGATCTTGAATATTACGTAATTTCGTTCGATTCATTAGTGCATATCAGAGCAATCTATTTGACATTACTTTAAATCAAGTTTACTTGCTGTCTATCTTCCAAAGAGAAGTCCTGGAATTCGCTGAATGAGTGTAAAGACAAACAACTGCATGTGCATATCTCATATGAGGCTGTTAATGCTACGTTATCTTGATGCTTCAGAGACCAGCATGGGTGTAAGTAGAGTGTATGTAAGTGCATGCAAAAAGGCTATTTTATCACTCTCAAAAATAAAGGGGCATTTGCCTTGCTCGAATTGGAACAAGCCCGGTAAAAACCCAAATTAGTCATTTCAGACCTGATCTCGTTTGGTTTCTGAATAGTGTTATATTATGTGTGAAGGCCAGACCCAGATTCTTTTTGTCAGATGCTGGATCAACTATATGTTATGAAATGAACCACTGTTTGCAAATATATAAATAGTGGACCCTTTCTGTTTCTTGTTATCGAGAGAAATTATCATTTGGCATTCATCATTTCTCATTTCTCATTTCTCTTGGCAAATGGCAATTAAAAACTCTCGTTTGTATCGATCAAACTCTGATTCTTCAGCTCCTTGTGGTATATTAATCAACAGAGAAAGGCCAGAGATGAGGCGGCGTGTGACATTTTCACGTGTGGTTATATTGAACAAGCCTGCTACATTCATCTTGGTGAAAGAAGAGCCCGGATTAGTCAGAAGGTTAAGCGAGAGATCATTAAATTAGCTGTGCTGGTCATTGCTCTATTCTGTAAATGATAAAAAAAAAATACTACATGGTACTCATTATTTTCTTAATATCCATGACATACTACATATATACATGAAAAAATTAATAAAGCCTCCTTTCACACCTATCAAATTAACAATAATGCTTTTCAAACAGCTTGAGCCCTACATATAACATGTATCTTTTAAAAACAAGTACGAAATATTGCAAAGCTGTGCTGGAAGGTTTTGGCGCAACAATACTTATTATGTACATCCATTGCATAATCGCATGAATATTCGCCCTCTTCAGCCGATGTCTTTTCTGGTTAACACCTATATCCACGGTTGATTATGCAAGAATCACTCGCATAAAAGCATAAATCGTTATATTAAAGTTTGCTGTATTTCCTGATGTTTGATATGGAAAGAAAAAGATACTCATTTTACGAGGGATTGCTTTACTGTCAATGAATGTCGCATCCAGTAACGAATTGCTAAATATGCAAATTCACCATAGCAACTTAATACAGCTTTTCTTTTAATGCACGCATTACTTTATACTACGCATCTGATATCGGTCCCAAACAAATACGCCTAGGGATTTGAATACAATCAAGTTAAATAAAACAAATGTGCGTATATTAAATGCGTTCAGAAAAACATGCTGCCTTCTTTAATGAGGCATACTACTATTTAACGCCAAGACTGTTACAAAACAACCACTTTACAATGATAACACGTTGTGTATTCTACTGATATATACTAAATTCTTGGTTTTCGCTCTTTCCTACCAAGTGAAAATCTTCATAAATAATTTGTAGCTTGGGATCTGAATCTTCCACAATGCCCAGGGTCTGTAAAAATGAAAACGGCTTATATAGGAGCAGACAGCATACCTGCATTGCCTCTTACTATTCAAAAGTAAGCAAACCGTAGCTTAATTTGTATGTATTCGAGTCGTGTTTTCTCGTGTTAGAAGCCGTTTTAGACAGCCAGAAGAGCGCCAAACAATTGCTTTCGCTCAGCATTTATTTGCTGACACCTTTGCTCAACATTTTGGGGACCAAAAAAAAACATGGACAAAATTCGACCAAAACGCATGAGGTACCCCTCATGGTTTTCATTGAAAATCCTTCAACGAGTTCCTTAGCTACCCCAAAACCGCCGATCCACAACTTATCTGCAACTCAGTTATGCACTTCAAACTGAAGCATTATTATATCTACAATTATGACTTACACATCACCATATATGACCTCTTTGCCACTATTATGCGTACTATCTTGAGACACCATTATCAACAGTTTTACAACCTCATCCCCTTTAATGCCATCCAAGTCTGTCGCCACATCCGCAAAGAACTGTTAAGATTGTCAAATCTTAGGCAACTCTCCCATTAGTTTATTATTCAAGATTTATATATGGCAAGTCACTTTATCTCCATACACTTGTCCATCTCTTTGATGCATTTGATTTATTTCTAATTACTATTCTAATAAAATAATATCATCCAAAAAAAAAAGTTTTCACTGAAAATCAAACGATCGCGTTTTTCGCCACAAAAATGAAGACTTTTCCTATAACACATATAAGATAAAATTGATTGTAAAGACGGAATGCAACACTGGAAGCTCTTTCTATAACACTTGTATATGCTAAATTTTGACATAATCACAGAAAATCTCTTTTCATATTTTTGCAAATTGCTCATTATTTTCGGTCTGAAAGCGGAATATAATCAGTACCATTCGATGCGGCTTTTCTAGTCCTCTAAAGTTATATTAGAAAGCTGGGTGTGACAACCACAGTTTCCATAGTCAAATTTGACAAAAGCGTTTGAAAGATGTCAGATCAGGTCAAGTTTGAACACGAAAATGCCCACTGCACAAATTCAAATTAAATTGCCGCAGTTATGGCTGCCACGGCAAAAGACTGAGACCAAATCTACTGGCCGTGACGTCGGATAGGGCGCTGCCTCATTTTTTCCACACCCCTTTTTTTTTCCCTTTTTGCAAAACGCGTTTAGCATCAAACCATGGTCGTTTTGGAAACCGTTTGATTGAAAATAACACTCTAGCTTCTGATAGCTCTGTCTTGTACTGTTGGAAGAACTTGATACTGCTTCTTTGAAGTGGAATATGTTAGGTACCATTCTATAACGAGCACTGGAAGGCGTAGAATTAACACTAATTGAATTTTTTATTAGGTTTTGATGATTCTTTTTGACTGTTTGATGCGGGTGTTACTGCCATTACTTCTCTGCTACCTCTGCTATCTGCTTCTTTGGTTCATCATGTCTGGTGGTTGCTTCTTTGGTCTTTTTCTATTCTCTGCTGATGGCGTTCGTTCTATAGTTTTTCTATGGTGCTGGTGTTGCTGCTGTTGCTGCTGCTAATCTGGGTTTTGCTGGTCTACTGTACTTGGTGCATGCTCGTTCTCTGGTCTGTCTCCGGTGATTGCCTATACTCTTCTGGTCTATCTGTGGCTGTGGTAAGTGGTAAGTATCCTTTTTCTTCTGGTCGCAATGATATAAAACTTCTTTGAACGCTTATATTATTGCTTCCTTTCTCGTGATAATGCATTCATGATGTTTGCCTTGTTGCGCTTTTTTCTTCTTCTTTTTCTTTTGTTGGTAGTGTTTCCTCTGTAGCTTTACATGAAACAACATTAGTCATCATGTTGTATCGCGAACTTATAATGCCACTGTTGCTTTTGCAGTTGTGCATATTTGTGTCAGGTTGCTTTACATCCGACTATTACTACCATGCGCGTTGCTCATGTGTGCATTTTTCTTGCAACAGCAACGAGCCTTTTTAAACATCTTTAATGTTGTGTTTGTTATGCTTTTCTTTGACTCGCTTCGTGTGAGTGTTTCTTTTTTGCCTACTTGCTACTATAATATTATAGTAATATGTTCTTTTCTTCTTTCTTTTATCATTATGTTTCTTTAGAAGCATACCTCTTTACGTTGTGTGGATGTGCCTATCCCTGAAGCTCAACAAGACTCTATCCGAGGCTAGGAGGTAGATAGGCTGCCTCCACTTGGTTATCGCTACTTACTTTAGTGATGATTGAGGGTCTCAATGCCAGTATTTAAAGCTAGGTGGTGTAAGTAAGGCATGCTCTAGCACCTGGGGGAAGTTTGATGATAGCAGCGGCTATATTGCTATTATAGCGGCGCTTAAAATTTTGCCTCACATCAAAACAGGGGGAAACCCTCGCAATTTTTTTTAGGTCAGCGGAGTTTTCTACGCAATCTGATTGGCTGAGAGGTTGAGACAACAAAGGGTTACAACTAGTTAATTTCTTATTGATCTGTCATGTATTATCATTTTGTGTCTGTAATAAAAATGTATTTAAATATTGGTACAATTTAAATTCTTCTTTATTCAAAAGTAAGATAAGATGCAATTATTCGATCTAGCATGCATTAAACAGCGGCATGTGAGTGATGTCCATTAAACTTGATATTATTGTTATGTCAAAATACAATGTAAAATTGAATCTGCCAAAGAATTGCACTTTTATTGAGAATGCATCCCAAGGATGCATTTATATACTTTTTCATTATGCTAGGGTTTACAGCATGATGATGAACTATAATACAAATAGGTTTACTATCTACCCAACAATTGATTTGTAAATCATGATTAGCATGATTTAACCAAAGGACCTAAGAATAGCCTAAAACCTTTAGTGTGAGACCTTGCTATAACATTTGATATAACAATTATATGGAAAGAAAAAAGCCATATAGGTACAACATTATTAGTACACTGCTACCTTAAGTAATACCAGGAGAACCTACTAATAATACCAAACGCCCCGCCGCCAAACATGCGTTGTTTATAATTAACATCCAACATGTTCCAATGTAATGGGTTGCTATTTTTTACCTCATATCAAAGGTTTCGTATTTACAAGAATATTTTTCGTCTCGCTGAGGTTCGTGCTATCATCCAAAATCAAATTTTAGGCTGTTATTTATGTCAGAGCTTTGAAAGTAGCATGTTCGTACAACCAAATTTTGCGAGAAGAACGATGGAGGAGTAATTATTGAAATCTAGATTGAAAGAGTTGGTAAGAAATAGAGAAATTTTCAAAATAAGGCAAAAATGCCTTTCCCATGAAGACGATCGACGTTTGTAAGCTAATGAGAAGAGGATTTCAAATAAAATGGACTATAGCCCATACTTGATAATCTGCTTTAATTTTGCTGTGGCTTTTGTATATTTAATACATGAACAAGTAGTTACAGACTGCTCGTTTATTTGCGAATTGCAAAATTGTCACTCTAACATAATATTCAAAATGCATTTGACAATTCCACTGTAAACCCAGCATGTCATACAATCATGCTACTGTTAGATTACTCTATCAAAATACAAATGATATAGTCTTTGTTGGGAATTGTGAAATTCAATACCTTAGAAAATAAACTTCATGAGATCATCCACTTGGTATTGAGGAGTTTGGGTCCTAAATAATATCGCTTCTATCTGTGTCGTTTTGTCCTGACATTCAGCAGATACAATTAAGCATATCTGAAATCATGCCTACAATTTTTTTAATTAAAAAAAAAAGGTATCACTCAGTATACTCTTTCAGGCTGTTGTAACGACAGAATTCTAGATATGCTTTCTTAGCCACATGTTATTTCTGCTAAATAGCACAAAATAGTAATCACTAAAGCTATTTCGGTCGATCATCGAGCTGAGCAACAACTATATGTACAAAGGCAATGCAAAAGAAAATAAAGCCAATTGATCTCGCTTAACAAGAGAATGGAAGCTAGAGAAAGCCAAGCATGCAGTGATATAAATGATTAGAATGAAATTAAATATAATTGTTTTCATTTATCTTTGATCCATGGGCCACATGTACACAGAGGTTGTCTTACCAATATTGTTATGCGCATGATCAAAGTTTTCGGGTTCCTTCAGCCATTTTTTGTTTGCTTTATAGGAAGAGGATCTGCGTCATTATGCATTTTTGGTAAACAATCGAGATACAGGCTGAACGAATTGATTTGCTTAGCAAAAGTGATTTCTTCTCAGCTTAGCACTTGTATTGTTACACTTATCAAATTTAAGATTATATAAAAGGCCATTTTGTGGACAATAGAGAAACTAGTTGATCAAGCCACTGAGTCTATGCAATTTATACAAATGCAACATCAGTCAGCGAGCGGGAGCTTCAAAGAAGAATTGACCAAGACAGACACAGTCCATCATGATGTGAGATATGCAATATCCGGTGCTAAACCTTCATCCTCCTCTATATCTACTGATGAGGAGTCCTTGATCGAAACTAATAGACTAGATAAAAACACAGAGGAAAGGACGAAGTTAAATACATATCAAGTGATTAGACTCTATTGGACCTATCTTCGGCCCATGGTGCTAATGCTAGTCATCAATGCTGGCATACCGTTAGCTCTCTATTATATACTGAAAATATGGCTTAGTCCTTTGGTGGCCCTGATCATTTCTGGCATACCTCCATTATTGCATGTGTTTTACGTATTCTGGAAGAAACGACGTGTCGATGTGTTGGGCTGCATCTTTGTTGCAGGATTTATCATTTCAGCAGTGCTATCAGCTATTAGTGGTTAGTGTATCAGAATAGCTTACTCTCTTAGGTCAGTATCTTATGTATACTAATAGGTGATGCACGTTTGACCTTGCTACGTGATTCTACAATCACTGCTGTCGTCGGCGCGTTGTTCTTGCTGACACTGGTCCCAATTCGCACAAAATGGTTCACTGTTCGTCCTATTGTCTTCTTATTCACTCAACAATTGATGATTGAGCAGCCTCCTGTAGAATGGAAAGACAAGGAGGGAAATGACAGATCAATGAAGAGATCAGAATGGATATGGTACAACAGCGCATTTTACCGCAAGTTTTGCTACATCATTTGCGGTGCCTGGGGTGTTCTTCTCATGGCTGAATTTGTTGCCAAGGTCATCATGATCAAGAGCACATTGACGCTCGATCAGATTGTTCTGTACAGTAATATCATGGTAATTGTTGTCGTAGTGGGCATGACAACTGCAACGCTGGTATTCTCCAGCTACCTGGGCAAGCGGATCATAAAGGACAGCGAAGCTTGGGCCAAGGACAACACTTTTGATGGAAAAGTCCCTAAATAATACACCAAGATACATATTATACCTGTATATATTCTATCAATCTAGTACATTTAACAAAGACTATGTAATGGTTTTACACTAATATACACTCAGCTCCATTTCTGTATGATTGTGGTGTAAGCGCTATTCATGCCCGTTGCAGGCAAGACTCTTGTGTTTTATACCAGGCCATAATCATGGATTCTTACAAACCATTACTTGAGCGGTTTCAAGGTAATAATAGTAAAATCCATTGATTGATACGGTTGAGACACTGACTCATATTATTCCCAGCAGAATCAGACTTTGGGACATGGTTAGCATGAGGTAATTGGTTCGATAGGAGCTGTAGCTATCAGCCTTGGCTGTATGTATCCACACAATACGTAGCTTATGCATGCAATCTTGAGCGCCTAGTGTAGCGCTGAAACTAATGCGACTTCTTTGCAGTAGGCAATAGCGAATAGGGCGCTATACACCCTTCTATTTGGAATAATTGCAACATACGGTATGAAAGTGACATGTAGTAGCATGGCCTACTTGGATTTCAGAAAGCTCACAGAAACATATATTTGAAACATGCTGCAACTTTAAAAATGAAGACACTCGTGGAGTTTACTAAAATCAAATCAATGTTTACAATAGAAAAAGATAATGTTTATTAGGAAGAGATATATATGTGCAGAATAAAATATAATATGAATTATTTACAGAAAAAAAAAGTGATATAGTGCTTGTTTGTTTGTATGAATTGTATATATGCTAATTGGAATAGTATCGATCAATGACGTCTTTGGTGGAGCCAGGCAGTACCGAGTTTTTCATAATGTAGGCAGTGGTAGTATCGTTTACAATGATGACCTTGGAGAACTTGACATTGGGTTGCTTGGGTGGTTCATTTAAAAGCAGAGAGTGAAGGCTGCTTACATCCGACCCACAGGACCAGTTTGAGGCATCAGAGGCATCAGAGGTAGTACGGCTATGAGTAAAGTTGAACATTTTGTGGAAGTTTTAGTGTGAAAGAAAGAACATGATGAATTTCTGCCTCTCTTTATATTCTAAATTTCTGATGTGAAACCTAAACTGTTTATTTACAAATGCATCTGTACACCCACAAGCCTTGAATTTGTTGGCTTTGCAGCTTCTAAATTTGACCCCACTTTTTGAAATATCTAAATCTGCATGTTTATCCATGTGGACTACAACAACGTCATATAGACAAACCAAGTTATTTTATTTCTTATCGTTATTCACAGAATGGCAATCGTCTTTCACTACTAGCACAGAGCACTTTAAATGATGAATCAAATAATCAGATACAGAGCCGATAAATTGTCTATTTTCAGGTATGTCTTCAGCATGTTGCTCTGGGAAACCATAATGTCAGCTTGTGGTACGTACCTCTTGAAGAAGCCCAATCCTCGACTACCCACAATCACCAAATCCACTTTGTTTGCTTCTGCAAAGTCCTTCAAAGTCTCTCCTGGCTCGCCGCTAAGTATTCTGGGGATCACTGTGATCTGCCATGCCCGTAAGAAAAAAGATGCCCTCTCAAATCCATCAGACCGCACTTACTCCTTTACTTGCAAACCACTCCACAACAGCGTTTAATGCAGCTGTTGATTCTCTCTCTACCTTGGATACGCGCTCTCTGTAGTCATCTGCAAGCCAACCTGCAGGACCTGCTACCGCTGCTTCTAAGCCAAATGTGCCTTCAACAGCTATCGCATCATCATTGACGATGATGGCCAGAGTAATTTCATCATCAGCAAACACAGCTCTCTTGTTGATGATCCACTCCATGGCTGCATTGGATACCTCTGTGTGGTCATAGCCTATCAAGACTCTTCGTGGTTTGGTATCTGTTGACATGTTTTGTATATTAGGAAAAAATATGTGTGTAAAAGGGATTCATATGGGGCGAGAGGGATTTCAACATGATATAATGCGGGAAATATTCGAATCAGACGACTTTTTTTTTTTGTTTTTTCCATGCTGAAATGGTAGGCATGAACCAGCCAAGGCGGCTGCTTGAGAAACTAAGTTGCGCTTTGAGGCGGCGACATTCCCCCTTTCGAATGTAATCATCATGGCGACCTCTTTAACATAGCATTTGGCAGTAAAATGTAATATCTTGTTGCTATCATGGACTCTTGTTTCGTTCATTCAGCTTACTAGACTGTCTATAGCCGTTCAGCAGTGAGAGCCGAGACATCTGAAAGCCTTCTTCTTCAAAGGATTATTCCTTCTCCTCTCTTAATTTGTACTTGCCATTTATATCTTTCAAGTGGTTTTGAATTAAACCCTCTCTTTTTCTCTTTTTTTTTCTTCATTTCTTTCTCTCTCTTTAGTCCCTCTTTGCTTTCTCTCTCTCTCTCTCTCTCTCCCCTCCTTTTCTTGAGTAGAGACAGCCCCCGTTAAATCACAACATGTCAAAACTGCCCAAGCTAGTGACAACAAATCTCAACTCGAATTCACCTGAGAAAGGGGAGCATACGCCTTCTACGTTGCTGCAATCTCCAGTTATACCCTCTGCAAATGGTCCTAATAGAGCACCTTTCACGGGTACTGAAAAGTCTCGGGAAAAAACAAAGTTTAAAGGTGTGATTGATAAGTTTATGGGCAACTTCAATGGTAAGTGGAATTGAATGCAACAGAGCCCGTTTGATTAACAGTGTGCCTTGTCTGTAGATTTCCTCTCCAAGGACAGCAATAACAGCAATAACAACAGCGTATTGACCAGGAACTCACCTCCTATGGATATATCTACACCTTATAATACAGTTCATGTTACACATGTAGGATTCGATTTAAATACAGGTGAATTTACAGGTCTACCAAGAGAATGGCAAAACTTGCTTACGCAAAGCGGTATCACAAAGCAAGAACAAGAGAACAATCCTCAGGTAAAAATAGACCAAGCAAATGACGGCTGCAGTGGTAAATTGATAACCCAACTGTCTTTAGGCTGTTATACATGCAATTGAATTCCTGCAAGATGCTACTCAACAGAAAATGGAGGATGGCGTATGGACCAAGATACCAAAGACGCTATCCAGTGCATCCGTCAGTACCAATGAGGACGAGCCACAGCAGGATCGAAAATCCTCATCCAGTGAAAGCATCAAAAAGACGCTTCGACGCTTCTCGACATTGCGCATCACCAAGTCCAAAGAAGAAAACCAAGGTGGATTGGTAGGAAGGAATCGCTCTGTGTACTATCCAGACAGGCATTAAAGTTATATTAGGTTTCTGCAGCAACCACCGAGACAATTGCGGCAAAACAACAACCTGATACCGCGCCTGCACCAAAGAAACTGCTCGAGGATGGTAAGATTTATAGTAGTATTGGTGATTGCATTATACAACTCAGACTTGACAATACGATTAGAGTATGTAGACGATGTTCATTCCATCAATTCCGAGTCAACTGCTTCTATTGGAGAAGAATTTGGAGGCAGAGAAGGTGATATGCCTCAGTTGACATCTATGAAAAACGAGCCTTCAGCAGCAACAGCATCAACAACAACAACAACAACAATTGGACCACCAGGCACTGTCAAATCGAGACCCAAGGACCAGAAAAAAGGCATGAAAGATCAGGATGTAATTCGCAAATTACAGGAATTATGCTTGAACTCGGATCCTTTGTTGATTTATTCGAATATGGTCAAGATTGGCCAAGGGTAAGTTTAGCTATCAACGCTCAAGACTGGCCAACTAATGCTGCCTTCTAAAAATAGTGCCTCTGGTGGTGTGTTTATTGCTCATCGTCAAGACCTTGCCATGCCCGTAGCCATCAAGCAAATGAATTTAGAAAAGCAACCTAAGAAGGAGTTAATTATCAACGAGATCATGGTCATGAAGCGTTCTCAACAAAAGAATATTGTCAATTTCATAGAGTCATATCTCTGGAACGGCGATCTTTGGGTTGTCATGGAATACATGGAAGGAGGAAGTTTGACTGATGTTGTTACCTGTAACATGATCATGGAAGGCCAGATTGCGGCCATATGTAAAGAGGTGCTTGAGGGATTGAAGCATCTTCACGCAAATGGAGTGATTCATAGAGACATTAAAAGTGACAATGTACTGTTGAGTATGCAAGGCGATATCAAATTGAGTAAGTAGTCAGGCTGAAGGTTTTATTGAGTGTGTGTACTGATAGCCTACTCTAATAGCCGACTTTGGATTTTGTGCACAATTACATGAACCTACATCAAAACGTACTACATTAGTTGGAACACCATATTGGGTAACGTGTGGCTATACAGGCAGAAAGGATAAACGTGATTAACTCTATTAATAACCACAGATGGCTCCAGAAGTGGTGACTAGAAAGGCTTACGACCAAAAAGTGGATATCTGGTCATTGGGTATTTTAGCGATTGAGATGATTGAGGGTGAGCCACCTTACCTCAATGAGAATCCCTTGCGGGCACTCTACTTGATTGCAAACAACGGCACTCCTGATTTGCAGAACCCTGAGTCATTGAGTGATATCTTCAAGGACTTTTTGTTTTTGTGTCTTCAAGTGGATCCTTCTTTTAGACCTAGTGCAGCTGAATTACTTCGACATCCTTTCTTGCGCAAGGCAGATCCACTTTATTCTCTCGCACCGCTGATTAGAGCTGCCAAGGATACCATTCAACAACAACATCATCAAGAGCAAAACTAGCTGTCCTATATCGCTTTTGGTATATTTTGTATTTTTATTCACAAACACACATATCGAAACATCATGACATAAAAATCATTTTTGTAAATCAAGCTCATGTTTTTCTTGAAATAGCCTTAAGTGTAACTCACTACATAAATTGCAGACAGCGCATGATCAGGTCGAATCAGTAAATTCACATTGTGTTGGCGGAAGAAGGAAACGTGGGCCATGGCACGATTATCATTTTATGTAGTATCAAGGCACCAGCCAATCTATCTCGCTACGCTCGATATCAGGGTCGCCTTGCGGACTCTCGCCAAAGACAATTCAAATCAGAGATATCAAGTAGATTTTAAACAATCAATTAATAGTAAAAGAAAGGATATATCAGAGTCAGGAGGGGGATGTGTCCATTCGCGGATGTTGCTCTTGGGATGGCGACATAAAGCTGGCCATAAGAACTTGTGTAAGATCTACAGCAACTTTTTTTGAGATTTTGTCATTGCAAAGGACACCTTTATAGGGAAAAACACCCAAGAAAAAAATTTGGGCTAAGCAATTGTACTTTTATCACCATAATTCCCATTTGATCAGCATCGCAATCAGCGTCGTAACCATCATTGTCATCATCAGAAAGGCATTTGGGTCAGGCAGCATCAAGGCCGCCGCCAAAATTGATTCACACTCAGTCTATTTTTTTCTGTTCACGATTGGACAAATTTTGTCTTTTTTTCGACTTCTTTAATTTATTTTACGAGATTCGACTACATAAACTCTGATGATCAACCTACATTTCCTAATACATTCATGAAGTACTTTTCAAGGCGCTTCCAATGGTGCTCATTGTGATAAATACTTTGACTGAACTTATTGAGTAATTTAATAAAATTTGAAATGAGGTTTTTAGCTAAAATAGCCAGATTTTGCATATGAAAGCCTCATAAAAGTGGTTTCAGAGGTTGCTTTGGATCGAGAGAAACATTTTGAATTAATATATGCCATAGTGAAAGTCTTCGTTTTCAAGGTGAAAAATGCGATCGTTTAATTTTCGATGAAAACCATGAGGGATACCTCATGGTTTTTGGTCGATTTTTGGCCATGTTTTTTTTTGGCCTAAAAAGCTGAGCAAAAGTGTCAGGAAGTTACTACTACTCAAGTACAATTGTTTAGCGTTATTCCGGTGGCTCAGGAAAGCCTACATGTCAAGGTATTAAGGCTTGAAAGCTGTCAAATTTGGTTGTATATTGCTTTATAGAGTTTATTTACACGGCATAAATCACGTCTTTGGTAGCAGAAATTTACTGGAAGGGTAGTTCTGCAGCCTGTGCAATCTCTAATTCAATTAGAAAGTATACTGATTTTGTTAAAGCTGATTCATGCATATCTTGATGTGATTTGTTGCTGGTAAGCTTATTAACTATGGGAATGAAAACCCAAATTTGCTGTTTGAATACTATGGTTTTGCACCTTCGCTTCGCTACAGTAAAATCCCCATTACGGTTAATATTACCAAATGTTGGGTTAGATGCTTAGTTACTACGGGTTGTCGCCTTCACTTTGCTACGACAAAATTGCTTCATAGTTCAATGTTACCAAATGTTGAATTAGATGCGCTATGTTCTTGGTGGATGGGCTTAGCACCTCCTCCAAGCCCCCTCCCCATTGCCGGCTTTGCTGGTGGTTTTATTCACCTTGTACGGCACACAATTCTTTAAAATTCTCAAAGGATATGGTTTCTTTGTCTACGTTTTTTGAATGTTTTACAGTATATATATTCGATAAACAAGCTTGATAAAATACAAATGGAAGAGATTGTATGAATAGGTGATTCAGGCCAGATATTGTATATGAAAATGGTCTCAACTGCTACCAGATTTCGATAATTGATCATTTACATTTATACACAATGCAAACTACTTTTATCATAATAGCTGTCATTGCTACTTTGCTTTTAGCCACTACCTATCATGCTTTTGCTGCTACTATCGCTACTGAAATGAAGGCAATGTACAAGTGGCGACTAATCGCTGGTCCTGGTAGTGTCGTTGATGCTGTCCCTGTTGCTGTCTCTGTAAAGAACACTGGAGAGAAGTTTGACGCTGCTCTAGATGAAGAGGCTGTTAATATTAGAGACAGGCTTTAGCAGCAATACGCTTAGTGTTCTTATTGTTAGAGATGAGCGAATATTATTATAATAGTATGCATTTTCCTGCCAAATTTACAAACCTCAATAACATCGCAATAAACACATGTTGAGTTGCTTTTACATTCAAATTTGTCTCATTTCACTATAATGTTTGACTTGCTGATTTGATAAGAGCTTGCTGATCATTAAGAAACTTACCGCTTTCCTAAACTGTATCTTCAAACATATTGTATAAATCTGGAATGATCATCAATACAACCAATAGTAATAAATTAATGCAAAATTTACAGTAAAAATCACAATTAGCCCATTAGAATTGCTTATAAAACCTTTCAAGAAGCAGCAAGCAAACCAAGGAACTACATTGAGCCGCTGCCAACACTTGGATTTGCTGTTTGATTTCAGGAACCTGACTTGATAGCTCAAATCACACCAAATCGTACCAACTTGAAGAGTCAATTTAGAGCAGTTTTTGAAGGTTCCATGATATGAGATTTGGCGCAAAGTGTTTCTATAAATCCGTACTTACTTCCTGTAGCAATTTCTCGATTTTTATTTTGTTCCAAAATCGACCCTTCCATCCTTGCTACCGTAGGGCAAAAAATCGCGAAAACAATTTGTCCGATATTTCGCCCTGAAATCGAGAATTTTTTTTATAGAATTCCTGTCAAGAATAGATAGAAAAGCTTGGATTTTTATGTAAAAGTATTTCCTAAGGCTTTTTATATACAAATTCTTGATTTAAATGGCAAAAACTGATTTTTCTATTTTCGCGTTTTGCTCTAGATTATTGGTGACAGAAAATAATGAGACTAGTACCATTCGAACCGAAATTTGATGAAAAACAAACTTTACTTAATAATTTTTGGCTGTTTCTTATACTCTTTCGCGAAGAATCTAGCAAAAGCGTTCAAAAGTTCATCCGAATGGAGAGATTGACGAAGAGTTATCTAACGGGGATTAAAACGCGTTTAAAGAGGGCGTCCAGCCATTTTGCCTGATAGCAGTTTGCACAGCTAATTTCATGCTTTTTCAAAGGCTAATCCCTACCTAACAAGACATTATCTCGCATGAATTATACACTTAAAATAGAGCTAGATATAATTAGTCTTGTTTCCCTTTTGAATTTTTTGCAAATTTGATGGAGTTCTTAGCCATAGTCTGAACCATATGCCTTGCCTTTCCGCCCTACTAAAAAGGGTAGGCAGAGTGACAGTCCAGCAACCCTCTTTTCTTTCTTCTCTTTCGCGTACAACAAATAACAAGAACTACCATCGATCATGGAACAATCACAACTACAAGCACAACTCGATCCTAACACATACCAAGAGCTAGATGCTCTTCGAGGCAAACTATGGTCATTGCAAGAGACATTTTCCTCCCATCTCACCTATTTAAAAGAACCCAAATTCCCATTCGCATGGCCAGACTTACTCAATAAATTCAACATTCTGACCGCAAGATTCGCGTCCCTCTCTGAAGACTTTTACAGCTATACCGAAAAGGGGAGCAATGCGACACTACCAAAACTGATGGTTCATCCTTATATACCCACCACAACCGAGCAAGAGACCAATATTTTAAGCGTTTTGCTAAGAACCAAGCTCATTCCAGATATAGAAAGGTTGGAGGCAGAGACTCAAGCAACAATTGCCCAGGAACTGCTATCCGATAACGGAGCAGCGACAGCAGCATCACAATCTGCTCATAATGTGGATGATGAACAACTCATATACGAGCAGTTGAAGCAGTGGAATCACTTGCTGGAGCGCCATGATCGGTTAGCTGTGGATGCAGCTAATTTTATCAGTGAACTATCCACAGATCATCGGCCTAATTTCATGCTGCGTTACGAGGATCAAGTAGAAGAAGACGAGGACGAGGATGAGGACGAAGAGATGGAGGAAGAACAAGAATGGGAAAAGATGGGCTTTCCATCAGAGGAAATTTGGAAAAAGTGGAAACTAGAATGTTTGATGAATTTCTATAGTAGTGGCAAAAATGAAGTGATTGGTAGTGATCTCAAAAAGTTAGCAACAGCTACCAAGAAATAAACTATAAATAGGATGAAAATGCTCCTAGTTTCTGCAAACAAAAAAAGGAGCTATTCCACGTGGATGTAGTGTAGCAGTGAACAAGCAAGCGAGCTCCAGGAGGGCCTACTCAGCCATTTTATATATAAATTTCATTAATTTCAACAGGCTTAACCCGATACAAGCACCTTCTATATCAGTCTTGTTTGAAAAGACCTGCTGTTACTGCTTTTGAACTATTATAATACACAATTTCATTTGTATCTTGCTTTTCTTTCTTCTTTTTCCCTCTATTTTTTCTTCTTTTTTTTTTTACCCTTTTTTGATTACAAACAAAACGACATACTTGACAGCCTATTATTTGTACTATTTGACATGAGTGGAAATAATATCAAAGTTGTCGTACGTTGTAGACCTTTAAATGCTCGAGGTAGATTGCTGTGTGCCTGAATACGGCTTGCGAATCACTTGATCTAACATCTATCAAATACATCATTAGAAAAGGCTCGAGGTGCGCCTTGTCTTATTCGTATGGAGGGCAACAAAACCATCATTAGTAAACCACCTGGTTCAACAGAAGATCCTAAAGCATTTACATTTGATCAATCTTATTGGTCTGCGGATAAAGACGACGACGAATACGCAGATCAGGAACGTGTTTATAACGATCTTGGCAGAGAACTACTCGATCACGCATTCAACGGATACAATTGCTGTATATTTGCCTGTAAAGCGTCTCTACTTTGCCTGTTGTTTATATTAGATGACTAACCTTCTTATTTTAGACGGACAAACGGGCTCTGGTAAATCTTATTCTATGGTAACTGAAATGTACGAATCTTTTTTGTTACACAACTAATATAAAACATTCAAACTAGATGGGTTACGGTGAAGATAAAGGTATCATTCCAAGAACTTGCTCAGAATTGTTCGATCGCATCCGCTCTGCAAAGACAGACACATTAAACTTTCAAGTGGAGGTGTCCTACATCGAAATCTACAACGAAAAGGTCCGAGATTTGTTGAATCCTCGCAACAAGAGCAACCTCAAAGTAAGAGAACATCCTACCTTAGGTCCCTATGTTCAAGATTTATCCCGCTTGGCTGTCAATTCTTTTGAAAATATCGATCAACTGATGGATGAAGGCAACAAAGCCCGTACTGTTGCAGCTACAAATATGAATGAGACATCCTCTCGCTCTCATGCTGTATTCACTATATTCGTTACGCAAAAGATATTAGATCCTGCCACAAAACAAGTTACTGACAAAGTCGCTCGTATAAGGTAGCCGATGCTTACAAATGACATGTTTTGACGTTTGTTACTCATGTTTGTGCTCTCTAGTTTGGTAGATTTAGCTGGTAGTGAGCGTGCCAACAGCACTGGCGCGACGGGTGTGCGGTTGAAGGAAGGTGCCAACATTAACAAGTCTTTAACCACACTTGGTAAAGTGATTGCAGGTCTTGCTGAGCAAGCTTCTGCTGAATCAACAAACAAGAAGGTCAAAAAACCAAAAGAAGCGTTCGTACCTTTCCGTGATTCCGTCTTGACGTGGCTTTTGAAGGATTCTCTGGGCGGTAACTCGAAAACCTGCATGATTGCTGCTATTTCACCAGCCGATTACGATGAGACCATCAGTACATTACGTTATGCTGACCAAGCCAAGAAGATCAAGACTAAAGCTGTTGTAAACGAAGATCCAAATGCCAAGGTGATGCGCGAATTAAAGGACGAAGTTGATGCTTTGCGTCAAGCTCTCATGGTATATGCACCAGAAGAAGTGGAAAAGATTCAAGCGATTGCACATCCAACGAAAAAACGAGCATCTACACCAGCTGCCAGTGCAGCTGCTCCCACGGTTGCTAAGATTGCAAGGCCAAAATCATTATCGCCGCAGTCTCTACCAGCAAATTCGAAATCTACCGTCGTCTTTACCGATGCTTCTGGCAATACAACGCAACTCACCAAAGAAGAAATGGTGGAGCAGCTGCAAATGACAGAGAAACTGCTCGGTGATTTGAATCAAACATGGGAAGAGAAGCTCCACAACACCGAGAAAATCCATATCGACAGAGAGAAATCACTCAAACACCTTGGTATCACAATCGAAAAGAACAATGTTGGCCTGTATACGCCTAAAGAGGTGCCTTATTTGATCAACTTGAACGAAGACCCACTCATGTCAGAATGCTTAATGTACAATATCAAGCCTGGCATCACGCATGTAGATCAAGATCTCGTAGACGACGACGTGGGAGAAAGAACAGATGGAAGTGGATCCATTCGTTTGAGCGGAAGCAACATCAACAAGAATCACTGCTATTTCGAAAATACAGACGACATTGTCACATTGTACCCTCGCCTCGATTGCACTACCATGGTAAACGGCATGCGTATCTCAGAACCCAAGCGTCTTCATAGTGGATACCGTATCATTCTGGGCGATCACCATGTGTTTCGCTTCAACAACCCTGGAGAAGCACTCAAAGAACGTGAGCAGCAGCAGCAGCAGCAACAACCTAGCAGCAGAGCCGATAGTCCGTGTGCACCACCATCTCCCATCTCATCAGGCGATGCTGTTGTGCCTCCACCTTTGAACGAAGTAATGGACTGGAATTTTGCTCGTCGTGAAGCCATGCTCAATACGTACATCAGCGACTCTAATTTTGAAAACTTCACCAACGAGGACCTCGACAAACTGTTTGACGATGTTGCCAAAGTGCGAGTCATTCGTAAACGCCAATCCGCATCCTCAGACACGCTTTCACGTCGCACATCATCCTCGTCTTCTGTCCGCCGTAGCAACTACTCTACCACGGCATCCTCTGTATTTTTGGACGACGATAATACCTACTATACAACCGACACCAGCACAGTGTCCTCCTCTTCTTCACTGCTGGAGCAAGACATGGATTTTCATCGCAAAAGATACGAAGCCAAGCTCCTCCGTCTGTCCCGTCGTATGTCATATTCACCTCAGCAGCCCCTTGAATTCACACCACAAGAGCGTATTGCCGTGCAGAAAGTGGCTGATCATTGGAGACGTCAACGCAACGTGGCTATGGCTCAGGTAATGCTGACGCACGATGTCTATGTTCGCCAAGCCAATGTATTGGCCACCAAGGCCAACAAGGACGTTTTCTACCAATATGCCGTTGTCCATGATGATGTCTCTGCGCAAGCCATGTCGTACAATGATACTGATTTACTCAAAGCTGCCAAACCTTGCATCGCTGTGCAAGTGGTCGATAAAAAGCATGGCGCCGTCTACGTTTGGTCTATCGAAAAGTTCATGGCTCGTCTTCGTTATCTGACGGCTGCCTCCTATAGTGATGATGCCAAAAAGTACATTAAAGGTGAGGATGTCTTCTACGATGTACCTGAATTCACGTTGCTGGGTCTGGCCAAGGTCCCCTTGCGTAACCTAGCAACCCAAGTGCCTGTGGAGAGTATCTTGTCAGTACATTGTCGTAGCACAGGTCGACTGATGGGACACCTAAAAGTGCTGATTTCACCTATTGCTCGCTCTGTGCGTCATCCCTATCAACAAGATGCCATCATGGAAGACGAAGACCCTCGCAAGTTGCTGCATGTTGGACAGCAACTGGTGTTTGAAATCGTCGTACTCGAGTTGAGTGGCCTGAATCCCAAGCAATTCTCCCGCGCCCATGCCCAATTTCGATTATCTACCTTTGGCAGCCATTTGGATGGTGTGTTTGCCGCTGATACGACAGATGTTACCGAAGAACCCATTCAATTCAACTACCATCAAACACTGTCCATGGCTATCACAGAGGAAATGCTGCATATCATTGAGACCCAAGATATCTCATTTGAAGTGTTTGGTAAGCCTTGTCAAGACTACCTACAAGAGTTGATTATCAAGCAAGACGCTGACGAAGCGCACAAGATGATACCATCCAAGTCATCAGAAGATGTTGTTGCTCATATCCAAATACGTGAAATTACGCCTGAAGGCGACTACAAGCCAGTGCCTGTGGAGTCACCTCATGTATCTGCTGGTGAAATCCTTGGTCAGCACGATACCTTCTCTTTGCAGCAAGGCCAACAACGCCGTGTCGTCCTATCGCTTTCAAGCACAGCAGCACTCGATAAGATTGTCGATTTGCGTATTGGTCACATCCGTCTCGTAGACAACAAGCATCGTGTGGTGGAGTCTCCTAATACCAGCAATGCTGACATTCCACTCAACATCATTTCCAGCACACATGTCGACAACAAATGCACTGTGGATTGCGCTTGGGACAGCTCTTTGCACGATACTCGTTTGTTGAACGCCATCACCTCCAATGCTCAGAAAGTAGCACTGACACTGACCTGGGCTGTCCGCTGCCCTGACTCCATGCTGTATTTCGAAAAGGACATTTACGTACACATCAAGGATCAACAGAAAGCTGCTAATATCAAGAAAAAGACGCCCAGCAAGCGTTCCTCTGTGATTCTCAATTTCTTTACCAAATCAGCACCTATCAAGATCCAAATCACATGCTTGTATGTAGTGCATTACAAACCTGATTTGAGCGGTGGCCTGGATTTACCCTGGGTGGCTGCACCAGCTCGTGTTTTGTGCCAAAAGCAGCGTCGAGAAATGCAACGCAGGGAACAAGTAGACGCACTGCGGTACGCTCTCTTCTTGACAGAACAATTGGATCGTCTGTGTGGCTCTACAGTGACAGCAAAAGCAACCTCTATGACCGCACAAGATGTGATAGACCTTTGGACCAAAAAGAACAAGAGAATGACATGCGATGATCCAGCCCTCTCACAAGATACATTGATCAAGCCCACTGTGCGTCGCTGGATACCTCAAATTCATCAAATATCTATACCTGTCATTGAAGACTACACAAAAAAGGGCTTTCTGATGCGTAAAAACGACTCCAACAACAGTGAAGCCTGGGATAAATACTGGTGTGTGCTGACTGGGTAAGTCATTTGCTACATAGTCTCAATGTGCGATATACACTGACAAGTTATATGCAGACAATATCTCTTCTTGTACCTCGATCAATCCGAGATCAATGAGATTGATATCCTCAACATCAAAGGCGTACACAAAGAGGACGCTAAATTTGATGCCATGGTACGTTGAGCCGTACACTGATTGCCGCCATGATGACTAACCTTGACTATAGAAATCCAAAACCTTCTTTACAATTGATACCCTATATGATTCACATACCTTCCAGGCACCCGATAATTCAGCAATGAATGAGTGGCTTACTATGATAGCTTAACCTATGCCCCTTCTCTTTTTTTTTCAATCTATGTATCAACACGACTCTTATCTATGAATGCAGTCTACTAGCTTTGTATCTATGCTGTAACATTACTATATCTTCTCTAAATGTATACCTTTTATTCTTTACTCATGCCTCTTCTGTTTTGATTATGTTTGCAATAAAGCTTTTCTTGTATAATTACTCATCAATTTAGGGCTGATTGTACTACAGTGTTTCCAGGGCATGTCAAATTGTTTTTATTGGCATTCGTTGGCTAGATACGTTACATTAGATTCTGTCATGTATTCAACACTCAGTATATCATCCCTGATATCCAGGAATGAGGGAAAATAAGCATCTCATTGGGCGTAACATTGATCTTTAACTGTGTTCCAAGGAACAGCAACTCACGGCAAATTGCAGTTGGAAATCAGCAAGCTGAAGCTACCAATACCATCTATATAACTGATGTCTTGAAATTCAAGATCCAGCATTACTCAGATGCATGGCTTAAATATAGATCGAACAGGGGCAGTAGGTATATCTTGAAAGAGTGGCATGTAAACACTATGTACTCAGCACGGCAGAGCCGACATCTACAGATCAGAAGCTCATTAATGCAATCATACATTTACACAGCGCATATAACCAATGCAACTGCCCTTTTGTAACCTGTTTCAGACCGAATTACTTATGACGATAGATGAGAAGGAGAAGGAGAGAGAGCCGCAAACTGCCTCTGCATACTACAAATATACCTCAAATCAACAAGTTTATTTTTTGAGTCGCAGTCAGCATGACCATATATCAACAACTCTTTTGTCTCGCACCGAAACCCATTCTTTTCTCTTTTATCACCACTCTTGCTACCACCCTCTCAGTCCATTGATCCGCAACTGCAGTGAAACAACAGCACCGCATCAGCATAACAAATGCTTCCAGAAGATCTACACATAGAGATCATTGAAAAAATACTTGGCTATCTGCCTCGTCATGCCAAACAACCATGCTTGCTCGTTTCCAAATCCTGGTATCAAGTTACACTACCTGGCTACAATCAATACATTCAACTGTTGGGCAGCGAAGATTTAATATTATTATGCAGAAAGATGTTCCATGAGCCCGTTTCCATCAAAGACAGTGACATTCGCTGCCTCTCTTTGAATGCAGAGAAGGTGAGCGATAGATACATTGTCAGAGGAGACGTCCTTGTGCGAATTTTGAACGCTTGCATCCATCTACGAACACTACAATTGTTGCATGACAGTAACCAGTTCCTCGAGTTCCTGTGTCAGACGAGATCAGAGCTACATCTCGATGCTTTAAAGATAATCTATATCCCATTTAGTGTAGTTAATAGAGTTACCAGAGACAGAGAGCTCACAGCCATCTTTCACTACTGCCAAAAGATCATCCAGATCTCTTTCAACATCAATAGAGACACTCTGCGTGGTATCCCAGGGAACATGGATCTAAGCTACTACTTGAGCAAATTCAACCGATTGCAGACATTGGCCATTCATTTCAATGATGAAGTTGTCTTGCACGATATTGTATCCGCATGTCCACAACTAGAGTCACTACGCTTGTTTGGTGCTAGCTTCTTCCCCCCCCCCCACTGCCAAATTGCAAAATGTACAAGGCAGACAATACCATCAAGAAGCCTATCTTTTCCGTCAAATCACAGATCCACACCGTCGTCGTTGATACCAGCTTGTTTACAAACGACTTGCTGGAGTATCTCGCCATCCACATCAAGCACCTGTACCAATTGACACTGTGTGGCTCCGTTTCTCGCAGTACGCAAAGCATCATTGCAGCTCTCACTGCCTACAGTAAACAACCGAGACGGAATGCATTGGCCCTCAAGTGTATTCGTTTCGAGAGCTACCTTAGTTATTCGAATGAGATTATACAGCAAACCAGATCGTGCTTTTCCTCTTCATTGCTCAGACTCGACCTTAATGTGATTTCAGCGAGATCAGGGACGAAAACAACAATCTCATGCTCGATTTGATTGGCTTCAATCTGGACTATCTCATCACTGATATCCAAAATGTCTTTGAAGGCAGAATTACTGGCTTGAGTAAGACATCTCTGGAAGTAACGACAACAAACAACGTCATGCCAAAGACTGTGTATCTTCAAAGAAAGTCAAAATGGACGCCAGATAACCTGTTCAACCTTAGAGATAGCAACCAATATGTCAATAAGAACGCGCGAAATAGAAGACTGAAATCTGTTCATACCTGCGTGTTAACTATCAAGGCTGACTCCATCCATTATGTACGATTGTATTGCCACAGCCAGGATAACCGACATCTCTTTAGTCTAATCATAAACCTGAGAGCTTAATTCCTTTTCACTTTCAAGCATAGCACAATAGGCTTTCGTGTAATTGAAAATGGTTGTTTTCTTTATTAGTAATACACAATTGGGGATATGTTATATGATCAACAAGGCTGTTAAACAAAAAATGTAATTAAATTATATATAGTTGTAATGGTAGTATGTACATCTGTTGTCTGATCAAAGAGAAAGCATTAGATTTAGGCCTTCTTTTGTAATCTATCAACAGGGAATCTTCTTGCAAGGTAAGCATGAACAGGGCCAATTACTACAAGCTTCTCATAGACGAGACCTGCAGCCATATTACCAAGACATAAGCCCCAGAGTCTCCAACGGAAATCAGAAGGCATAATATTGTGACCCAAAGGTGTGTTGTAAGGCTCAATATAAGTAGGTGGCACTTCATAGCCAAGCTCGCTCAAGACTTCCTTTGTACCGCAGTTGAATCTGAACAGACAACCAAATCTGTTGGGGTCAGCCAACATCCAGTAAGACACAATAGCAATGTAGAGCAACCAGAGGAATACCAAAGAATAGTTTCTCCAGAAGGCCTTTCTAAATTTGTAGCCATAGTTGAAGACGGCAGCATTGTTGACAAACTGGAAGAGACAGACCAAGGCCAGAACTTCAGCTTCGTAGTTATCAGCCAACAACCACCACTTGGAGATATCGACAGCAGAGGCATCAAACTCGTGACAACGGAACCAGGATTGCTTGAACAACATGTCAAAAGCACAGGCCAAGAAGATCCAGTTGATGGCAACAAGACCCATGACAGAGGCAAGTGTTTGAGGGCCGAGCAAGCGAGCAGTTGGTCTTTGACCTTCTAGTCGAGTAGCAGCGTGAGATTGAGAAACAGCGTATGTGAGCAAGACGGTAATCAAAACATCAACGGCAATCCAGACGTTTTGTGAGAGAGTAACAGAAAAATAAAAGGTGTAGATCTTAAGCATCATCATGACTTGGCCGTACATGACAAGATACTTGTAGTTGGTGATAGAAGTGGCAAGAGCACCACGACCTTGACGAATCAATTCAACACAAGAGCGAACACTTCTGTTGCTTGTAGAGAAGGGAGACACAATAGAGGCTTCAGCATCAGACATGGCAATACCAACATGAGCAGCACGAAGAGCACCACAATCGTTGCCACCATCACCAGTCATGGCAGTAATGCCTCTTTCCATATGGAGTTGAACACACTTGACCTTACCGGCGGGCGTCATACGAGCAAATACACGCGTGTCCAAAAGATACTTTCTAATCAAGTCGGTTTCGCAGAGCCAGTCGAAGGCCTTACCAGTCATTGCCAATTCACAGGGAGTATGAGCTTGGTTCAATAAAGCCTCGTCAATGTTAACATCAGGGAACACGTCAGGCTCATCCACGTCAGACCACACGATACGGCCCATGGACTTGTCGAAATCACCCAAAAAGACGCGAGACCCTTCATTGACCATACCACATTGACGACCAATGTAAACACCAGTCAAAGCAGTATCACCGGTAATCATAATGGTACGAGTAGCACCACGCTTCAATTCCAGAATGTTCTCAGTTGTGTCTTCCTTGAGTTGGTTCTTGAAGATGATCAAACCACAGAAATCAATGTGCTCTTCCATTTGGTCACGGTTCCAGTTACGGAAACCTTCAATACCGCCAATTTGCTCGAGATCAAGTTCACGGTGCGCGAGAGCCAGAACATAGCAGCCTTGACGAGCCAAACCAGAGGTAACAGAGTTGTAATCAGCAGGGATAGACTTGGGGCTACACAAATCCTTGATCTTTTCGTAAGCACCCTTGACAAAGATATGGACCTTGTTGGTGTGAGTATCAAGGACAGCGACAGACATGGACATACGAGCATGGACGAATTCGAAGCGCTTCAATACATGAACAGCGGCACCAATCTTACCAGGAGCAGCCATGGGAGGAGTCAAAGTATCCACATAAGCTTCATCTTCAGGCTCATCCTTCAAGGTCCACTTGGAAGAACGGAACATTTCAATGTCCACAGGATTACCAATGAATTGGCCATTCAAGGTAGTAACAGCGTGACATGTAGCAATACCAATTTGCATTAATCTAGGAATCTCCTCGATGCTTTCAATGTGAGAGTCGAATTCAGGGTTGACGGCATTAGCGCGTTGTTCCACAATGTTGTCAATATCAGTGATAGGCTTAGCACCAAAAAATTCGAGACCTTCCTTGGTCAATGTACCGGTCTTGTCAAAGCAAAAGAGTTGCACTGTTCCATATACACATCAGTATCACTAATACACACACTTGTATTGTATTCTTACCTTTGCCTGCCATCAAAATACGAGGGAGATCAACACAAAAAATCTGTTTCTTTCTTAAACGACCAGCAGCGACGGATTGGCCCACAACAAGAGCAGCAGGGAGCAAGGGAGAGACCAATTGACAGATAGCAAACATGGCATAGAACCAGGCACTAGTGCCACTGGTGTAAAGCCAGATAGCCAAACCAAGACAGACCAAACCACAGCAGAGCAAAATCAAAATGACAATCTTGATTTGTTCGTCAAAAATGAAGGAAACACGAGTGGGGAACAGGATCTTCTTGACCAATTCACCCTTATCAGTGGCAGTACCAGTGTTCATGACCAAGGCAGTGACAGGAGTGTTGTGTTCAGTACGTTGCGCTTGAGAGATGATAGTACCAGCAAAGATTGTGGAGATCTTACCGGCACCCATGCTATCATAAACAGTGGGGTCATTGGCACGGAGAGGGAACTTGCGGATAGGCAAGGGCTCACCAGTAAGAGAACTCTCATCAGCCACAATGTTACCAGTCAAGACGACAGCATCACAGGGAGCAGTTTTACCTTCCACAACTTCAAACACATCGCCAGGCACTAAATCAGAGGTGGATACTTCCTTCCATTGACCATCACGCAAAATATTGATGTTGTCAGTAAATTCAGCCATCTTCTTAATACGAGTTTCAGACTTGAGACGCACATAGACCTTGACAATAGCAGAAACAAGAATGACAGCAGTGTCAGCGATACCTACTTGCCAGTAAGCAAAGTAGTAGAACAGCCAAAGAGCAGTAAATTGGTAAATGTAGAAAAAGGAGGCAAACTCGCGAAGAATAGCCATAGGAATATTAGGCACGTAGACTTCGATGAAGTTGGGCCCGATCATTTCTTCGCGTTCCAAAGCCTCCTGAGAGGTCAAACCTTGAGTCAATTGGGCAAGTTCAGCATTTGTTTCACCAAGAACATAGTGGTGAGGCTTGAAGAGCTGTGTTTCAGGATGATAAACATAACGAGTGCATTGGTAGATAAAGTACTTGGTACCATTGCCAGTCTTTTCCAAAGAAGAAGTAGCAATTACCATATCAAGACCGAAAATTCGCTTAGCATTCTTCTCCATGATACGAACATATTCTGTGATTTTGTCCTCGTCATCGGTAGAGACAATGATAGCAGGTTCAGGGCGCTCCACTTGGACATATTGGCCTTGAGAATACATGCATTGAATACGGAAAAAGTTGGGAATACGGCTCTTGAAGACAGTAAGCGTTGCGAACCAGATAAAGAAGATGTACCATTGACCCATAAAAGTACTGGACTGAACAAGAGCATTACCGCGGAAGAAGAGGTAATTTTGATAGTAATCATAAGTGATCAAAATCATATATGCAATCATACCAAGAGTTTGCAGCATGTACAAAATAAAGCAGAGAGTACCAAAGAAATCACGTTTGTAAGCCTTGATAGTCATTTCTTCTTGTTCTTCAGAGTTCATGGAAGAGGAGCTATCAGACTCCTTGCTGCTCTCATCACCACTGATGTCCTTCTTTTCATTGATATCATTATAATCGTCGCGCTTCGTCTCGCGCACTTGATGATAGCGAGCTTTGATCACCTTTTCTCTGAGAAACTTGTAACAAGACCAGGCAATAAGGAAGAATGCACAGGAGCCGTAGAATACATAGTAAGCAATAAAGACAGGCTCAGTGAATGTAAGCTCGCCATAATCAGGAGTAGGACAAGTGCTCCACATCATAGGTTGAGGGTTAGCATTCCAGCTAGTAAGGTTGGAGACACCAAAGTAGTTACCACAAGCAGCTTCCGTTTGGGCTTGCTTGTTGGCAGCATCAAAGTGTTCGACATTGACACGAGCAGTATCTAAACACTTATAGACAGCACCACCTTCCAAAGAAGGTGCGCCAGGGCAGGCACATTGAGATGTGAGATCGGTGGGACAAGATTCTCGACAGGAACCATCAACACAGTATGTCTGACCAGCAGGACATGAGGGACGCACCATCTCAGGGCATTGGGAAATTTCACGGACACAAAGAGCAGGGCAAGGATAGGCATTGTAGGTAGGCAATGGACATTGATTGCCATTCAGGTCCCAACCATTGACTAGAAGAATCTGTTAGATATACAAACAAAAACAAATGAGCATGTGTACTTGTTTACCTGTGTTCCAAGCAGGAGTTGCTTTGACGACCATTGGTAACATTGCAATCAAGCAAGATAGTAACCAAAAGTGTTTATTCTTCTGATGATGTATCATGATTTCTTAATTTACAAATCTGACTTCGTTCCTTTCTTTTTTGTTTTTGTAGCTTAAGTTTGAAATGTTTGATTGAGGAACTTTGTTGAAGGAAATACACAAAATGTAAAAATTTTTAGCTTCGATGAAATCGAGCAATTGATCATACTATATATATATATATATATAGTTTTTTTTTTTTTTTTTTTTTTTTTTTTTTTTTTTTCTATACGCTAGGTGTGAGTTCATTCTGGATCCATCGGATGCTTAAATTACCATGGTAACCAAGGTAATCAAAAATGCTACAGAAAAAAGCTCCCTGAAAATCTAGCAATGCCGACAATAAGTCAGCTTCAAGATCAGGATTGTTGAATGATTCGGGAATACAGGCACCTTTTGTCTGGGGGAAAACTCAGTTCCAACAAATCAATGTGCCACGCTGGCACAAGCCTAACCCAATTTTCAAATCAACAATAGATAATGAGAGGTCTATGTTTCAACCTTGAATGGAAACTTCGATTTCAAGAACGACATTTACACTGGATCCTTGGCATGTCAAATTTCTATATGTATGATTCTACACCGGGAACTGAACAAACATGTTTTATATTCTTCTGCGATAGGATGCCCGATGATGAAATATGATGATGGATCTCGAGTCGAGCAGATGATGGTAGTTTATGTAGTGAAATGAGAGCTGTACAAGCACCGGAGTTTCGGCCTTGACGTCATGTTCAAATGTAAGATTTCGTATGACCTTAATACTAAAAGGTTAAGGCTTGTTTTCCATGTCAAACCCAATTAGTAACCACATTTCACGGCATTTAGATATGTTTTTTCTCGGTTAATTTATTCACAAAGCTTTTCGTTCCTTAATTCAGTAACTTTTCGACGATATCTATTTTTTTTATATGTCCAAATGTCTTGGATAATCCAGCTTATTAAAAAGCAGAAAATAAAATGTGAGTCCGGGTAATGATAGTTTAATTGGCTACTTGTATTACTGAATGATAAGTTGGTTTTATTGCATATCAATCTCAGTACATGTGGGCCTTTTGTTGAGTACCCACGCCTTGGTTTTCTAGCTCAACTAATAATCAAATGCACTGACATTTGATGTGGTTGTTAATGTATGCTTCTTTTACAATCAATGAGATTTTTGGTTTTCAGGTACATGTATAAACTATAGCTATAAGGGCATGCTAAGGCCCATCACATAGCGTTAAGATGTTCACATTACCTTCTTCTTTGGTAGCACAAATGCCTCCAAATTGTTTGCATTGACATTTCAAATCAAAACCGCTTCCATGAGCACTTTTCTGCTACATGGCATAACACATCTCATTTGTAGGAGCATCTTGTCTTTATTCCTGTCGATATGACTTTAGCTGATGACTTCCCTTTATTCCATTTCACAGATGCAGCAGAAATTGACTTTAAATCAAACCGTAAATGCCCCTTATACAAATATTTGACACAATTTATATCATACGGCGATAGAGTGCCCATTGCTAATACCCGCTAATCCCTTCTTTTTTTTTTTTTATTCCCTTATCCTTCAATAATTTAACTGATAGCAGCTTATCTGCTGAATAAACTGGGAAGATGTGTATATAGTTCTCGGTTTATGATTCTGATACATCAACAACAATGATATTGAATGAGCGAATTTGAATAACCGTAACTCGGTGGCAGAAAATCTGAAGGAATGTATACATTTTGGCCATGTATGACATGCACTAATGAAATATATATTGTAATTTTATTGTGCATCGTACGATATAGCCATTTTATTCAAGTGTAATAAGCAGTTTTCTCATCGTTTGAACAGCAAATAGCTACATGTCATCCCTATCCTCCGTCTTTAATTATAAACATCTATCTTATTGGTAACAATAATTGTAAATGACGGCATGTCTAGTTAAACAAGAAAAAAAAATGAATGTGCTCAGAATTCCTTGGTGAAATGACATATTCTTGCTCCATTTTGTGATATATCGAGCATCTGCCAGGACTAGAAACAGAGCTGAAAGCTCGTATTGTAATGCAATGCTATATATTTGTGGTTCATGTCCTTGTCTTTATGACAAGTCCACATCGTATAGAATTTTGTTTTCTGAATAAATAAAAGCGGAGATGTTAAGAAATGATGTCAAACCGCAAAGCCATCAAGCAATCTGTTGTTACTCCAAGGATAGTGTCACAGAATATAATACCATTTTCATGTCGGCAAAATGCTTGTTTGCCAAGTAGCGCCTGAATAGGTCTAGTGGTTTCAGTATAAGGTGTAGAAGCATGACCTCTTCTTTTAAAGTTGTAAACGATGCGATCATTTTATGGGAACATCTCAAGGCAATAGTCTGACATTTACATTTTGCTAGCACTGACGACAAAGAATTTGAATACATATAACAATAAACTTTGCATGCGAGCTCCTGAGCAAATGCTTAGTTTTTTTTTTTACTGAAAATAACTAATAATTACAAGGTCATACATGCACTAATATCTAATTATACCCTCCCCACGAATGTGTACCTTAAAAATATAGCATTCTCTAGTACATATCTTGCAAATGCTAATAAATTTCACCAAGAGAACCGACATGATAAAAACCAATATCTTTGTCTATCATAGTAAAGCAATCGTTTTAGATATATTATACTTTTAGAAATCTTACGGTAGTACTAGCATAATTGCAAGGTCATTTGTAAAATTCTATTGTCGAAGATGGTACAAATCTTATTAGTCAAAATATTGATCACATTGCCTCAATCGATTCGACTATTTACAGCCTTGATAACCGTGGTTTTATGCAAATATCCATCCAAACACATATCATTATTTTTTTATCACATAAAAAAGCTTTATATTCCTTCTCTATTATAGACAGATATCCGGCAATCAAACATTGTGCGATTCAACTCTAACTCAATTGCCTAGTCTAGAAAATATAAAATACTAGCAACGCTACACAGAATTACCTTATGTTTGTAGGCTAGCATAAGAAAAATAAGCTTGCCGCTTAGTGCTAGGATTAGAAAAGAACATACAAGGAATTTATCGGTTAGTTGGTCGTTAATTCACAGAAAAGAACAGCTTTTTTCAAGTGATACGTTTCTTTCTAGAAGCAATCAAATGAGAAGAAGAGTATTTCTTCGATGAGACAGTGTGGGGTCAATTTGAATGGATACGTCGACTGAGGTATGATAGAAACATTCTTTTATTCAAGGCATGGCGCTGCCACAGTAATATACATTCGGCAACAGTGTCGTCTGTCTCACTTTTATCTTTTAGAATTTACTGTTCTTTGATATTTTTTTTCTTTTTTTTTTTTGCAAAAAAGCATCACCAATTTGGATAAAAAAAACTTTTTTGTACTTGAATTATATTTATGTCATTATATTCGCTCTCCAATCTTGGATACTCGATAGAATAATGAAAGAAAAAAAGCTTGATGTGCGTTAAACTCTGTCGATCAATTGTGAAACACTGATCACCTCAGCGAATCCCCGGGTAATGCGTGTAGTTGGATGCGAGCCATTTAGTAACGTATATATACATATATATATATATATATACAACGATTGCAAATTCTTTCTGGCCGAAATCCTTTAATGCAAAGATAGCATTCATAGCAAGTTATGTATTGAATACATGTCCCTGGATAAAACAGCGTGTATGAGTAAGCAATGGCTTCAGATCGTACGATGCGATGTCTGTATGCTTGAAACAGATGTTCTCCAACGGGTCACATTGTCTGTTGCTATCAAACAGGCTTTTCTTTCCCTCATAGCATCAACTCAGCAGTTGAGATGAGACATATTTACAGCACATGGAGTGCTGCAAAGCAATCAAACCAATGAAGCGAGCATACATGTGTATTCCACAAGTGTCTCCCGGCTTTTTAATTATCTGGAGGAAAGACACTCTTTACGATTCTTGATAAATAGTCCAGAGACGGCACTACGTTCTTGCCTACAACATTCATTCAAACTGGGCCTCACTAGGTTTTCACAGTGAGGGGAACTTATTTATCGTGTATAAGCTACTAGCCGATATATCACGCTACGCTCGATGACGGCGTCGGCCCAAGACATTTCTAATCAGAGATAATAAAAATTTGCTATGTCAAGTAGATTTTAAGCAATCCATTATTAGCAACAGAAAGCTTATATCAGAGCCAGAAGGAGGAGGAGAGAAGGTATCTCCCTCGGCACCCTTTTTGCTTACACTGATATCAAACGAAGCCTATTATTATTGAGACGCTGTGAAAGAAGATTCAAGTTTTATGCAGCATTTGTAAGCCACAATCTCCATTTTCTAATAGTAGAATTATTATACCGTTCGCTGCTGCTGATGCTCTTAAGATGGCGACATAGTGCTGATCATGCGCAAATACAGGACTTGTGTAAGATCTACAGCGACTTTTTTAAGATATTGTCATTGCAAAAGACACCTTCATGAAGCAAAGCTCCCCAAAAAAAGTATTTAAGCTTACCGGCTGTCCTTTCAAATCCATGATCTCCACTTAATTAGCATCGCAACTATCATTGCCATCAACAGAAAGGCATTTTTTTTAAGGAAGATTATTGTTTTATTAATAAAATTCTTTGTTTAAAGTCCTATTAACGTACCCGAAGTGGGGAAGAGGATAGTAAGACTGGATATAAGGTGTTTTGCTATAGAAGTGAGTGAACGTTGTCTTGGGAAACTAAAGTATATAGTGCCCTGTCTATGCAGAGCATGACTTGGAGGGGTTCAAAATGAAAGGAGTCGAAGATGGATCTGTAGTGGCAGCTCCAAATTGCTTGAAGAATGCAAGAAAATACTTGGTACGTGGTGAGAGTGGGGTAGGGTGAAGATGTTGAGACTGTAAGGGGGAGCGAAGGAGGAGAAGTTCTTGAAATTACTCATAAGTGGGAGATTGTAGATCTGGGTCTATGTATGTGGAGAGTGCTTGGGACAAGACAGTGTATTCGATAGGACAGGAAAAGAGAAAGTGCGTTGTCATTTCTATGTTGGTAGTTCTAGAAGGGCAGATCGTGCAATGAGGAGCGAATTTATCAGACATACGAAGGTGTAGGAGTTCTTTGGTGGCTATTTTGTTGAGGAGGATTCGGTACCAAGTATTACGTGCATTCAGAGCTATTTCGAGCTTCCAAAACTGACTCCATTGAGTAGAAGAAAGGATATAACTAGGGGTAGGGGGAGAGGAAGAGGTTAGGAGGCATTTGAAGTATTTGATAGAAGTAACTTTAGTAGTTGGACGAATATTGTTGGGTTCTGGAGGTATAAGAAGAGTGGTGACAAAGGAGTGGAGAGCTGGAAATGAAGGAATGTTAGAATTTGGAAGGTTGTGAACCTCCAAGGCGTTGTGAGGTCGCGGTGCATTGGGGAGAAAGTTGTAAAGGACAAAGTTGTTGAGAAGTAGTTGGTTAGAGCAAAGTAGAGAGATAGTTTTGTTGATTGATGGGCCGTGTGGCAGAGCTTGGGGAGATGATTGTATTCTAGGCAGAGTCGGTTGGGATTGAAGATAAATATATCGGATCCTTTGAGCTGACGGATTGTTGGTTGGTTCTTGAGAACGTTGTGAGAGGGTTGAAAGAGGTGAGCTATTGGGTGGGTTGGGGGGAGATTGTGGACGAGGAGTTCCATCAGTGGTAGGTGAAGGCATGTGGACATGGTGGCATGGCTGAAATGGTAGTTGTGGGGGATCGAATCTACGGCTCGTAGTAAGTTGACTATGGGACCAAAAAGGCGAGGAATGACCGGTCGACAATGGGGAAATAGGAATGACCAATGATAGGAAGGATATTCGGCAGTAGAAAGAACAAAGCTGAGAGTGTATCTAAGGATGGGAATGGACGGCATAAGTGAAGGTGAGGCTTGTGGGGGGGTGAATCAGGAAGTAGAGCCACCGCTATTGTAAGGCATTAGCTTGAGTGGCTGGATCGAGGAGCTTCAAGCCCCCTTGGTTGATGGAGTGGGTGAGGTGGTCAAAAGCGAGGCGAGAGATTTTGGATCCGCAGTTGATAAAGGTGGCGGCGAGTTGCTGGAGCTGTTTGAGTTCAGGGGATGAAAATGTAAAGAGGCGCATAACGTGCCAAAGTTTCGAATATAAGAGCGCATTGATGACGGTGACCCTACCTCGGTATGTTAGTGCGCGGGTGGAGTGAAGCTGGCAATAGGCGCGAATCTTGGAGATGATGGAGAGGGCATAGGTTGCGCGTTGATTGGCACTTGAGCATATGGCAAATCCTAAGTAGGTGAGAGGTTCGGTAGCAGTGCGGTCGTGCCATGATGTGATACCCTGATCTTGTAGGAAAGAAATCCAGGGTGGGTGTGGTTTACCGGATAACGAGAGTGCTTGGGTTTTACTGTAGTTGAGAGATGCATTGGATGCGGCCATGTATTGGTTGATGATGTCTTAGAGGTGTTCAAATTCTGTGGGATTCCGGAGGACCACAAGAGTGTCGTCCGCGTATGCTAAAACTTTGATGGGAGGAGGGGATGGCATAGTCTTAGATTGATTAGTTTCAAGTGGTAAATGGAAACCTGTGATGTTGCTGTGATTGTTTATAGCACGAAGCAGTGGGTCGAAGGCAATGTTAAAGAGTAGTGGACTGAGTGGGTCGCCTTGACGTAGACCTCGGCCTGCACTTCAAGAGTGTATTAGGAAGCATTTTTTTTTTGTAGGGGAGACGAGCTCCAGGTCTTATTTAAAATCCTTTAAATGTCATACTGAGGGATAGAAAAGACTGTTGGTGGACCCAATGTCTGCAATGAAGGGGAATAAGATATTTTTGAACTAAGTTGGGAAAGAAATCTACTACTAATAAGGTGCGACTCCTAGAGCCAGTACAGTCTTGCGGAAATCGTCAAAATATAGATCATGGATAAGAGTACAAAACACCAAACGAGGACATCAGTACTACGTCAAAAAATCAAACAACTTGCGTTCACTAGGATTTGAACCGAGGATCCTTCCGTTGGCATACGGGAGTTCTACCACTTCGCCCTACCACCAGGGGCTGTATTAGGAAGCTTTTTTTTTTTGTAGGGGAGACGAGCTCCAGTTTTTAAAGTCCTGTAAATGTCGCTATGAGTGATAGACAAGACTGTTGGTGGACCCAATGTCAGTCATGATGGGGAATAAATTATGGAAAGGAAGTTGGGAAAGAAATCTACTACAAATAAGGTGCGGCACTTAGAGCCAATACAATCATGCTAAGTTGTCATACAGAGATACTGGATAAGAGAACATTCACCAAACGAGGACATCAGTACGACCGTAAATAATTAATCAAAATGCGTTCACTGGGATTTGAACCGGGATCCTCCCGTTGGCATACGGGAGTTCTACCACTTCGCCCTACCACCAGGGGCATGTATTAGGAAGCATTTTTTTTTTTTTTTTTTTTTTTTTTTTTTTTTTTTTTTTTTTTTTTTTGTAGGGGAGACGAGCTCCAGGTTTTATTTAAAGTCCTTTAAATGTCATACTGAGGGATAGAAAAGACTGTTGGTGGACCCAATGTCTGCAATGAAGGGGAATAAGATATTTTTGAATTAAGTTGGGAAAGAAATCTACTACTAATAAGGTGCGACTCCTAGAGCCAATACAGTCTTGCGGAAATCGTCAAAATATAGATAATGGATAAGAATACAAAACACCAAACGAGGACATCAGTACTACGTCAAAAAATCAAACAACTTGCGTTCACCAGGATTTGAACCGGGGATCCTCCCGTTGGCATACGGGAGTTCTACCACTTCGCCCTACCACCAGGGGCTGTATTAGGAAGCATTGGATGACCATCACAATTTGTATAGTCGAATCTCACAAAATAGTTCGATCAAGTCGAAAATAACCAGAATCTGGCCAATCTTGAGCAGAAAAAAAAAAAGCTGAGTTTGAATCAATTTTGGCGGCTGCGCTGCTACTGGCTGACCCAAATGTCTTTCTGTTGATGACAATGACGATTGCGATGCTAATTGAATGGGGATTATGGATTTGGAAGGACAACTGGTTAGCTTGAATATTTTTTGGGGAGTTTGCCTTATAAAGGCGTCTTTTGCAATGACAATATCTTAAAAAAAAGTCGCTGTAGATCTGATAGAAGTTCTGTATTTGCGCATGACCAGCTTTATGTCGCCATCTTAAGAGCGTCGGCAGCGAATGGATACCTCCCCCTCCTGGCTCTGATGATATAGCCTTTTTTTTTAACTATTATCTGATTGTTTAAAACCTACTTAATATACCATTGTCTCTGATTTGAAATGTCTTCGGCCAGAGCCCGCAGGGCAACGCTGTCATTGAGCGTAACAAGATTGATCGGCTAGTATAATAAGTGCGGGAAAATCAAGCACTTAATCGAGTAATTTAAGATAAGCTAACAGTGCTGAAAGTAGCAGAACAGTATGGTATATATCTCGTAGCTCTGTTTATTTTCGTAGTACATATAGCAGCATTTTGCTTTAATACCAAGCACCTCTACAAAATCAGTATCATAGCACTCTTTTATAACAAGAAAAATATTAACATCTAGATGTTCAAGCAGTCTAGAAATACTTATATAGCTAATCATTTACCTTTGTGTTAACAAGATATTATTCAAAGAAATGTCTTGCAGTAATTGCGCTACTTTTGTAGTGTCAAGCATGTATCCATCAGACCACTAACTACAATTTCACTAGGGTCACAGTCATAGGTCCGTTACCAGCAACGATCTAAGATTAGATGCTGGATTCCCACATTACAGCAAGACACACCAAATGGCTTTGAATCTAAGAGAAAGCATAAATAGCTAAATGTTTAAGTTGTCTAGAAATACTTATATAGCTAATCATTTACCTTTGTGTTAACAAGATATTATTCAAAGAAGTGTCTTGCAGTAATTGCGCTACTTTTGTAATGTCAAGCATGTATCCATCAGACCACTAACTACAATTTCACTAGGGTCACAGTCATAGGTCCGTTACCAGCAACGATCTAAGATTAGATGCTGGATTCCCACATTACAGCAAGACACACCAAATGGCTTTGAATCTAAGAGAAAGCATAAATAGCTAAATGTTTAAGTTGTCTAGAAATACTTATATAGCTAATCATTTACCTTTGTGTTAACAAGATATTATTCAAAGAAGTGTCTTGCAGTAATTGCGCTACTTTTGTAATGTCAAGCATGTATCCATCAGACCACTAACTACAATTTCACTAGGGTCACAGTCATAGGTCCGTTACCAGCAACGATCTAAGATTAGATGCTGGATTCCCACATTACAGCAAGACACACCAAATGGCTTTGAATCTAAGAGAAAGCATAAATAGCTAAATGTTTAAGTTGTCTAGAAATACTTATATAGCTAATCATTTACCTTTGTGTTAACAAGATATTATTCAAAGAAGTGTCTTGCAGTAATTGCGCTACTTTTGTAATGTCAAGCATGTATCCATCAGACCACTAACTACAATTTCACTAGGGTCACAGTCATAGGTCCGTTACCAGCAACGATCTAAGATTAGATGCTGGATTCCCACATTACAGCAAGACACACCAAATGGCTTTGAATCTAAGAGAAAGCATAAATAGCTAAATGTTTAAGTTGTCTAGAAATACTTATATAGCTAATCATTTACCTTTGTGTTAACAAGATATTATTCAAAGAAGTGTCTTGCAGTAATTGCGCTACTTTTGTAATGTCAAGCATGTATCCATCAGACCACTAACTACAATTTCACTAGGGTCACAGTCATAGGTCCGTTACCAGCAACGATCTAAGATTAGATGCTGGATTCCCACATTACAGCAAGACACACCAAATGGCTTTGAATCTAAGAGAAAGCATAAATAGCTAAATGTTTAAGTTGTCTAGAAATACTTATATAGCTAATCATTTACCTTTGTGTTAACAAGATATTATTCAAAGAAGTGTCTTGCAGTAATTGCGCTACTTTTGTAATGTCAAGCATGTATCCATCAGACCACTAACTACAATTTCACTAGGGTCACAGTCATAGGTCCGTTACCAGCAACGATCTAAGATTAGATGCTGGATTCCCACATTAATACAAGCATCCTCATCTTCTACCAAGTACAAAAGAAAAAAGAAATTGTAAATAAATTTAAGTTGAGTAAGGGAAAAAATGAATGACTTTTTTAGTGACGTAGACAAATATGATTTAACGCTCCGCGCATCACAGTGTTGCACCATGATACGAACAGCAAATTCGTTTTATACCACTGTTGGACATTACTAAAATGGATAAGCAAAAAGAGCTTATAGAACGGTATATTTCTAACGCACCGAGACCTTCTTTCAATCACCTTGTTCGAAAGGAGCAAAAATTGGTTGAAAAAATCTCCATTCTTATCGAAACCAAAACTCCTTTATGTTTACAAAGAGATTGGGTTAGAGCATACAACAAATGTGTTCAAGTCAAATGGCCAGAACAAAAACTACAGGCCAGGTAAGCTTGTTTCTTTTTACTTTGTAGTTTTTACTTATTATTATATAGACCTTCAACTGTGAGCATCTCATTTAAACGAATCTTTGAAGTCGCTAAAGCAACTGTAAGTGTGACTAAAATAATTTCTTTCTTTCTGTTGACATCTATGATGCTTTTTTTTAAAAAAATATTATAGAGAGATTCACTTCATGAATTCAAAGTGTCCAGTCTACAGATATCAAGCACTGTGTACTCTGCCTCTCGAAACGATTTCTTGGATAATTTAACTCACGATGTTAACAAAGAAGAACACGAAAACGAACACGAAGAAGAACATGAAGAAGAATACGAAGTAGATCACGAAGAAGAACGCGAAGAACACGAAGAAGAACGCGAAGAACACGAAGAAGAACGCGAAGAACACGAAGAAGAACGCGAAGAACACGAAGAACACGAAGAAGAACACGAAGAACACGAAGAAGAACGCGAAAAACACGAAGAAGAACGCGAAGAACACGAAGAAGAAGAGGAAATAGAACGTCAAGAAGAAAATGAAGTACGGCAAGGAGAAAATGAAGAGGAAGGTCAAGAGGAAAATAAAGTGCAACAAGACGAAGATAAAGAAGAATGTCAGGAAGAAAACGCAATACAGCAAGTAGTGTTCAATAAAGCGGAGCATGGTGAATTGGAAAAGCTGACCAAATCATTATGCATTAACTTACTAAACGAAACTTATCAACACTATGCCTCTCAATCTTTACCAGAAGAAGATTTCAATGATATCAAATCAAAATGTGCCGACTTACGATCTCATTTCAGCGATTACTTAACCCCTATCATGTACGAAACGATCAATAACTTATTTGATGAGCTCAAGCAATTTCAGTTCGAGTAAGTCTACTAAAATTTATTGAAAATCATAAATTAACATTTGTATTTATAGCTCTGATACGGCAAGTATAACCGCATACTTAGATAATGAGAAGAATAAGGAAACAAACAAAGAAAGTGAAAAATACATCCTGCTTTCTATTGTTAGCTCAGTGTAAGTCAAAATGGAGCTTTATAGATATTTATCTAATCTATTTAAAAATTCAGCATCAATAATTTCAATTTGTGGAAGAAAGAGGAAAAGCTTGCTGAGAATACATATTTACGCAAATTTGCAGATATCGTTGACATCCTATTCAAAAAAACCAATCTTTTTGTCAAAGATGGAGAAAACGTCTGTGAAGCATCAAAGCGAATGCAAATCATTAACGAAGGTGATATCACATTTGGTAGAAGATTGGACTTGATTGTAGCTAGTGAACAAGATAGTAGAGATATCGAGCTTTGTTCTTTGGAATTCAAGAAGGGCGATGCATCATATACAACTTTATTGTATCAGCAATCCAAAAATTTCAGAATTAATGCTTGTATTCTGAATGAAATCCATCTTTTGACACTTGAAGAAAGTATTTCTATTGCTTATCTGGACTTTTCAGGACGAAATGCGTATATCTCTCAAATATTCAAGATGAATGATCAGTATGTTGCTCACGAAGTTGGCAAGGTGATTATCATCAAGAACTTGTTGGAAATGGAAATACTGCGTGAAACAATGTTCAATCTCTTTAGATGGAAAAGAAGCCTGGTCAGTAACAGTAATGTGGTTTCATTAGCCAACGCCTATCAATGCAACAGATTTGCTCTTGCCGACATTAGTAATACTTTAGGTCAAAGCTCAAGGCTTTCCCCACTTCGTGATATCAAGCCAGCAAAAATATTTATGTCTCCAAGCAGCACTGGAAAAAGAACTCGAACTGTCTTTGAACAAGGCAACTAATGAATAATAAAATAAGCATATCATAATAAAGGATTATTTACCAACTCTCAGTAGTGGGTGCCATTTGGGGTTCCCTGCTATTTTGGGACCCAGATTTACATAACACATTTTAAGCGATTTTTACAAAATCCACAGGAAAACAAAGATATTTATTAATGAAAATGCAACTATTGATGGTAAAAAAGGCTCAGCTAGAAGTGTTGCAATTTTCTTCTTTTCGTTTCTTCGTAAGGAAAAAAAAGCGCCTTTTTGGAGCTCGGTGCCCAAGCGATCCAAAGACCAGTGGCGAGTGTTGAACACCTTTTGTAGGGCGCCTACAGCAGAAGTGGGGGAGAGACCAAGATCCAGCTGAAGGTCTTCAACGGAATCAATGTTTTTTTTACGGATATTGAACCATTTTCTGTCGTCTTTTCTCCATTTAGCGCCCCACTTGTCTTCTAATTCTTGAACAGACCAGAATCCATCTCGACCTATTGTCCACTCGTCCCAAAGATCACACACAGTTGTCACTTGTCGACTCATTTTGTATAACGGTACACCTTCTTGATTGTATGGAAGTGAAATAGTTGCAACTGCGGTGTTGTTGTAACCTGGTGGTGGTGGGCTTTGTTGGGATTCTTCCGAAAATTGTTTTGATTGCGATACATCTTCTGATCTTGGCAAGGCAGAGGTTTTTGCGACAGCGCCTGTTGTCGCTACTGCTTGGTTCCCTTGGTCCATTCTAAAAGACAGTTGCAGTTGCTGCTTTCCGGTGACTATATTGTCAAACACTTTTTGCATTTGCTGCTGGATTTCATCCAACTTCTTTTGACGTTCTTTCAATTCTCGCATTGTATTTGCTATACTTCGGTTGATGCTGGAAAGCTGCTCTTGTACTTCAGGCGCAAATCTTTCAATAATTAATGAATGGGGCACTTCATTTTCTTCAACGTGAGCTTTTGCTTTTCTATAAACAAAGCAAAAAGATCAGACACACAGTTTTCATTTTGAAAAAAAAAAAAGCTTTATACCTTTGAAATTCTAGAAAGAGTGGGTTTCTGATTAAATTTCAGGAACATAAGTACAAACTAAAAGCGAAAAAAAAAGTTCTTTCAGGTGTTAATTAACCAAAAGAGTACATATATTTTTTATGATAAGGCCTTGAATAACGCACATATCATTAGAATGTATTAAATCCTAATATTTTTTATGTAAATGTCAAATATACACACTTGGAACGAAAACTGGAACCCAAAGATCAATAACAATTGTTATTTGACAAAGTATTGGCTTATAACAAAAGTTATCACTCCAATCGGGTTCCAATTTTGCTGGGAACCCATTTTTTTTTTTTGGAACCTCCAAAAAAAATAATAAATGTTCAGTCCCTAGACACTTTCAAAGCCTCAAAAAGGAAAGAAGTTGGTCTGACAAGTATCTTGGTAGACTGGCGCTATTGAATATCGATTGCAAGAAGAATATCATGACTAATGATAGCGCTATGTAATTTTCCATCTACTTTCCATACGCTTCAAAAGCATCTATTATTACTGTATTGCCTTCATGATTAGAAAGGCATTGAGTTTGCCAGCCAGCACCACCAGCCAAAACTGATTCAAACTCGTATTACTTTTTCTGCTCACGATTGGCCAGATTCTGGTTATTTTCGACTTGATCGAACTATTTTGTGAGATTCGACTATACAAATTGTGATGGTCATCCAATGCTTCCTAATACACTCTTGAAGTGCTTTTCAAGGCGCTTCCCATGGTGCCAAGTAAAATATATGTTTCGACTGAACTTATTGAGCAATTCTAGAAAATATGAAATAAGGTTTTTGGTCAAAATGTCAAATTTTTGCATATGAAGACCTCATAAAAGTGGTTTCAGAGGTTGCTTTGGATCGACAGAAACATTTTGATCCAATACATACCATAGTAAAAGTCTTCATTTCCAAGGTGAAAAACGCGATCGTTTGATTTTCGATGGAAACCATGAGGGGTACCTCCTGGTTTTTGATCGATTTTTGACGATGATTTTTTGGTCCCCAAAAAATTGAGTAAATGTGTTGATAAGTAAGTGCAAGGCGAGTACCATTGTTTAGCGCTATTCTGGCAGTCTAAAACGGCTTCTAACACGAGAAATTGCTGCTCAAATTCACCAAATTTTTGCTGTGTTTTGCATACTGTCAAGTAGCAAGAGGTAACGCAAGCATGCTGCCTGCCCATCTTTGAATCGTTCCCATTGATACAAACTGGGAGAATCGTAAAAGTGCTGTATCTTCAATTGCGAATGCTTTGTAGAGGATTTCCTTGTAGTAATACGCACTTGACCAGCTAATTTAGCTTATCTTAGTAAGATGGCAAAGTATTCATGTCAAACTCGCACAGCATGTGCGGCACTCTGCCTGGTCTTTTGTAAATTAATCGACATATTGCCATGGAGACTCTCACTAGTGTTACATTCACCTAGATAGAGGTATACACCAGTCATATACAATATCATCCTTCATACATGGCAAAACAACATCAATAATGTTTTAGTGGTTGTAAATTTATTTTATTTTCTGCGAAAAAAATAGACTAAGCGCGTATAAATGAAGATTTATTCAATTTACATGGTGAGTTCCTAAATACAAAAACAGATCAATATACAAAATCCAAAAAAAGCATCAATTGATTTTCACTTACCATAATGGCGTTAACAACATCGTTTTCGTTGTTCTTGAGGGCCTTGACGGCCTTGGCACGAGAGACATTAGCTTGGCTGACGACCAATTCAATATCCTTCTCCTCAACACCAGTGGCATCAACTTCCTCATCCTCTTCCTCAACAGCGGCCTCAACCTCAGCACCTTCTTCGGTCTTTTCGGCATCAGCAGCGAGCTGTTGCTCCATAGCAGCTTGTTGGGCACGAGCAGCCATATCCTCAACTTGCATCTCACCGAAAACAATGTGAGTATCAGAGTTTTGGGACTTGAAGACTTCAGGGGTGGCAATGGCATAAACCATCTAGAAAAAAAAAATATCAATCATCTGTGCCTTTCTTGCGATACAAGGAAAAAAAACTTACACCTCTACCACGGGTGAAGGTGACACGGTTGACACCGGCAACAGGCTTCAAACCGAGGGCAAGGATGGCCTTACGGGCCTTTTGCTCACCACGGGACTGGATGGAAGTTTGGGAGTTCTCAGTAGACATCTGATGTGAGAAAAATACATGTCAGTTTCTGATTATTCAAGGTTGCAAATTTCATCATTGGGAGAGAGAATTGAGATGTAAAGTATAAAGAGAAGTTCATTTTGTCCACTATAGCTGTCCATGCCTCACGCTGATCTTATATACACGTTGTCATGCAGTTGAATCCACTGTAAATCGTTTGTCATGATCACCATGGTGACTAATGATCTTTCCATCCGATATGTTTTTTTTTCCTGAAATCATCCATCCATTGAACTGATTTGATCATCCAAATACGAAATGTATCTCTCTTTACAAATTACATTCCAACTTCTCTCTCTCAAAGCGCGCATTTACAGTGATGTTGTTGTAGTGATGGATGGTGTATATGGGTACTTACGTTAGCTTTTAGGGAAAGAGGAAGGGGATAGCTTGACAATGTGTACCTGACTTTCAATAATCTCAAGGATTTCTGTGTTTGAACAAGCAATTGAAAAAACTGTCCGGTTTCTGGCATAGGAAACGTATCACTGTTTATTAATTCTCTTTCATCAGTCTCTCAAAACCATCAGCAATGTCATGCAAAGCTGCCTCGCTTGAGGGAGCTTTGGGATTCAAGTAAGCCATGAAGAAGTTCTTGGCTAACCAGGGGTTTTGAACAGTACCAAAGTCCTTTCCTTCATAAACTAATTTGAGACCTCCTTCCTTGGTCTTTGTAAAGATGAATTCCGAATCCTTCTTCACTCTCATACTGACAAAATTAGACTTAAATTCCTGAATTGCCTTCAAAACCTCTCTCTCTTCATCCTCAGACATGTCTTGATCTTTCATGCGTTGCATCAAAAGACGTAGAAATCCATCACGGAGATGTTGGGTATTTGTTGCACGGGTAGGGACTAGTGATATCCAGACAACATTAATGCCTTTGTTTGTATGCATGGCAGCTTTCCGAAACTTTACCTAACCGAATGCTCAAGGCATAAGGCTGATCCAAAAACTGCTCTGCCAAGCCAGTATCTTGCAAGAATTTACTCTTGTCAAAGTTCTATTTGTCCGTTAATGTCTGATATGTCTACATGGCACTGGCACATTCATACCTTCCAGCCGTCTAATTTTCTCAATTCTCCAATATCCTCGCCCTTCATGTACATCCCAACGACATATACATTCATGTTGATGAATGTCACTGCTCTCACACCCAAACCGATGAGTCTCTTCCATTCATTGTCAGTATAGAGGTTGATGGGGAATACGAGATTTGTTGCTGGGTCTACATGTAACACAGTTTGAGTCGTCTGTCGTTTCCAAACGATCCTATTCCTCTACTCTACCCTCAACAGTGCCAGCATACGCAGGAGCCTCAGAATAAACAGGATTAGAGAAAGCCAAGTAGCCTGCAGTAGTCAAACCTGCCCCGAGGGCTGTCAAGGTTACATGCTTGCCAGCGTTTGCTTTCCAAGATGTCTAGCAGATGGTTTAGACATAAATGATCTTCTAGGGTTGCTGTTTCGTACTTACACTTTGAGCAATGCTAGTCGCCATTCTGCGAGAAGTATTGAGCCTTGAAGAGACACATGCCTTTGGTAAGCGAGTGAAAGTACGAGAAAGTCTAAGCATAATTCTTGAATGGTACTAAAAAAAAAGAAAGAAAAGCAAATTCAATTGACATCTTTTGGCTCTGCTCTTGTGCAGTTCTCGAATGTTTAACAGCGGGGATGTTCGGCTGCTGTTCAATTCATGTTCTGTTCAGAAAGTATAAGGCGACTTTTTCAACACCATTTAAACTGAATGATATCTATATGAACGCATCAACACATGCTCACATGTCTCTGCTAGCTGGAAACCTGCCTTGATTTAGATGCCTCTAGTGAATGCAATGCATAAGGGCCATCGGAATCTGTTAAGCATTCACTGCGTTTCATGGCATTGGGATGTTGATTATCATTGCAAATGCAATACAGTCACTCAATTCCCTCCCCATTATAAAGAATTTTGCTTTGGCCGCGTTCAAATTGGCACTCTTCATCATTAGAACATAGCACAATCAATACAAAATGGTACCTGTTGCTCGAAGAAACATGTAGATGATCCCAATTAACCATCGTATTTGACAGGCTCGTAACGAGGAAAAAGCACAATCCATGCTATATCGTTTTCGCGAGGCTCAAGCAGCCGAGCTTGGAGGCGGTAAAATGCGTACACGTAGACCCGGCTTTGCTGGTGTAGTGAACACAGTGCAGGAAGCAGAGAAATGGCGTAGAGATATTCTCAGTGAGATTTCAAGAAAGATTTCCAAAATTCAAGATGGTAAAGCGCACAACAACGACGAGAAAATGGCCATGCTAATGCATGTCTTTTGCTAGTAAGTTTGTCTGATTATCAAGTCCGTGATCTCAATGATGAGATCAACAAGCTGATGGGTCAAAAATACCATTGGGAAAGACGAATCAAAGAGCTTGGTGGTGCTGACTATACGGTAAGATCCATGAATGTGTGTTGAATGGGGCTGAGCCTAACATTGGACATTAGAGATCTGCACCAAAAATGCTGAATTACGAAGGGAGAGAGGTGCCTGGAACAAGAGGATACAAGTGAGCAGTTCATAGAGTCACTTGGAATTAGGATGTTCTATTAACCAACATACACTATCAGATATTTCGGTCGTGCAAGAGATTTACCAGGTGTTAGAGAGTTGTTTGAGAAAGCTGGTAATGCAAAATGTGACTCAAACGTGTGTAGTATGCTCACATTGTGTGGATAGCACCCGAATCAACAACGCGCTCAAGAAGCGAAATCAACCGTGATATCGACGCAGATTATTATGGTTACCGCGATGAAGAGGATGCTGTTTTGCTCGAATACGAGAAGGCTCTGGAGCAGGAATTGATTCAAAAGTTATACAATGTTCCAGACGACGAGACAGCAGCAGAAGAAAAGGGACCCAAGGTCATAGAAAAGACACACGAGGATGAGAGACAAAGAGACGCAGCAACAAAAGATGGCAGCAATGTGCCTACACAACAGCAAATTGGCGAGTATCTTTTAAATCGGAAGAAACAAGAGGTAGAGTGGAACAGATGTTTTACAAGGTGGATTTACTGATCTTGATGTATAGCTGCTGGATAAATACGTTTCAGAAGAGTTAAAGCAGAGCGAAAGCCTTACAAAGGAGCTGTTGGATAGACCCGAGTAGAAAAATAAAATACACTCGTTCTATACTCAATTTGAAAATGAGTGTTTATTAAATCTATTAGTCATAAAGAGGGAGCAAGTGGTGGTATGTAAAGAGTGATGAGGATGGCAATGATGAAGAAAGAGAGATAAAATGAATATACTACATATCAAGCGACCATGCGCTCTTCTTGTTATCCAATCCGCCATGATTGATGCCAACTCCCATTAGCTTAATTAATGCAACATCCACTTGGCCATCAGCCTCATCCAATTCACCCTCTCCCAAGTATTCTACAATGTTGTGTTCTGTTTCGAAAATCTTGACCTTGTGTAGTCGAGCTGAACTGGATCTCCAGCTGTCGTTTTTCAGGAAATGGTATTGAAAATTCCACCAAATGAACACTGCTAAATTTTCAGTTGTACTAACATAAACCGTGTTATTCATCTTGTGTCATATATATATATATATATATATAATCCATTGCTTCATCATTTACCTTGCTTTGTTTTTAAAGAATTCCACGTCCAGGTCCTGAAATCAACCACAATTCAGATCTTTGCTTTCGCTCAATCGCTCCAAGCTGACTTACCAAGTTTCGATGATCAAGGGGATCCATGACTGCAAGCTTGATGCACTCTTTCAGGTCGACCAGATTCATCACCATGCCAGTAAGCGGGTCCACCTCGCCCTTTAGAGTGATCTCCACTGTAGCAGATACATGTCTATTAGACATTGTCTACATGACAGCTGAAATATATGCCTACCTTTGTAATTGTGTCCATGAAAGTGCGGATGATTGCACTTTCCATACAATTGCTGGTTGTCTTCATTGGACAATTTAGGTGAATGAAGTCTGTGAGCAGCTGAAAACGTCTCTGAGCGTGTTATGTACGTAATGGGTGGCATTTTGTCTGAGAGAATCTAGATTACAACGGTGCTACGGAGAAAGGAGAAGAAAGGAACCACTTCCTGTTTTAATTTTTTATAGATTTTTTTTTTTTTTTGCGTGAGAAATTCAGAAACGAAACGGGATCTCAATCTACACGCTTGATACAGCATATACATGGGATCAATCACTAATCTATTGCAGCGTGTGTGCCCATTGATCCACTTGCTCTATTAGCAATGATTCAAAGTTGAACCAAAAATGATCTGCATCCGGAATGCACACAGCGTCATGGCACCAGTCTTTGACCCTACTCGATCTCGTGAATTGATCATGGTCGCCATAGATACACAGTGTTTTAGCATGAGGCGGCTTTTTGAAATAGGCAGCTTTTGTGGTTGCAAGAGCCCACATGACGCCCAATGGTATACTGATCAGTAGATAAGCACAAGGCACACTGGCACAATCAATGGTATTCGCAATCATGGCGCCAAAGGAATACCCCTAACGAGACATGGCATGTCAATCAACAGAACATAGAGTGCTGCCGTTGCTACTATACTTGCGCATAAGATAAGTCTGTTGATGCGTGGATATTCTTGCAATGCACCGTCATCTAAAGCGTAATCGACAACCGACATATAATCCTCTCTTTCGGCCATGGCAGTCCAGCTGGTTCTACCTTTGGATTTACCGCATCCTCGAAAATTCATGCAAATGGTGACATATCCTTTCGATCTAAAGTATCGCTGCAGTGCAATGACAACATTGTTGTTCATATTTCCACCTGAAGTTAGTGTTAATGTATCGCTTTCAGTGCGAGACATGTCTGGAATACTGTACCCAATGGCCCATAGGGGTGCGCAATGACAATACCTGGTGCTTGCTGCTGTTCTGCTCTGGCTTGATTTGCACTGACAAAGATCTCCAATGGCGTTTTGTCTTGACGCGATTCCACAAACAAAGTACAAGACGGCATTCTTTTTTAGAAAACAAACATTGTAGAACAAAAAAAAAAAAAAGAGTACAAAATGCATTTGAATGTGCTTGCCACAGATGCCAACACTGGCAGGTACCACGGTGACTGCAATCCCCACTGCATTGACATTAATTTATTAGGAGATGAGTATAATAATAGATGATAAAGATGATACAGTAGCTCGGGCTAGTCATGATGTTTGTGGAAGCAGTTATTGCAATATCCCTTCTTGAAGACATTCTCTATAAACTCGTGACATTCGCATTCGTTGCATGGTTCGTCCAAGGCAACAGGAGTTGCGTCGTGTTGAATTTCGTGCAATGATTGTGATGGTGAAGGTGTGAGTGCTACTGCTGCTGCTGGTAAGGATGTTGTGGATCCAATAGTAGGTGGCTCCTCAACAAGTCTATGTGGCGAATCTATAATGACAGGCGATGCTGTTGTGGATGATGTACTCGATTCTATCGTATGATTCGCAGTGCGTACAGATGGAGGAGGTGGTGGGGGTGCTCTGATGGCTGTTGATCGCTTTCGCGAGAGACTCCCCGAGCGTAGTGTTGTCACTGCAGGCGATGAAGTCGTTACTGGTGGAGGAGGCGGTCGTCGTATCGACGTTGACGATACCACAGAAGCATGAGTGGGAGTCGTAGCAATAGCATCGCTGTGGTCCAATACAGGAGGATTGTAGGTGACATCTACCACACGAGGGTTCGTCAAAGGATGGGTAGGGGCATTCAATTCAGGCAAGGATTTCTGTTGCTCTTGAGGTTGTTGCAATTGCTCTAATGGCGATCTTTCATTCTCCAGGACAGCAGGTGGCATCTCGTGTTTTTTAGGTAAAGGAGGTAACGGCTGTGTTTGAGGATCGTACTCTTCCGTATAGTTTACCGGAAAGATGCCTTTCTTTTGATGGCACTCTCCCAACCACCAGCCTACATCTATTTCATCAATCACTGCAATGATATCGCCGGTCTTAAAGGAGATTTCGTCTTGGTTTTGCCCTGTAAAATCAAACAATGCGCGTCTATATTTTGTGTGGTCTATGTGGTTCACTATAAAACAGCATCATGAGTCTCTCTCTCTCTCTCTCTCTCTCTTGGGTATTCGGGGCGACATGAAAAGTCATGTCATATACATTACACTCTTTATGAACTGGGTCTGATGCGGATAGTGGTGGTAGTACCTGGTTATTAGGTAATGGGCGATCCACTGTATCACTGCTGTTGTTATGGTAGCTCATACCAGACGATGCAAATGTGTCTACGCTACTGTCTCTGCTCATTTTCAGGGATGGCGGCTGGTTGCGATGGTGAGCTGAGATGTTGTCGGTCGACACAGAATGGTAAGAGTCCTGTGATGACTTCCTTACCATGACCCTTCCTAAAATATCAGAGGGGTCAGAGTTGGATCCCTCGCCCCAGTTCTTTTTGAGTGATTCTAGCAACTCTTTGGCCTGTGTATGGTACGCTGCCTGTGCTTCTACCATGTCTAATAATGCGTCCCTGTGTTCATTCTGGACCGTGGTGTCGTTGAGTACACAATCATCTCCTCCCACAAGGCGCCATTATCATCTTTACCTCAAATTCCTGAATATACGCCATCTTTTGAATGAGGTCATGCTCTGTGTCCTCGTACTTGATTCTCGATGCTTGCATCTCTTGCTCTAGTTCTGGCTTCTCTTTCTTGGCTTTGTTGAGTCGATTCAGCTTGGAATCATAGTCTAATCTACGAGACGCCAGTTTCTTTCGCAGTGAGTCGTATTCTTTGTATTCTTGCTGGCCGTTTTCTAGTGTTGTCATGTAGCCCATCCTAATTTCGTTGGCCAATGCTTCCTGCAGAGCAGCAAGACGAGTCTCTGTCTGTCCCAGATTGATCAAGGCGATACCTGACAGCGTACATTGATGATGAATCAAATATAAATTTAAATTAAAAAATCTAGCGACAAACTTACCTAATGCAGAATCTTCAGGAAACACAGTGCCATAATGGTATAGACATGAACCGAGTGTTTCAAATGGCATTTGCTTAGTTTTACCGTCCTCGGGCGAGGTCTTTCTTTTGAGCAAGTAGGACGCAATGCCATCTACTGCCTCCAGCACCTTGTCATAGCCCTCTCTTCTGTGCTCTGTTTCCTGCTCCAGTCGTTGAAAATCATCAGTCTGCAGCGTTACTTTGGCCCCGCCAAACTTTTCTCCTGTCCACTATTTCAATATGACGATGAATGGCTTGGTCGTTTCTTCGATCAATACACTTTACCTGCTTGAACTTGCCGAGATTTTTAATCATTTACTGCTCAAGAATGAAAAAGAGTTGTAAAAAAAAGCAAGAAAAAGAAACGGAAATGTAACAAGTCGCTGTCGGAAACTTGTCAATCGCACATCTCGGCTTCCCATTTCGTCTTCCATTGATCTCAGTAGAGTGGATGAGCCGCAAAAGAGAGTGAGAGAGGATCTCAAGGGACGTCATACATCACGTGTGTGTATAGTCGTTTTGCAACACAGTTTCCATTACTACATCTCAAAAGCACACGATTAAAATTGTCTATTGCTCTTTATCTCTACTAAAACACTAGAAACATCGCAGTATGGCACCCAGTACACTCTTCCGTTCGGAAGAAATGTCACTCATTCAACTATATATCCCTGCTGAAGTAGCTCAACCTTGCGTTGCAGAGTTGGGCGAACTTGGCAAGGTTCAGTTTAGAGATGTAAGTTTCTTTTAATGTCGTTTTGCTGCCTGAAATGTGTTATACTTACTGTTGCATATGACACTTGATAGCTTAATCCCGAAGTAAATGCTTTTCAGCGTTCATTTGTATCTGAAATCAGAAGATTAGATGAGATGGAGCGTCAATGTAGTGCGTATTATTTCTTGTGTGTGTGTTTCAATCATGACAACTGCAGTTTCAGAAGAAAAAGGATGAAGATGAGTAGTATTTCTCGGCAGCATCTGTCGCTACCTACTGCCCTGTATCTCGCTTCTCTGCATCGCGTGTCTTTTCGACTGCAGTATGGCCTCCTTCCTTTGAGAGACTGCAGTTGTCTTGACTGTGGACTGATCTGTTGTCTAGTTACTAAATTGCTCCATTTTGGATAGGATTTTTCCAAACACAACTCGCCAAGTCTGATATCCAGGTTCGTCCTTTGACACCTGCAGCCTATCGTTCTCGTGCTCGTTCAGCTCAGGAAGTCGATGATCTTGAAGAGAACCTCAAGGAGTACGAAGGACGCATCTCCCAAATGAACTCATCCTATGAATCGCTCCAACGTCGCTATCTTCAGTTGACTGAACTGCGTCATGTTTTGAGAGAATCTGCTGGTTTCTTTGAACAGGTAAAAGCAAAATAGAATGCTCATTATTTGAATGCCTGAAAGAAAAGCTGAAACCTTCCTTAAACAAGGCTGAGTCAAGACAAGACACGATTCGCAACTCGCTTGATATTCAAGACGATTCTGCCCCTCTCTTGGAAAACGATGTCGAGCAAAACAACTACGACTCTGAGAACCTGCATCTTGGCTATGTCACTGGTGTCATTTCGCGTGCTCGTATGCAGACATTTGAGCGTGTTCTCTGGCGCTCTCTGCGTGGTAACTTGTACATGAAATCCGCTGAGATTGATGAACCCATCGTAGATCCCGATACTGACAGTGTCGTCGACAAGAACGTCTTTTGCATCTTTGCTCATGGTACTGAGATCATTGCCAAAATCAAAAAGATCTCTGAGAGTTTGGGTGGCACCTTATACACCATTGACGATTCTGCTGATAAACGCCGTGATTCTCTGTTGGAAGTGACATCTCGTATTGAGGACTTGAACAATGTAAAACACCTTGCTTTTGAAACTCGTAGGAGTTGGTCTAACTCGTATTTTCGTAGGTTTTATCCACAACAAATCAGACCCGTCGTTCAGAGTTGCTTAAGGTATCCGAGAATGTCACTGCTTGGACAACTATTGTTCGTAAAGAAAAGGCTATATACCACACCATGAACTTGTTCAACTATGATGTCAATCGTAAATGCCTCATTGCTGAAGGATGGTGTCCCACAAACGACATTCCTCTGGTTCAACAATCCTTGAAAGAAGCTACTGTAAGTATTTATATGTATATATATATATATATATATATATATGTGTGTGTGTGTGTGTGTGCTGGTGATTTAAGAGACTGACCCTCTGTGAATAGGATGCTTCTGGCACCAGTCTTCCCTCCATCTTGACCGAGTTACATACCAAAAAGACCCGCCCTACATATCATCGCACAAACAAATTTACTGAAGGTTTTCAAGGTATCATTGATGCTTACGGTATTGCCCGCTATCGTGAAGTCAATCCTGGCCTCTTTACCATTGTCTCTTTCCCCTTCCTCTTTGCTATGATGTTTGGTGATATCGGTCATGGTGCTCTCCTATTCCTCACTGCCCTGTATCTCTGTCTCAATGAGAAGAAATTGGCCTCTAACAATGGCGAGGTAACAATGAGCTCATTCTCAAAATGCCTAGTTGATGTTGACACTAATCCACATTGCAGATTTTCAAAATGTTCTTTGGTGGTCGTTATATGATGTTGATGATGGGTCTTTTCTCCATCTTCACTGGTGCAGTCTACAATGATATCTTCTCCTTGTCATTAAACGTCTTCAAGTCCGGCTTTGACTTGCCCTCCAACTACACTTCGTTCGAATCTGTCGAAGCTTTACCCAACGGCAATGTCTACACTTTTGGCTTTGATCCCGCATGGCATGGCGCTGAAAACTTCTTGCTCTTCTCAAACTCTTACAAGATGAAGCAAGCCATTGTGATTGGTGTCATTCACATGTCCTTTGCTGTCTGTTTGAACGTCTTTAACCATATTTATTATAAGCGCAAAGCCTTTGTCTGGCTCGAATTCTTGCCTCAAATTTTGTTCATGGAATCCATCTTTGGCTATTTGATCTTCTGTATCATGTACAAGTGGAGTGTCAACTGGTGGGAGCTTGATTCCAATGGCCACCATATCCGCAACGCTCCTCCCAATCTCTTGAACATGCTGATTTACATGTTCTTGACCCCCGGATCTGTCAACCCTGAAGAGCAACTTTATCCTGGCCAAGGTCCTGTTCAGCTCTTCCTGATCCTCCTTGCTGTCGTCTGTGTACCATGGATGTGGTTTGGTAAGCCCTTTTATCTGAAAAGGGAGGCTAGCAAGCATCATTACGAGACAGTTGCTGGCGATGATAATGCTGATGAGGAAGAACAAGCCGTTGCAGGCACTTCCAGCGAAGATGATGAAGAAGAAGAAGAGGTATGAAATGTTCATTTGCTGCACTCGGTATAGTCTGCTCACATTTGCTTTCCTAGTTTGAGTTTAGCGAAGTCATGATTCATCAAACAATCCATACCATTGAATTCTGTCTCAACTGTATTTCTAACACTGCCTCTTATCTTCGTCTCTGGGCCTTGTCTCTTGCCCATGCTCGTAAGTGATGCCATACCACTCACATCCATGTATCTGTGCTGATGAGTACCATTTTTTCTTTTTCTTTTTTTTTTTTTTAGAATTATCAAGTGTGCTATGGGACATGACCCTCAAGATTTGGTTCAACATGACTGGTGCTATTGCTGTCGTTGGCCTTGTCATTGGTTTTGCCATGTGGTTCACATTGACTATTGGTATTCTATTGTGTATGGAAGGCCTTTCTGCTTTCCTTCACGCCCTTCGTTTGATGTGGGTAGAGTTTGACGGTAAATTCTACAATGGTGATGGTATCAACTTTGAACCCTTCACATTTGCTACAATTTTGGAGCCTGCTAGCGAGTAGAGTGCATTATATTAAAATAAATTATACAACCAACTTCAAACATTTATATCTGGTTCAGTATTGTATTTTTATTTAATTAAGCAATATTTACATAAGATAGAAAGTAGATAGTATATACATTGATTAGAGTATAAAGCATTTGACGTAGTAATAGTTATTTCATGTATTCTTCTGGCTGAGAAATGGGTGTGTAATCAAACTTTTTGGTGCGAACATATTCGCTGAGCATGCATTTAGAGACAATGGCAGCATGGTGTAATGGGGAGTAAGGTGTAAAGGGAAACATGGGCTCCACCGAGACACCTGCTTCACCACCTAATGTGATCCCTGCTGACAGATCGCCTTCCATGCACACATGCTTGAACGTCTGAGGAAACTGCGTTGCCATGGTGCCGTAAGACAAGTACTTTTCTGATGTTCGGTACCAACGCTCTGCTTTCTCATACTCTCTCAGCAAACTTTCAGACACTTGAATACAAACACGGCTTGAAGAAGAATCCTGTTCGTCATCCAGAGCCAATTGCTTTCCCAATAAATGTCTTGTTTGGTCGATCATTCGCTTGTATATATAGTAGCGTACCAACGATATCAACCGTGCGCACAATCCGTACAAATCATAGTGCTGGTGAGATTCTAGCTTTGCAAGCAAGCTATCTGTGAATGGGAACAAGCTTTTCCAGGCCTGTGATGCTTGCTTGAACGATAACTTGTCCACACTGGTCTTATCCACATAGTAAAAGTTCAAAATGTAATCACACAACGCATGGAAATGGTCAATCATGCCAAAGAATTCCTCGGTTTGATTGTCACCTCTTCTCTTGTTGGCGTGTGCCAGCTTACTAAACCTAATTCAGCCAGTATTTAATCCACTATCCTACAAACCCATTCAGTTTTCTCTTACATGATGACGAACAATTTGCATTGCTCTGGTGTGTCTGAATCAGGAGCTGTTGCCGAGATAGTCTTTGGCTTGGTGTTTCTGTCATTGGTTCCTTTAACGTATGAAGAAGACCTCGTCGGTGTCAATGTTCTACTGGGTGTTGTGCCTGATTTCTCCATGGAGCTATCCCTCCGTTCTCGGGGCGAGCGTTTACGCTTATTGTTATGGCTATCATTATCGGGGTTTTTACCGTTGCCATTCGTAATGCTCTTTTCGGAACGAGATGTTGTGGATGTTGATGGGGGTGATCGTCGTCTTGAGGACTCGGATCGATTTCTGGATCGTCTACGAGGAGGTGTTCGTGAGCGAGATGTCGACCTTGACCTGGAGTGATATCGACTAGAGCGATACCCTTTGTCTCGCTTTCTATCCGAGCTGGATCTCCGTCTGCTACCACTATCATTGTCACTATCATGTCTGCTGCTTCTATAGTCCTGGCGCGCATTTGATCGCTTGGTGTCTTCACGTCGTCTGCTGCTACTTGTAAGTCGACTTGGTGATCTGTCTTTTTCCTTGGCTGATTCTCTTCTGGCTGTATCTCTGCTTTTGTCTGGCACTTTTATCGATGTATGTCTAGGTGAAGGAGAAGGGCTTATCGTCTCTCCTTCTTCTAATTCAGTTTCAGATGATTTGTATTGTTTGGATGACTTTAGGGACCTGAGGAAAGAGTTTGATCTTGAATTGATTGGGTTGCCTGACTCTTTCGTTGGATTTTTTTGATTTTTGTCTACAATCTTTTGACTTTTTTGGGTTGAATAATCGCTCATTTTTCCAATGTATACATGTATTCCAGTAGTATTAGTGTAACTACAAGTGTTCTAATGATGTATCTGTTGTCAATTGAGTGGCAGGTGCTTTTGTTTGTTGCTGCTTTCTGGTTGTAGCTGGATGTGTCTATTTGAATTAAAAAAAAAAAAGTGTAGGAAAGAAATGAAAAAAGAAAGAGCTGCTGCTCTTGGCCATGATATATATGGCCGGCTAATTTAAAGGAGAGCACTTTTTTTCTTTTCTTGTGAGACACAAACACACCAACCTTTCATGTTGTTTTGATTGCGAATACATATATACTCCTACTTTTGAGAGCACTGGACATATGTAGAAGATCCAAGATATCTGACAAGGTAAAAATTGATCCTGCTTTAAGGTTTTTTCTAGATGAACACCACATGTGGTTCTTTTGAATGTAACATTTACTTTTGATGATTAGTTGACATGCTCAAGGATGAGAGAAGAAAAGTTGCTAATATGCTGAGGTTCCACACACATAAACAGTACTTGTATGGCACAAATCAGTGTAATCTGATAGCATTAACCAAGTAGATCATTCCCTGCTTCAAATCATAGACCGCCAAACCATTACTCGTGTTGTATATACTGTGTTTTTTACGTAAAAACAAGTCAATAACATCACTCTTTTCTTCGGAGCTTAATGCATGTCAATAGTACTGTATATAAGATAGGAAGAGCGAGATCCTCCATGCATCACTCTTCTTCCTTGGCTACCGTGTACAAAAACACCATGTCAACCATCCAATTAAAGTTCTTACCAGACGCCTTCTCTGTCCATCAATACGATCGTAACTTTCAGATCTCCCAAGACGTACTCTCCGCTCCATGGTTCACCATCTCCAAGACTGCATCCGAGCTCTCATTGCTTTTGCCTACTGAATATCAGATACCTGATCCGCAACCCAAGCAGACCGAGAATGGATGGCGTATGTTTCAAGTTGATGCACAAATGGATTTTGGTCTAGTAGGGATTTTGGCGAGAATAGTAGCGCCACTGAAGGATCACAAAATTCCTGTGTTTGTAGTGAGCACCTATGACACTGACTATGTCATGGTCAAGGATGACAAATTGACGGAAGCTATTAAAGTATTGAATGACGAGCCCAACATGGTTGTAAAGCCTGGAGAGTCTATTTTGTAAAGTTGCGTCGATAAATAAAAGTAGCAAAGATCAACACCTTGTAGTTTGAGTTTTGATAAAGGAGATTGATCTAGATATTTACCAAAGAAATGCACATTTTCGAATCTGTGGTGTTAGTAATCAACATGTAACTGTGGATTTGACCATTCTACAATGCTCCACGTTTATCTCAATGAGAAAAACTCATATATGAGCACACAGCATACTCGCATTGCCCCTTACCATTCAAATATAAGTAAACCACAGCGAATATTGGGTGAGTTTGAGCAGCAATTTCTGGTGTTAGAAGCCGCTTTAGACCGCCAAAAGAGTGCCAAGCAATTGCAATCGCCTCGCACTTACTTACCAGCGCCTTTACTCAATTTTTTGGGGACCAAAAAATTATCGTCAAAAATCGACCTCAAACCATGAGGTACCCCTCATGGAAAACATCAAGAAATCAAACGATCGCGTTTTTGACACCAAAAATGAACACTTTTACTATGGTATGTATTGGATCAGAATGTTTCTCTCGATCCAAAGCAACTCCTGAAACTTTGTTTGTGATACTTTTGTACGTCAAATCTCTGCATTTTGGCCACAAACCTCATTTCATATTTTCTGGAATTGCTCTATAACTTCAGTCAAAACACCTATTACAATTAGCACCATTGGAGGCGCCTTGAAAAATACTTCTAGAAAAATTAAGGAAGCATTATATAATCATCACTTTCCATATAGTCGAATCTAGCAAAATAGATGAATCAAGTTGAGAACTTCGAAATTTGGCCAATCTGGAACAGAAAGTTGGTCGGAGATTTAACTCGGTTTTGACTGGCAATATGCTTTCTTCTGGATGCAATGATACGTTTGGAGATAATTAAGAAGAGTATTTTTGCGAATTTACATACCTGATCAATTTAATCGCTACTCTTCTAAATACAAAGTGCAAAGTTGCCATGTTGTTTAGCATTGCATAAGACATTCTATGTATGGCAATGATTCAATTTATGGTGGATCTTTAGGGAACATGTCTACCAATAAGGTACCTTTAACAAAATCTTTATGGTATTGAATAGGAAGGGGATCAGAGTAGCAATAAAATTGGCGGGTGAGGGGAATAATATGAAAGTGTAGAGTAAATAAAAAGCAGTTAAACATTTAAACAAAAAAGAAATTTAGCGTAAGCAATGTGGCAAAACAAGAGCGTATAGACATGAGAGCATTAAATGTATGTATAAAAAAAAAAAAAAAAGGAGAAAATCATGCGATGATACATATGGATCAAGCCTCGAGAATTTGTGTACTGGGTGTTGCGGGTTCGTTCAGAATGCTGCCACTAGTATCATCCTCCTCCTCGCTATCGGCATTTGCAGTTGCTAGTGTCATGCGACCATCCTGCTCCTTATCCAGATCAAAGTCATGTAGTTCAATCACTGTTCTGTGAGACGCTACATGTATATTATGCTCTTCGTTGGGTCCAAGTGGTCGATCCCTCTGCAAAATCACCACTGCTTTGGTGTCATTCATCTGTATCTTCCACACGGTTCTTGCATGTTGCGTAAATGATCTTATTAGCGTGCCCTTTTCAATGTCCCATAACTTGACTCTACCATCCGATCCGCCACTCAAAATGCGTTTGTCGTCGTACTGAAGACAGGTAACCGAATTGTCATGTGCTGAGATTCTTTGTTTACATTCAAATGTATCCATGTCCCATACTCGGAGGTTGCCATCCGAACCACCACTCACCAAAACTCGAGTTGATAATTGAAGGTGGCCTACTAGCGATGTGTGTCCTTGCAGTGTAGCTAAACAAGCGCCTGTCTCAGCAGACCACACTCGAATATGCGAATCCAATGAACCTGTCACCACTTTGACGCCGTCAAATGCGATAGCGTAAATTTGCGAATGATGACCCATGAATTCATGCAAACACTGGCCTGTTTCGATATCCCAGAGTCTGGCTGTTGAGTCATATGAGCCAGAGACTACTTTGTTGCCAGATATATCCAAGCATCGTACGCTGCCTTGGTGTCCAGTGCAGACATGTCGCAACGTCCCTCTTTCAATGTCCCAAATGCGAAGTGTTGTATCTCTTGAGCCTGTCACCGCTATTTTATCATCCCGTATCTTTAGGCAACGAATGGTAGAATTGTGTCCTCTCAATACATGGCGTCTCTCACCGGTCGTCAAGTTCCAAACGCTAGCGGCTCTATTATCGCAAGTCATGTTATTACCCGTTGTTTGTTTCTCTCTTTCTCTCTCACCTGTCACATCCTCCTGTAACCAAAATGTGCTCATTGCTGATCTCGTTCTTAATAAACTGAAGCGCCCACACGCCACCTTCATGGCCCAACAAAGACCGAACGTATTTACCACTCTTTGCATCAAACACTTCAATGCAGTTGTTGTCGCAGCCAATGACAATGAATGTGTCATCCATCTGAAGAGATGTCGCAAGTCCTTCGTCGATCTGATTATCACATATGGTAACTTTTCCGCCCTGATTCTAGGCGGTATCGATATTGTACTTTCGGCGAAAGAAATCACGATATGAGATGGTTGGCATTGGGTGGTGCCGTTGAGCAACAAGAGATCCGTGCACAGGGTGGGTCGTTTTGATTGATTTGGGCACATGCGCGATTTGCTGGTGCTGGTATTGATGCTTGAAACAGAGCGATTTCCAGGCGGCTTCGTCTTTAAGTAGTACATTCCAATGCTTGGACACATGTGATGCTCGAGCCAATGTGCGGGGATCATCGATGAATGATAGTACATGAAGGGAGAGTTCGATTGGTAGTTCCTTCAAGAAGTCGATCTTGAGCTTGGGTGTGATGAAGGTGTAGATATATTGGAGTAGCTGGTTATCACAGCAACCGAGCAGTTCAGTGATAAAGAAATGACGTTGTGCATAGGTAAGCTGTTGAAAGGTGCTCTTGACTCGACCAATGTAATCCAAGCGAACCTTGTCCATTATGGAATCTGCGCCGCCAGTTGTGTCCATGATATACGACGACCTTTGTCTCTGTAATGGCCTGTAAGCACCAGCTGCCAAAGTGGAGGAAGAAGTAGAAGAGGAAGAAGGTGGAGTCGAAGGTGGAGACGATATGTCTTCTGGCTGCAAAAAGAGATCCATTTGATTATTCGCAGAGTATAATGAAATATTAAATGGAGTAAAAAAGAGAAGGGGTCTTGCTAAAAAAAGAGGAGAAAACAAAAAGAGTGTTTAAGCTTTCAACCGACCAACCAAACAAGCAACTCCCATTACAAATGATGTAAAATGTAAATTACACACACACAAACACTCACACACACACTTCTCACTTTAAATGCACGAATCGTTTTTCCCCGGACAACCTTTTATGGATGTTTTGTCATTGGATATATCAACTTCTATTTCAAGATAATATGAACCAGAAAATTAATAATATGATATTTACATCAAATCCACATTGTACCTACCCTTGGTGTATCCTTTGGGCGAAATGCGATAACCCATGAGGCTGATATAGATCATTTCTTCTTGACAGCGATGAAATTGTAGCGGGATGTCTTACCAGCACGGACTAATGTCAAGATTTGAGCCATCTTAAGACTTGCAGACAAGCCACGATTCCGCAATCTGTAAGAAACCGAGCTGCATTTGATAGCTCGAAGTTGTATGAGTGATTGCTGTTGAGAAAGAAGTTTAAAAAATGCATTCTTGCTGATTAAACAGGGTTGGATGTTCCAGATTTATTCATATCTAAATACTTAACTATATGCAACTTCACTAACTGCAGGTATCGGATCACCCTACCAATAGCTAGATTGAGAGCTAGCGCAACACGATTGGGGGCCGTCATTTGGTAGAAATACAAAGGAGGCTGTTGAAAAGCTTTACAAAGGCAACATCACTATGTATACGAGTCTGTCTAAGCTACAGATGGCTCTTTACCCTCGCATCACTTCGGTGAGAGCCAACCTACGCAGCGGCAGTTCGAGCTACAGATTGCCCTTGCGTATCTTATCAAAATACTGCTACTTTCTTCTTGATTCTCCACGTACACATGAAACCCCTTCATATTATCAGTGGATATAATTCTTATGTGATGATCTACATCCATATACACATAGGTATTTCATATTCGGGCAAGTATCATACAGATATTATCCGTTTTTAGTCAAGAGTATGCCTAATACAGCAAAAACTGTGTGCATTTGAGCCGCGTTTTCTTGCGTTCAAGGCCGTTTTAGATCGTCAGAATAGCACCAAACACTTGCTCTCATCTGGCAGTTACTTTCTGACACCTTTGCTCAACTTTTTAGGGACCAAAAAAATATGGCCAAAAATTGACCAAAAAGCATGAGGTACCCCTCATGGTTTTTATCGGAAATCAAACAATCGCATTTTTCACCTTGATAATGAAGACTTTTACTATGGTGTATATTTAATCAAAATGTTTCTATCAATCCAATGCAACCGCCAAAGTCAGTTTTGTGGGACTTTGATATGTAAAATCTCGACTTTTTGGCCAAAGACCTCTTTTCATATTTTCGTAAATTATTTGATAAGTTTATTCAAAACATCTATATTACTTGGTACCATTGGATGCGCCTTGAAAAGCGCTCCAAGAAAGCTTAAAGAAGCACGAGATGATTATCATATGTTTATAGTCAAATATGGCAAAATGGTTCAACCAAGTCGAAAAAGTACCAAAATCTGGCCAATCTGAAGTAGACCAAGAGTCTGAGTTGGAATTATTTTTGGCGGCTGGTGGAGCCGGCTGGCAAACTCAATACCCTTTCATCATGAAGACAATACAGTAATAGATGCTCTTGAAGCGTATGGAAAGTAAGTGGCAAATTGCATAGCCTATTGTCACCCATCTTATTCTACTTTATCTAATAATGCCAGTCTACCAAAATACTTGTTGGATCAACTTCTTTCCTTTTTAAGGCTTTGAAAGTGTCTAGGGACCATAAGCATTTCGACTCTTCAGTTGGTTTCCTGACCTAAGCTCAGGTGGCTCGCGCTGCTGCGGACCTTTGGCTAATGTTGCAAAACTAGTAGCACCTAAAATGTTAGAAGAAACTTGTATGTTGATTTATAGTGATTTAATATTAAAAATCTAATCATATTATATGAGCCATGCCTGACAAATTCCTGACAACTCAGTTTCCATATTGGGGTTGCAAAAGTGTCTAGGGACTATATGTTATGATGATATGAGGTCAGATCATCCCCATCAGCTCACTTTGCAGAATAATAGGATTTTCATTTAAATACGCTTGCGTCTATTAAAGGTCTATAGACATGATTACTAGCAATATTGTGTACTGTACATGATAGACATTTTACGACAATAGTATAGACATACTTAGTAGCAGTTTGCAGTAGATCAGAGTGATTTTTTGAAGGGAGATGTCAATGGCCATTTCGGGATATGTTTTATGTATATTTGTGAAACGGGTATGTATATCTAAAGGCCGTTTCTTCGGAGAGGCTTTTAATTGAACTCATGGCTTTAACAGTTTCAACGTTTTAAACTAATCGTAAAGTAGAACCCTTGCAAATCACAGTATGCATGCATTCAAGTTATCAATAAGACTTATTAATGCTGGTTGTATCATTTAGAAAGGATGGCCTGCTTGATGCATGCTTTATAAACCGGCTTTTATTACGAGGTTGGGGGGAAAAGGATCTAGATCAGCATAACGTATGAAAAAGATGCTGGATCGATAACAGCAGATACACGTTGGTGAGATGGCAACTGGATGAGATGCAGACTGGCACATGTATTGTGATGGAGGATAGTTTATAGGTCCAAGACAGCGTATGGAGGTGATGGCATGAATATAACATTATTGATTCCTTGGCATCATAGTGCAAAGCTTCTCATTTTACAAACTGATCATAGCTTGAAGAAAGAGATGCTGTTGTGTGAACAAACGCGGTTGCTCAAAAAACGGTATATTTCAAACCCATTCTCCATTGAGGCATTATAAAAGTACCTTCCCTCGTCTGTTTGGCTCTCTCTTTCTTTCTTACATATTCTCCCCAGCTCGGATATTCCTGAATAGAATAAAAATGAAGAATTCTGTAAAAGGTAAAAGTCCTACCAACAGTGTCGGTAAGTATTAGGTATCGAGCATATGAAATGGCATGCTGACATGGCCCTATAGAAGCGCATTCCACCACAATCCATCTCGATGATAGCAGTGATGACGAACAACAGCAACAAGACGAGTACTTGCCTTCCGATATCATTGTGAATGAACGTCAATCATTACTGTTGGGCCTAGATCAACATAACTTTCCAAGATACATGACCGCTTCCCCTTGTAAGTTTCATGATTGTTGAAATTTAAAAGCTAAAGTAGTAAAATGGCATTAAACCATATTAGTGCCCTCTGCTCGCATCAACGATAACTCCCCTAAAGACAAATGGAGCACCTTCAAGGTGAGATCAAAGTATTATCTGCCCATCTTGCAATGGCTGCCTCTGTATAATTTCCATCTCTTATTGGGTGATCTTATTGCCGGAATCACTCTTTCCTGCTTACTGATCCCTCAAGGTTTATCTTACGCTACTGCACTCTGTAAGTTGGAAGCTGTTCATGGTTTGTACGCTATTGCATTTCCGGCCATAACCTATGCTGTTTTTGGCATGTCCAGGTACAGTCCAACATGTAAACATTTACACACATCACATATCAACTGACCCTAAAAATCTCGATACCAATAGACAAATGTCCGTAGGCCCTGAAGCCACTCTGTCCTTGTTGGTTGGATCCTCCATCGCTCAGATCAATCACGGCGATGAAGAAACTCATGTGGACGCTTTAGCCTGGGCCTGTTTGATGACTATCTTTGTGGGCATCTTTACCTTTTTGCTGGGTATCTTTAGATTGGGGTTTTTGGATAGCTTGATGAGCCGAGCTCTTTTGCGTGGTTTTATCTCTGGTGTTGGTCTCGTGGTCGCACTTCAGCAAGGTATTATTCTGTTAGGTCTCGTTCATCTCAGCGAAGAAAACGGCATCACCGAAGCTTCCAGCTCAATCGCTCGTCTTTTGTTCCTGATCAAGAGCATTCAATATTCACACGTTTTAACGACGTCTGTCTCCGCTGTATCTGTAGCATTTTTGATGATGGCTCGTGTTACAAAATCCAAATTGGCCAGATTCAGATGGTTCCAATTGCTACCAGAAGTTTTGCTAGTTGTAGTCGTGTCCTCACTCCTTACTTACTTTTTCGACTGGGAAAATAAGGGATTGGCAATTCTTGGTACCATCGAAGGCAAAGGCATCCCATTGCCCTCCATTCCAGCATTTCCTGATAACAAGCACATGAAGGACATGTTAGTTACTGCTGCCATGATTGCTATCATTGGCTTTGTTGAATCTGTGGTGATTGCAAAGACTTACAGTAGCAAGCACAATTACTCGGTGAGTGCTAATAGAGAACTCGTTGCATTAGGAGCAGCAAATATGGTTAGCGGCCTTTTCCAGGGTATTCCTGCATTTGGATCAGTAAGTTATATTGACATGAGTTGACAAAATTATATGATATTTAACCCCTTAATCAGGTAGCACGTAGTAAAATTAATGATAAGGCTGGCGCACGAACCCAAATGGCATGTCTGATTGCGGGTGCAGTTGCCTTGTTTGCCATTTTCTTTTTGCTGCCTTACTTTTACTACCTACCTAAATGTGTGCTATCGGCCATCATCTTTGTCGCTGTACTCTCATTGCTGGGTGAACTGCCCGAAGACCTCCATTTTATCTTCAAGATTGGTGCCTGGAGAGATTTGGGCTTGCTCATGGTCACTTTTCTCGCAACCATTATTATTTCACTTGAATTCGGTACATTGCTCGCTGTAACGCTGTCTCTTCTCCTGACAATCAAGGAAACAAGTTACCCCCGCATATCTATCATGGTAAGGGAAGCATAATTTCAAGTGTTTTCATATATTAATTAACTTGTATATAGGGAAGAGTCAAGGGCACAAACAATAAATTTAGACCTATTCAGGATGATCCAGATGTCGTGGAGCACCTTGAAGATGTCCTCATAGTTCGTATCGATGAGCCCCTCTTTTTCGCAAATACTGGGCAACTCAAAGACAGACTGCGCAGACTGGAGCAATTTGGTGACATGTCTATTCATCCATCTGAGAGTCCTCGCTTGGGTGGCCTTTCCTATGTTATCTTTGATGTGGATAACATGCCCACCATTGATGCCAGGTAAGACACATTATGCTGGTTCCAAAAGAGCTGTTTCTAACACCCATATAGCGCTGTCCAAATTCTCTACGAGGTAGTTGAGGCTTACCATGCAAGAAACGTCAAGGTCTTCTTTGTGCGACTAAGAGAGAAGCCCATGGCACTGTTTAGAAAGTCAGGCTTATTGAATGTCGTTGGTCAAGTTAATTTATTCAGGAAGGTGTCTGATGCAATTGAGACAATCGAGAAAGACATGGTGAATAACAGCAGTAACTCTCCTTTTCTTCATCAGTAGCTGATATACCATGCTTCTTTTTTCGTGATACCCCCCATCATCGTATTAGTCTTCTTTCATTTCTTTGTGTCCTCTTTGCCCCTCCCCCCTTTTTTTTTCTCATTTGTATGAAATAAATATTGACTCTTCTGAGATTCTTAGATATTTTACATATCGATTCTATTGTGTCTGGTTTGTGAGCCTCCCTCTCCTCTAAATGACGAAGAAAACGCTTCATTCTATATATATTATTCATCCTGATTTTATTCCTTTCGAAACGAAAGCCACATTTTTATCGCTGATGGATAATCCAAAAATACCTGCTACCGAGGAATCCATGGTTGAAAAAGTGATCTCATGCATTTCGAAGCTCATGGCGTCAAGCTGACATGTTGCGGCTCATTAATGAGCATATGGCACAGTTGCATCTCTAATTGCATCACCTGTACGTATTGCCACAACACAACACAACACTAAATCACGATATAGGTGTTTGCGCAGCATGCACTGGTTGCTTGCATTGTACACATTGAAGCACTTTGCTCATTTGCATACATTACATGTCTTTCATATACGACTAGCCAATGCACGTTCATACATGACGAGAATATAAGTTTTTTGTCGATTCAAAGTGTTTAATAAAGAACAATCCCTGTCATATCGCTTGCTCCTATGTGACCTGCGATCTAGCAAACGAGTCTCGGTTATAACCCATTTATTGCGAAACAAGACAAGCTACATTTTTGCATAGGAGAATACAGAAGCATAGCATCTAATAATTCATTCCCGAATTCCCATGTGGCCTCCCTTTTTGTACAAAGAGGCTTGCCGCGTGTCGATATGCATACGCTGGTTTATAGATGATGGGTAGTGATGAATCAATAATAACGATTAGTGGCATATTTCACAATTTGAAGTAATGCTTACATCTAGCGTTAGGATATAAGTGATATTTTCTTGTATATTTTATCATTGCTCCTTGGCAAAATTAATATAATAAATTTTAAAAAATTACGCTTTGATCGAAGGCTGCTTTTTTTCGCATTTCTCAAATATTACTGACAGTGTCCAGTTGTGTAAATTCAACAAAACATAGTTCCCTTACAATACTCTAATCAGAAAGTAAAAACTCCTCGAAAACGGGATGAACTTAACAACAATCTCTCGACATTTGAATGCGAAAAATGTGGCATTTCAGTCAGCTGAGAAGATGGAGCATCTCAGCTCACCTGAAAAATCAAGACGAACGAACAAGAACCTCATGTACATGATAACATGCTCTTTTTTTTTTCAACTACAAAAGCAACATTTTTCATATAAAAAAGAAAATTCGCAAATGCTTACTCCTATATTTTTCTTGATTTAATATAAAAAACCAAACATTTCACCAAAACGATCTAACGGCTTCTTTTTTTTTTTTTCTTTTTATATCACCTTGTTAATATTGCTGGACCCTTCTTCTTTCTCTGGATGATCAGCATTTCGTTTCAAAATTAAAAAAAACAGGTTTTTTGAATTCATCATTTTTGTTGTTGCTGATCACGTTTTGTCAAAAAAAAACAAGAAACAGAAAGCACGGGCATTTATTCTTGATGGTATTCACAAGTGCACATCTCCCAATTCAACGCATTACAAAAATACAAAAAAACTTTATTTTCTCGGGAAAATCAGTCAAACAAAAGAAGTAAGTCAACTTTGCATGAAAAATGTAATAGCAGTAAAGCTCATCCCTTTTAACAGTGCAGTCGAATTCGAGCAGTAGTCGTAGAAATTGGAGGAAACCTCGTCCTCCTCTTCCACCTCGACCATCACCTCCGAATCCACCAAATCCAAGCACAAACTCGATTTATCATTTTACAATCAAATTCACTCTAAGAGATCTATTCAAAAAGTGTGTATTTTGCTGTCCATCTACTACCAGCAACCACTCGCATTTACACGCTTCCAATTAAATCAATCATCTGCAATTGACAGATACATTATTCATTACCACATATACCCATTTACATTGATCCCGCCTCCCTTTCCCCGCCCATTCCACTCTTCTTTCTTGAAAATGAATCTACATATACCTATACGCTCTTTCATTGTATTATTCAAGTCAATACTAGATCCAGCTAATTATATATCCCTATGAAACCACCTTTAAACCCTATAACAATTCTATTATGCGTGCACAAATCTTATGAAACAATAAAACATGATATATAGTATACACATGAAATCGTAACATGGCACACAACTATCAAGATTTAATATTGTTCATAATGTGTATCGTAATACATTATCAAGTGGAACACTTTTAACATATGGATGCTATAAAGTGATGTATCAGCTCCTGTTTTATATGTTCCTTGGCAGTATGATACATGTATCATGTGCCATCATGGCATGCCGTAGCATTAGCTATGCACGGACCATCAGGTCATGTACTGCTCTTAGATTCATGTAAATTGAGCAGCGTCTAGTTATTTATTTACACTGTCTGTACTACGCAATAGCAATGTTGCAACTAGGGAAAGCAGCTCTACTTTCGCTCCTGAAACTAGTGTAACATTGCGCTTAGTTATGGGTTCTCGGATACTCAAGGGGCGCATGAATTTTAGAAACACGAGTGAAACGGGAAACAATCAAAGAGCACAATAAACTTGCTTCCTAACAACATATCCCCCAAGTGCGTTGGGTTAATTTTGAGTGAAATAGATTAGTTTACATGGCAAGGGCGTGAAATGTGAATACAAGTGTATTGAAGATTTGCTTGATCTGATACGGTACCTGAATCTTTCATTTTTTCTTGATTTGGCAAAAAACATGATTTAAGGCACCGACACCCTTGATTTTTCCAGAGATATGTCTATTGGCCGATAACATAAAAGGGTCCATCAGTTGCAAGCAAAAAGCGTAGAGCTCGATAGTTATACTGTACATATCAAGACAACCAGTTTACTGTTTAACAACCCACGCATGGCCATTGGTCCACATTTGTCAATCTTTCAGCCTCCCAAATGAACATCCGCAAAGCTTATTTATTGAACGCAATCAAGGACTGCTTTGCATTAACGATAAAGATGATGGGGAGAAGATGAACTACTTCTTTCGACTAGTTTTATCTAATTATAAACATGTCTTCCATAACTGAGCAGCCAGTACCAGCATTTGATACATTTGATTACGTTACTGAACGAGAGCAAGAGGTCAAAGCACACACAGGAAGCATTACATTTGATGGTTTATCTGATCCTATTTTACTTGCGCAAGACATGAGTGGAGGCTGTGGTGGCAAGATTTGGAAGTGTGCTAATATTATGATTGACTATTTCATTTGGAAGAACAATCAACTGCATGGCAAGCTATTCGAAGGCCAGAAGATTGTTGAAATTGGGGCTGGTACAGGCCTTGTTGGTCTGGCAGTAGCCAAGATATGTCCTGCTCTCAAGCAAATAGTGATTACAGACCAACTGTAAGAAAACAGAGCTTGCAATGGGCTGGACACAGATGCTTACTAACGCATGCACGATACATACAGGCCAATGATGGGACTAATGCAAGAGAACATCAAGCTCAACCATCTTGAACAATCAATGAAAGCAGATGTTTTGAACTGGGGAGAGGCTATACCCAACATGTCTCAGGTCCTGGATGCAGACGTGATATTAGCCTCTGATTGTATTTATCTTGAGGTGGCATTTATTCCTCTACTAGAGACATTTTTTGCACTAACTACCAAGCCAACATCCATCATCTATCTGACGTATAGAAAAAGAAGGAATGCTGATAAACTCTTCTTTCAAGCTGCTAAAAAGAAGTTCATCTTCAAGGACATTACAGAGGATCCCATGATGAAGGTGTACATGAGGGACAAAACGCATCTGTTTAGCGTGACAAGAAAACCTTTGAATCAACAACAATTGCAAGATTTGCACAAGCAAAAAGTATTATAACACCATTTGAATCTAATATATATACTGTAAAACATTCAAAAAAAAAAGTAGACAAACTAATTATATCCTTTCAAAAATTTAAAGAGTTGTGTGCCGTACAAGGTGAATACACCCACCGGCAAAGTCGGCAATGGAGAGGGGGTTATAGGGAAGAACATAACGCGTCTAATTCAACACTTGATAGCACTGATTTATAAGGGGGTTTTACCGTAGCGAAGCAAAAGTGCAAAGCCATGGTAATAAAGCGTTTAATCCAACACGGTAACATTGATCTATATGAGGGTTTAATTGCATCTACCAAAGATGTAATTCATGCTGTGTAAGTAAACTCTATAAAGCAATAACCAAATTTGGCAGTTTTCAAGCCTTCATGCCTTGACATGTAGGCCTTTATGAACCACCGGAGTGACGCCAAACAATTGTATTTGAGTAGCAGCAACTTCCTGACACATTTATTCAACTTTTTGGGCCAAAAAAAAAACATGACCAAAAATCGACCAAAAACCATGAGGTATCCCTCATGATTTTCATTGAAAATCAAACGATCGCATTTTTCGCTTTGAAAATGAAGACTTTTACTATGGCATATATTAATTTAAAATGTTTCTCTCGACCCAAAGCAACCTCTGAAACCACTTTTAAGAGGTTTTCATATGCAAAATTTCGACATTTTGGCCAAAACCCTTATTTCATATTTTCAAAAATTGCTCAATAAGTTCATTCAAAACATCTATTTTATTTAACACCATTGGAAGCGCCTTGAAAAGTACTTCAAGAATGTATTAGGAAGCGTAGGGTGATCATTACAGTTTATATAGTCGAATACCATGAAGCAGATTAAAGAAGTCGAAAAGTGACAAAATCTGTCCAATCTTGAACAGAAAAAAAAGCTGAGCTTGAATAAAATTTGGCGGTGGTGGCATTGCTGCTGATTGACCAAAATGCCTTTCTGTTGATGACAACAATGATGATTGCGATGCTGATTAAATGGGGATCATGGAATTGAAAGGGCAGTTGCTTAGTGAAAATACTATTCTTGGGAGTTTTTCCCTATAAAGGTGTCCTTTGCAATGACAATGCCTCAAAAAATCGCTGTAGGTCCTACACAAGTCCTGTGTTTACGCATGGTCAGCAACACCAGCGAATGGTATGACAATTCTACTACCAAAAAATGTGGCACAAACGTAGAATGTAGTATACAAATGCTGCATAAAGCTTGGACTCTCTTTCACATCGTTTCAATAATAGCTTCCGTTGATACCAGTGTATAAGCAAAGGGAGGAGGATGCAGGGAGAAATACCTCTCTCTTTCTGACTCTAATATAATCTTTCTTTTATTATTGATAGATTGTTTAAAATCTATTTAAATAGCAGGTTTTTATTGCCTTTGATTTGAAATGCCTTCGACGAGAGCCTTCATCGAGCGTAGCGAGATTGATCGGCTAGTAAATAGATCGATGTAAATTCTAGATTATATTAAACGTATGCCCTCATTAGCACACAAATAGATGCTGCACATTAATCACATGTGGCAGGCTATCAAACACATGTATTTTATCTCCAGGGCCATCCGTGTTGCATTGCATGTATACACCCAGGCGTGTTCTTATGCGCAAAAGCTACTGCTTGCTTCTCAAATCATGACCTGCCAAGAAAACTTTTAATACAAACCAAACATGTAAAAATAACGTGAAAGTTTAGAGAGTAAATCCGTGCTGCATCTTACGGGGCTAGCATGGGTGATCCTGCCTGGGATCGTATAGCTTTCATCTTATAATAGAAGTGCTCCCTCTCTTACATTGTATCCTGCTATCAAAAATTGGCAGTAGCTCCCACTCAAATGAATAGCAGTAACTCCATAGTGTCAAGCAATATCCCGATGTGCAATCCTTTTATAGTCTATCCAGACAAGAAAAATCACCACTCTCAAAGCTAAATTACTCGTACTCTTCATCCAAAGCTGCCTTTCTACCTGCTATTCGATATCACTCTACTCTAGTTGAAGTATCTCCAATCATCGCAATGTCTATTTAAAAAGCATCATTTCTTTTATTTCGTCAGTTCATCTTATTTTATGTATCAATGAGTTGGTGCGTCTTGTTTAGTGCGATCTCTTCTTTTCCAAATACCAAATACTACAATTATCATTAATAGCTGATCCTGCAATGTCGTATATATCATCAAATACCTGTTCGTGGCAAATGCTAATGGAGCAATAGGTTGATCCTAAGTCAAATCATCAATACTTGCTGAAATGTATATTTCAACATTCATTTATATTTACGGTCTGTCCTCTAAGTGATCCGGTTAAACGTCTATCACGCTCCATCATTTGCTTCTCCCAGACATCAAGTCCATATCTTGTAGGCTGTTTTTAATAAAAGATGTCAATGCGTTTGCTAGTGCTAGTTTATGTGAAGCTTTGCTGACCTTCTTATCATTGCCAAGGTATCTAGTAACATTCAAGCCTGTTGCAGTAACGGTAAACATACCGGCAATGATGGCGAAAGGAAGGAGTGCTTCAAAAGGTACGGGCTACATGTTTTTCGTAAGTTTTTCGAGATTAAGATGTCCAACATTGCACTATTAAGTTACCATATTCTATCAATTTATGTGCGAAAAGAGGTGGGGGTGGTTGTTAATAGAGTGTTAATATACAAAAAGACAAAAGGCGGGGTAAATAAAAACACTCAACAAGATTTGTTTTGGGAGGCAAGGTTAGCTATCCTTTTTGATGACGTCTAGATAGCGCCTCTTCAAGCTATTCAAATGTAAAAATGGATAGCTTACACTGCTAATTGCATGATACACCTCTTCAATGCCACTAAATTTACCTTTACTAAACAATATATCCAAAAAAACGATTGTGCTTGCATCTGCATCTCCTAGGAGAAGGGAAATCCTAAAAGACATGGTACATCTTTGTCATCATTGGGCTATCTACTATGATTAACTGAACATTAGGGCTTGGATTTCTCTGTGGTCACTACCTTGGAGCCCGATGAAAACGATCCTACAGCATACAAGACCCGGGCAGAATACGTAGCAGACACAGCTTATATGAAAGCAAAAGAAGTATTCGAAAGATGTCAGGTAAATTTGTGATGAATCGCTGTTAATGATGGCGTTTTACTCATTGTATACACAGGAAGATTCTGAGCTACCCACTGCAGACATTGTTATCGGTGCCGATACTATAGTTGTCAAGGATGAATGTGTATTGGAGAAACCCAGAGATAAAGAGCATGCATTAGCAATGCTCCAACAGTTGAATGGGCAGAGTCATTACGTCTTGACTGGCGTTCAAATCATGTACAAGATCAATGATACAGTTGAAAGGATCGAGTTCGTTGAACGAACGCAAGTGCAATTCAGTCAAATGGATCTTGAGATTATACAGGCCTGTAGGTGGCCCATATTCTTACTCGCAATGGTCACTCATGTTTATTGCTGTAGATGTTGATTCAGGTGAGCCATTTGATAAGGCAGGTGGATATGGTATTCAGGGTCAGGCATCATTATTTGTCGAATCGATCCATGGAGACTACTGGAATGTGGCAAGTATTGTTTTGCAATGGCTCTCCTACTACATAGCTTACTGATAGGTTGCAATGACAGGTTGGCTTGCCCAAGAATCACTTGTTCAGAGAGTTGATCAAATTGAGTCTGCGTTTGTAATACACTCTTGTGTAAGTTAATGTTGCTTTAACTAGTTGTTATATTTTTCTTGTCCTCCCCCCACCCCCTTTTTCTCTTTTTTCTCTTTCTTCCTTCGTTTTATTCATCTTCTTTGCTCTTCTTTTTTTCCCTCTCTATCTAGTTTTACTTGGAACCAAGTTTATTTGAGTTTTGGATTAGTAAATTTATGTTTGGCTATCATTAAAAGAAAGTAAGCATCTCATGACCTTGAACGGAGATGTGATGAATTAACATGAGCATGATCGTTTTGTATAGCTGTCAATCATCTAAACTATATTAAATCATTAAGGGGGAATCACATTTAAGTTTTTTCTATTACAAAACATGGACAACCATTTTATAGCCCGTAGCAATGACAGTGAGAATAATGCCTCGTTTGTAACCATGGCAACAGCAAATCAAATGATATCACCCGAGGCACCGTACAATAACAATGGCCTTACTGTTGTAAGTGGATGAACCTGTTTATACAATGTAATTAAATGCAATTAATATGTGTGTATTTTTACAGACAGGAGATAATCAATATTACAGTAATTACAGTAATAGTCAATATACACCTCATATTACTACTACACCTGTAGTCAAAAGTCATCATCCTACTGCTATTGCAACCAATTTACCAATGTTTACACCCCCTCCGCCTGCTCCTTTTCCCCTGAACTATCAGCACAACCAGCAACCAAATTACACTCCTGTTGACATGGCAACATTTCATATCATGAACATGGAGATTGATGACTATTTTACTCCAACCACTACAATGGAAGGCAATCAAATGTTTGTAAATACAATGCACAACGTAGTATACTCGCCCTCGTCAACATCCGTCACCACCAACAACTCATCTATCATGATGATAGATACTATGTCTCCAACCTCTCCTACGCACAATATGATGATGAGCCCTGAATTTGCTAATCAAGCCATGGTATGTATGAATGAACGAGTATGAAACGTTTCAGTTCCTTATTGACGTGTATCATTAGGACACTGCCTTTATGTCACCTACTGGCTACCATCAGCAGATGTTCACTAATGGACTTGATAATCACGTATTCTCAGAAACTCCCATTGTACCGACCAATATAGGGATGCATTCAAATTATAGTACACAAAATATATTACATTATGGAAGTAATCATGATATTCAACAGCCACAGCAATACGTGGATAGAAAGAATAGACGCCCGCTTCCAAGAAGACACACTGTATCAACACCTTATTCGACCAGTGTAAACAGCAATCCAAAGGGCAAAGAGCTAATCAATGAATCTATGAATATGGATATACCAGTAGATCCTGCCATGGTTTCTCAGCAGCAACAGCAGCAGCCATCTGTTACTAAGTCTCGTAAATCTTCGTTAAAGGCAAAAAGACATCGATCTTTGGGTAAACTAGACATTTATGGCTCTGCCACAACTACATCGCCTCCGCCTGTTCCGGATATAGCCACGTTTGATCCACTTTCTGCCAAACTAGAACTATGGACTCATGAACAGCTATTGGAAAGAGTCATGGAACTTGAAAAGGAGAAGCAAGTAGCACAAACATCTATGATCAAACAGAAAGGTATAAAGTAAAAAATTGGCTCATTTTTTTTTAACATTCTAATCTTGTTACACTAGATGAATGTGCTGTAGCAAGATCAGCCTCTGTTGCTACTGCTCCTGCTCAAAACACTGCAGCCAATGCAGTGGCTGCTCCTATGTCTCGTAAACCATCTGCTACAGCCCCATCTAGTAAGGCTAGATCAGCTTCACACACTGATACCGAGTTGGATGACGATGATGATGAGGACGAAGAAACCCTGATTTGTAAATGGGATGCATGCTCAAAAGAATTGAACTCACTTGATGAGCTTATCAATCATGTCAAGAGTGAGCACATTGGCAGCGGAAAGGTATGTTTGTGCGTGGGATCAGATTGAAATCTTTGCCCCTCTTAAACGCTGCTCTATTGTCACATCCAGGCCAATTATTATTGCTTGTGGAAGGATTGTGCTCGCAACCAGAAGCCATTCACGAAGAGGCACAAGATGCATAACCATCTGCGTACACATACGGGAGAGAGGCCATTTATGTGTCAAGAGCCAGGTAGATAGAGCATTGTTGTGGTGTGTATTCAAAACCTAATTTGATATGAAATAGACTGTGGAAAGAGATTTTCCAGACCTGACTCACTGACAACACATGCCAAAATTCATTCCAACATTCGACCTTATATCTGCACTTTTAATGAGTGTGGTAAAGCATATTACCATCTTCGATCCCTGCGCAAACACGAGAGAACTCATACAAGCAACACGTCAACAACTCAAGACAATATGCCTAAATCAACGTCCTCATCTCCACCTCCTCCAGTTCCTCCGATTGTCATGCCTGTAGCAACATCTACTGATGTAGCACATGCTACAAGTTTACACCCTGCTGACGAGCTCTTGGTAGGACCAGACGCCCAACAAGTCTTCTCAGATTGGGGATTAGCTGCACAAGCTGCAGTCTTTAACGTTATGGAGAGAGAAAATACATATATGTAGATTAAGATCAAAAAAGATGTATTATACACTGCAGTAGTAGTTTTTTTTATATATATACCATAACTGAAAAAGGTTAGCTTTACAATAGAAACGGCCTCTTTATCGTCTTTCCATTACCCTCTTTCCTTTGAACACTAGATCAAATATATACTTTTATAATCAATAACAAATAAAAAATTCAAGATTGTATGCATTCGATGTATTCATTACATGGAAAAGTAGGAGTTCCTTCTACAAGCTTCTTCCTTAGCAAGGTCTGAATGTATATCGATCTTCCCTACACAGTCAAACGAGAACGGGCTGAATAAGCATTATCAAAAGAGCTCTTCATTTTAAAAATAGGCTTTACGGAATGCAGTTGAGGTAGTACTTGAAATTTTTCTCGGGAAAGAGCCGATGCTTTTGGCTTCTTTGCATCTTGAGCGCGGATAATTATCTCATTACGCAAACTCTATAAATGGCTCTTCCCTGTTGACAAATATGAGAGATTTGCAAATAAGCAGATCGTTTGCAATGAATGACAAGAGAATTAGCAAATGATCTGAACTTCAGTAGGACAAGTTTTTGGCAGGAGATCAACAAATCTTACAAGCGACAGGTGTATTGAACCCTTTGATGAAAAGCTCTTGATTTTAATGCATGCATATATATGTATCAAAGATTAAAGCAATAGAAAAATTTACAGCAATTGTGATACATCCTCAAAAAGAGCCTTTACAGTGCCAGGAAGCTCTCTTTCAACAGATACCAGCGATTTTTGTAATGATTCCACAGCTGCTAAACTTTTGTGGTTTTTACAATTCTTTTGAAGCTATTCAAAGGAGAATACGTCAGATGGCGTGGCATTCTCTATAAATCTAGACTTACTCTATCCAACATGGGTAAAATCATCTCCAAAAATGCTGTATCATTGGCTTGCTGTTGTTGTCTTACGGAGGCTATCGTGCTAACGCTTCGTGTAGAAGGAGATTTATTCGGAAGTGGTGGTAATGGGTTAGAGACAGCTGGCTGCTGTATCATGCTGCTTCGCTTGCTGGATCTAGAATAAGCTCCAATCTCTGCTGCACGAACAGTACTTTGATTGACGTCTTCGTATTCGCTTGTACTATGTCTAAATCCAGTTTGCTGTAGCTTATTCTAGCATCAATTCGTCGGACGTTAGAAAGATACCACTTAAATGCACGTATGTCTACTTACAGTTACTTCATTTACTCGAGAGGAAGCTGCTGGCTGCTGTTGCTGTTGAGGAGCTACTTGGTTTCTGCTCGCAGTGCGCGGTAACTGCTGTGGTGGCTGCTGTTGGTATTTGTTTTCAATCGAAAAACTGTTGACAGAATATTGGCTTGGGGAATGATGCATTTGCTGAAGTGGTGACTTTGATAGTTGTGGTGGTGCCTGTTTGACAGTGCCAAAATCCCATCCATCTGCATCATCCTCTTCCACGCTTGAATTGAAAATGCATGTTACAACCTTGCTGTTTGGTAGCACATCATTCAGCAACTTACTTGTCTTCCTCCTCTGAAGAGTCATCATCACGGCCATTCGCACTTATCCATCTCTCGTGTCCTTCAATAAGTTCAGTCAAATAGGCAACCTTTTTGCTACTCTTGATAAATTTGTGCTTGAGTAAGTCTTTGGCAGTGGGACGCTATTGGTGGTTCAGCCATGTTAACACACAGTGAGCATAGACAGACACATTTAAAACAGCATCACTTACGTTGGCTGGGCTTGTTTGTAAACACATGCTTACAAAATCACGGAATGCTTTACTGTGAGGGGGGCCAAGTGTTGGAGGCTCGTTCTTGGGTATATGGAATAGCACTTTCATGGGATGCATTTTTGCATAGGGTGGCTCTCCATTGGCGAGCTCAATTGCTGTGATACCAAGAGACCAAATGTCAGCTTTGTAGTCATAACCAGACTGTTTGATGACTTCTGGTGCCATCCAAAACTACATAAAGGCGCATTCAGTACGACTTTTGTCATCTCTCTGCTTGAGTTACTTACTGGAGTTCCAACAAATGTATTCTTCTTGGTGAGAGTAGCAGTAATCTACACAGAGATTTCAATGTGAATGGTTTGTTTTGATATTACTATATTAGTACTTACTTGTCCCGATACACCGAAATCTGCCAGCTTGACTAATGGAATCGTCAATATACTTGGACCGTCTACTGCCAGCTTTTTCACAGCTTACCTTCACCGGTGGAACTTAACAAGATATTAGCAGCTAAATTAAAGGGTTAGATGCTTGATCGTAGCATTCGCCCAGGCTCTTTACCTTTGATATCTATGATTGAAACGTCGCATGAGTACATCTCTACATGAATACGCCTCCTCCTGTCTCCTTACCTCTATGCAATTTTCCTTCGTTATGAAGATAGTCCAAGCCTTTCAGCAGTTCCTTGATGATAATCGCAATGTACTCCTCTCGAATAGTGCCCATTTTCATCTGCCATTCAATTATCAGTAACAGCACACAAAACAACCGCAAAAATACGCACCAAATCACTGCAGGAACCACCTGAACAATATTCCATAATAATCCATAAGCCAGTACCCTTAAGATATGATCCATGGTACCTATAAAATAGGGAGGATTAGAGGTTTATTTTTAAGAAAAAAAAGGAGTGGTGTGTACTTTGTTACGAAGGGTGAATCCAGTTGTGACAGAATGGCTATTTCTTGTTGTATATCATCAATCTCATCCTCTGCACTTTCGAGATCAATGATTTTGATGGCAACTGGTTTGTTTGTGCGTCTGTCCAGTCTATTTCATCGCGTTAATGAATTAGTGTGCTTTCGTAATGCTTTAAGGTTGATATACCCTTTGAACACTTCGCCAAAAGAGCCTTTGCCTGTATTTTGTATAAAATATCAGACAATAATGAAATAAGACGGCTTAATTGCACTTACCAATGCGTTCTTGCTTCAAGTAGTATACCTCTGGATCTGTAGATTGATTTGCAGTATTCTGTCAATGCGCATTAATAAGATGGTTTCTTCAAGTGCGCTCCTACAAGATTTACCATTGTATAGAATGTAAAGAAAAAGTGTGTGAGAGAGAGAGAGAAAGAAAAAAGAGAGGTGTAATTCAGGGAGAATCGAAACGCATGTAATATAAATACATGGACGAAAAAAGGGGAGCGGGAAAAGGGAATCATCCCAATTAGGATTCAATGTAAACAACACACACTTCTTGGAATGAAATTACACTATTTATTGTTGTCAATTTTCTCTTTAAAATAATAAGCTTGCTGCTACTTCAGGGTTGCCGCCAGCCATCTCCAAAGCATTCAAAGCTTCCTGTTTCATATAAACTCGAGTCAGTTTTGAGACGTTATTGTGAGAAATCCACACACTGTACCTGGCGACTTACTCCCATGTCAGTGAGAAGTTTGATGTCTTTCTCGGGATATGTTGATGATGATGTCGAAGCTGTATTCAAAGTGGGTGTTGCTGCTGCTGCTGCAGATGCTGAGCCTGCCGCTGCTGGTGAAGCAGCAGAAGTGGGTGGCGGCGTAGAAACTTGAGGCACAACTGTTCGACGTTCAATTGCTGTTTCATCCTCATCACTGCCATGAATCTCCATTCTTCGCTGCTTTTCGGGGAGCTCATGCTCGGCTAAAAAGGGAATATCGCAGCTGTCAAATGTCAATGCATTCTTTCGAAGATCGATACAAGCACGGTGCTTCTTCAACATATCAAGGCCAAAGAGTAATTCGGATCCTTTTCCTTCAACCACAATGAACGAACATGTCAAGAATAAGTTTTGCGATAATCTCATTTGTGCACTGTGAATACGGCCCAAAATCTTTGCGGTGCCTACACCTTTAGCTACACCACTGAAACGTGTGTCCAACAATCGCATTAACCCGCATGATTCGGCTGTCTCTGGACTGACTATTGCATACAGTCAAGTCAATACGCGTTCTCCGTCTTGCAATGCCTCAACTTACTGACTGTGCTCTGAGCACCTGAATCAACAAGAGCCACCAAGTGTTTGTTGTTGATTTCCACATTTATGTATAAACGAGTGACCTATTAACAATGAAATCAGCTCTACAGAATGGGAGAGAAATGATAATGTTAGCTTTTTACTCTGGCAAACGATTCAGGGTTGTATTCCATAGCAGCCTCCAGATTTGCAGCAATGTTCTCTTGTCTAATGGCATCTTCGATACGCTTTTGAGCCTCGACATCAAAGGGATCATCATTGAGTGCAGCCTGATTCCATGTTAGGCGCATCTGTTCGAAAAGGTGTTTCATCATAAACCTACAAGTTGCGATTTCTGCACTTCTGCAGAACGTCTAGTCTGTTCAATCTGTTGGACCATAGCAGAGAATCTAGCGGGGTCGTTTCTAGCAGCATGAGCCAATTCGGGATTTGTCTAAAACAACATTTATTAAGCCCACATGTCAAATGAACATCACACAATCAGCTTACACTTTCTAATTGTTGCAAAAGACGAGGATCTCTCAAAACATGTTGGCGCATAAGATCAAAATTGGTGTCGCCACTGCTATGGAGTTGAAGCCAGTTGAATGATAGAGTGTATATATCATTAATGAAATATCATTTACCTTGAGCTGACTTGCCCTTGCTGTTGTTGTTGTGGGGCTAATTGTTGCATGTGGATGATTTCATTTTCACCAACACCATATTCTTCCAATGTCTTTTTAGCTTCGTTCAATTCTTTTCCGCTAAAAAACAAGTGTTGTGATTGAGGAGGGACACCAGACTACATACGGTCAACATGAAGGCTTTGGATGAAAATTCGCATTACGTTGTATTACCTCTGCCTCCAGCAAAGCTTTCAAATCTTCAATGGCCATTTGGTTATCGATGTCGAGATTGTACATCTCTTCGCCATCTGTTGTCACAGTCAGTAACATCTTAAATTGATTAGAGAACTTGTTCAAAAGAAAAAAAAAGAAGGGGTGAATGGTTGAAGGAAGGTCCTAGAAGACGCGATCATTTTATAAGAATACCGGAACTTGAATCGCAATGCTCTTGCTACATGCAGTGTGACAATAGCATGAGCAAACCAAAGATTGGCTTAGGATGCAACAGATACATTCGTATTTCCATGAGAACACACCAAGCCTGACAATAGACTACCTATTATTGTATATTACATCATTTATGATTGATTCAATATAAAGCACAAAAAAATAATCGAGCAGATAGCACCCTTTGTGCTGATGTGACAATGGAGCAGCAGTAAATCTCTGGCGAGGTTGCTTTTCTACATCGCCTACACTAAAAACCGCACCACAAAGGCTAATTAAGCTCGACCACGTTACTACTTATGAAAATCAACTTGATAATTGGTTTCTTTCAAGCATTGAATATGTGCGTCAGACAGCCACAACAAAACGTTTACGCTACGTGCACCACATCGAGTAGCAAAATGCAAAAAAGGTCTCACCGAGAATCGAACTCGGATCACCGGATTCAAAGACCGATATGATAACCATTACACTATGAAACCATTTGATTTCTTGATGAGTGTGTATTTTTTTTTGATTACTTAACTTTTATCTCGATTTCCTAAAAAGGCAATATACCGTACATGGGAAAGGCGCAAGGTGGTGGATTCAAGATGTAATTCTTTACCTTATCTACTATGTCTTACTTGAAGGGTTACCCCTCGTTGGTGCGGTGTTCTGGTGCATTGACTCACTCATATAATTGTTGTAAAACTGTATGTTATCTCTTGATGGTGCGTTGATACTGTTATTCTAGTCGATGTGGTCTCTATTTGGTGTATTGCTAATCAATGTTGGTGCTTACTCAACTGATGTCGCTTCTATTTTGTTGTTACATATTCGTTTAATCGTTGTGCTTCTTGTCAAGTTTAGCCGAAAATCTAATCAATATTTGGAGCCGATATTGTTGAATCGATGAATTAGTCAGGGATCTAAATGATATTGCGCGCTAATAGCCAAGTATTACTATTTTGAAATGTGGATTTGACTTTGTACTTTGACTCAGGATAGATGCAAACCAATTGATGTCGAATCGATGCAAGATTCAAGCGGAATTACAACTGTAATGAAATAGCCACCCAAACGCAACTTAATTGAAAACTAAAGTTCATCAAATAACACTCATTCAAATTCATGCTATTTGGATCTATTAATGAAAGCGCTCAAATGTACATCAAAAACCTATTTAAAAATACTAAAGTAAAGATACACGCTTATATCGCACATCGTGTGAATGAATCACTCCTGATCACAGTGTATTCAATCACACCCATGATGGTCGTAATAGGTGATGGTATCTTTATCCAAATAGAATTAAATCAATAACAAGCATATTCAAATATGACAACTATGCCCTGCTGCCATAGTTGCACAATATCCCAGATAAAGGATTCCATGCTTCAATAACAAACATCACACTTTAAACCATCAAGGTTACATTAAATCATGCTATGACGAGAGCTCACCCAAGCCCATCAAGGTTACTCAAATCGACCCTTATGGCCAGTGCTCCTGCATTGATTACCACTTTAAATCAAACATCAACAACATTTGCCAGATATCGCAATAGCAGCACCTATTGCTCTCTATCATCACTAATCCTACAAGCTAGATGCAAATGTATAAATACTCTTCTTTTTTTTTACTCAATTCCAGGATCTTCAGTTCATTTTATACACAAAATAAAATACAGTTGATTTCTATTGTATTTTACGATTGCTTTATTTTTTTTGTGAAATCCATTAAACCTGATTTCACTGCAACAACACTGGAATTGGGGTGTTATTATTTTAAACAATGGGATCGACTCAAGAACGCAGGTACATGAAATTGACATTAAATTAAAAGCGATCCAATTTGGGGTTACATTTTGATCAGGGCACTGACATTCGGATCTGAATTGAGTCTGACAGGAGAATAACAATAGAACAATAGCATATATAAATAGTATTTTGAATGGCATCTTAATAAACATTATCCATTTTTTTTCTTCTTATTCTAATTTGGAGTTTAGTTACTAGTGCCAATCTAGTACGAACAAACCTAAAGAACCCTTAAATTCATCATCTCTCATAATTATTGGGATAGTTCTTACAGTCTTCCTTTCCACACAACAATACTTACTGTGGAATACATCCACTATGATCTGCATTCCGGCAGTTCATCCAGTTACCAGATTTAGATATAAACTGTATATACACTGGATTAGATGTACGATATCGATTTATACTATAAGAAAATATGGACTTCAGATACGCTAGTACTATTATAAGATTCATACTATATAAGATATAAGCTATAGATGGCACCATGGACATGCATGGATGGCGCTATAGACTTATACTTGTATTCCGACATTGACTACGGATGTTTACCATATCTGGATAGGCACCAAGATTAATGCAATATGAGCTTGTTGCTTCAGATGTGCACTTCATGATCCACGCTGGCTATAAGACACATGCTTATATCCGTGATACTAGCTACAGATACTTTATGTACTACAGACTTGTACTATATATGAGACATGCTATAGACATGCCATATATCCAGATACATGCTAAAGATGTATGCTTAGCGATATACACTCAGATATGTACTATTGATATAGACTAAGAAGACTGTACCTATCGGATACATGCTACTAGATCGATACTAACTATCCTTATAGAAAGGAGAGATCAGGGTACTTCGGATGAGAGTCTAATTATTCATCCAGACAGAGCTAAATCATGATTAGCTTACTGGAGTTGTCTTTTAGCATGATTATTAGACATTAGTTGATCAGAGCTGACTTATTTGTCAATCTAATTAATAGAACTTTTATCCATTGTTATAGTATATAAGAAGGATCATCTACCTGGCCAGTAGAAAGAATTCAGTTTACTTTACACCTGTCAGTTTGATAATAAAACATACCTTTGTCAAGTTGACTTCATTGTTTTTTATTCTTTTTTTCCGTGAATTTTAGTCTATAAAGCTTCAAATTCCACAAGTTCATCGCCGTGCTGTAGACCATAGTATAATGAAAAGTGCATTCTTTCAAAGCATTTTCAATAGAAATAATAATATATTTTTGCCAAATCCAATTCAATGATTTTATATTGCATTTTGAGATAACGGCGATAACCTTCTTCAAATCTGTTAATTCGTCTTTAGTGCATTCCTTCAGACCGTTTCTTTTTCTTTGGTTGAATTATTAATGTGCCTTTAGTAAATAATAATAGCAATAAATACTTTGCACTTGATACCTTGTGAAGATCGACGTAGTTAAAATTATGTCGTACACCTGAGACGACACACTATCTATTTGAAGGATTTCGACTTCTATATAAAAATAAAGGAGTAATCAAGTTATTTTGGTTCTTAGAAGGGGTGCCTATTGAATGCATGTATTCACTAGACTCGTCCCAATCTTTTCTAAAGACAAGAAAAAAAACACAACATTAATTAATCAAATACATTTACTACTAGCTGCTCAAGGGAAGCAGCAAAAGGGAAGTACAGACAACACTGAATCTACACAGTTATAGCAGCGGTAGGCCAGAGGAACAATATCACCACACCGTATTGAATGAAGGATACTACCACTTTAGCATGTATAAAGCGTTGAGTTAATGTATTATGATTTCGCTACCATTGACTGATAGTTCCTGCATTTTTATTACCAAAGCAATACCAAATAATTGTTCAAGCGTATTAATTTATGTTTATTATGTATTTGTATATATGTAAATTGTAGTAGTAGTAGTAGTAGTATTAGCTTTGTTTATTTAAAAAGGATCGAGCATAAAGTTATACACTTGACCCGCAGAACGAGCCACTCTTTGAGCACAGCGAGTAGAAGAGGAAAATGTGTACAAGTTTGACAGCAGAGTAGAGATGCGAGTAGGAAGTAACGAGGAGGCCCAAACGACATCGACGGGAATAAAGTCTTTGAGTGGTATTCTTACATTACGAGTTTGAATCGAAGCAGTGTTGTGGTGTTTTTGTTTGAATAATTGTACAATTTGCTTATGTCCACCTTCTATAGCTAACCGTTCAGCTGTTTTCCCAACACTGTTCAAAATTTTCAAATTGCTTGTGTCAATCAACAATCTAACAATGTCAATTTTGCCAGACCAGCTTGCAAAATGAAGAGCAGTGAATCCATTCTTATCGACTTGATCTACATTGCAATTTAGCTTGACTACTAGTGTTTCAACCAAGCTGGTATATCCACAAAGTGTGGCGAGGTGCAATAAGTTGTGTTGATTGACATTGGTCAGTGATAAATAGTCATGGTTGCAGGGAATACGTTGAATAGCCAGCAGACTTGCAACCACTGTTTGCTCTAAATGTGAGAGGAAAAGCTTACGGGCATTGTCGTAAACAGCTGTTGCAGCCATGGTGGTCATTCGTTTGTGCTGAGACTGTTGTTGCTGTTGTGAATGGTTTTGCGATGCATCTTTGGACTGAGAATTATCGCCTTGAACAATACGCATGGCAATTTGTCGAGCATCCTCCACCTTACCCATCGTTTTGAGTCCAACCACTTGCAATGCCAGCTCCATCAGTGCACGATCACTCTCGTCAAAATAGGTAAACAAAACAACGTCCTGGCCCTCCAACATCAATGGGTGTTCCTTGAATGACACGACTACAGGCCCTGCAGAGACTGCCGGTGGTAAGATGCATAGCAGTGTATTGGCACTCCAGCAGTGCGTTGGAATAGCTGGATTCTCACCAAACAGACATGTCAATCCTTCATAAAAGTTGCTTCCCAACACGGTCACTTCAGCTCCGCCATAAATAGGGCCCTCAGATGGGATCAACCGATGCAAGCGAGGCAAGTTGTTTTTACCACCCTCCAAAGCGTTTCGCTCAGACAATTTGGCATACACATTATTCTGGTAATGTTGCTGCTGTGGATGATGTTGTGTAGATTGTTGTGCCTGAGACATGCAGTTGCCAATAACAGTGGCTCTTCTTCGATTGATGGATTGTATGGGATTTTGTGTGAATTGATTCAACATTTGCTGCTGCAGTTGATGATGGTGTTGCTGTTGCTGCATGTGTTGCTGATGCTGTTGATCTGGATGCATCAATGCCAATGGTTGATGAGCGATTTGCGGCATCTGCGGCATGGGAGGTTGAGAATGTTGTGGTTGCTGATGTTGCTGAGGCAGCAAATTGAGGTCGTTGGAATTGAGAAAATCGAATAATTCGCTGTGTTGCTGCTGTTGCTGCTGTTTTTGTTGCTGCTGTTGATGATGATGGTCGTATTGTTGTTGCTGAGGCTGTTGTAATTGAGATATAAAATGATCTTGGTTATCTTCAGCTAGTGGGTGTTGCTTGTTTTCATTCACAAATTGGTGGTGGTGGACCATATTTGAGCTGGTAGGAATAATAATGGTAGATGAAGACGTGCTTGACATGTTGCTACTGTTGTTGTTGCTAGCTGTATTGGATACAGTTGAAACATCAGGTTTTGGTGAATTTTCAGGTACATCATCTATTTGAGAAGAAGGTGTGGCTGGTGTGGATGCAACAGGACTGGAAACACCTGAATCCGTCTCGATTTCCGCTTTTCTTCTTGAAGTTGAAGGAGCATCGCTTTCAGTTGCAGAAGCATCCATGTCTGCCCGAGTTCTCTTTCTAGCAGCTGCTTGTTGCATTTTAGAGCTTTTATGATCGTCAGTTATCATGATTGGGGGCGAACGACCTGTACCAATCACATGGTTCAAATTATCTTTCACAGTGAACACAATTCTATAATGAAAAAAAAAAAAAAAAAAAAAAAAGATGGGGGTTCTTAGTCTTTAAGCATGTGAAGGGGGTAGTTGATCTTGCTTTCATACCTAAAACCAGTCTTTTCACTATGATGGCGACAGTAGCAAGTAACTCGTGTAGGCAGCGTTGCTTCGCCATTGTTGAATTCGACATATTCATTGCAATTGAACAACAAGATTCTGCGTCTCTCCTCTGCCATGATGGTTTCATCACTCAGGTCAGGCAAATCATTAGCAAATAATGCAGCAAGTTTGGCTGCACCACCCTCTTTGTTTGCAGCACGAGCAACCTTGTTGTCACGTTTTCTTTTTAAGCGTTTGCGCTAAATATTTCAAATGTCTAGTGAGCTTAAGGTACAAAATAGTTTAAAATTTTCAGCATTACCTCTCGATGGACACAGCTTGTACACATAATAATTTCGTTGTCTGGCTGACCATCACACACAACAGCAGCTTCTAATGTCAATACTTGGTTGTCTGTGAGTGAGGCTTTCTCGTCTGCACCGTATTTTTGATTCTTGCGCTTCAACTTGTCTTTAGCAACAAGGTGTTCAGGCAATTTGATATGGGACCAATTGGTAGCTAATTCTCCAGTGGTGTCTACGAGTTGCAAGCAAATCTTGATTTGGGTTTCAACTCGAGATTTTGCACCTGTGTGAGGTAGACCGAGTACTCGAATGTGCCACGGGCTATCATTTTTGATACTGTTGAAAGGGTTAGAATGCCATTCTGATTGCACAAGTAACAACATACATTGGGGAAGACGTGAAATTGGCATCGTTCTCTTCTTCTACTTCTCCAGGGCCAAGCAAACTTTGACTAAAACATGCAGCAAGCATCAGTATTTCGCTGGTAATGCATTCCATGTTACAACTTACCCAGGCAGTGATGTTTGAGCTAAAAAATCTTCAAAGTTTAAGCAATTTCTGGCCAGGATAGGAATAGCATGTAATAAGGGATTGGTGAAAACCTTATTTTCAGTATTAGACATGGAGTGGGTTGCTGGTAGACATCAACACTTACATGTAATAAAGAAGAGTGCCCTGTTTCCTTGGCCTTTTGCTTGCCCTTCTTCTTTGGTGGCTCTGCTGGCCTGGCAAATCCTTGCTGTTCCTCTTGTTTGACTTTGGTAGCTTGCTGCTGCTGTTGTTGGTGGGTGAGTATCTGACTGGGGGCAATGTTCATCTGTCTGCTGGATGCAGTAGCAGAAGAGGAGGAGGAGGAGGACGCTTGTTGGTGCTGCTCAAATGCCACATGCTGATTGTTGTATTCAGCGACTTGATTCAGAAAGATGTCCATTGCTTGATCGTTATTAGCGTTGCTGTTGGACAAAAGAGACAGCTCATTATCCACTCCTAGTGAATGCGTCGAAGATGGTGTATTGTTCTCGTTTGTTTCCAGTGGTGGAGACATGATGTGATTTAGGACAAAAAGTGAGAGAAAAGAAAAAGAGAGAAAAAGAAAGCGATTGAATGGTTCAACCTTTTTTTCTTCGGTTAAAATGTCTCTGGCTTTCAACAGCCTTATTTGTACGTCATAAACTAGGGATAAGAATTTTATTAACATGAAACTCAAGTGCTTCTAGCAAACTCGACTCTCAAGATGAGATTATCGTAACCATAACCATTGATAGCTTGTTGAGCTCTTTCAGCATGCTCACGGTCATTGAAGGAAACAAAAGCGAACCCCTTACAGAGGTTGGTATCACGATCACGAGCCAAGTAAACACGGGCGATACTACCGAAACGGTTAAAGAGATCATATATATCATTGTCAGTAACATCCTCAGACAAGTTGGTGACACGGAGAGTAGCAGAATCATCACGCTTTTGATCACCACGCATAGATTCACCAGCACCTTGAGCCTTGTTACGAAGATGAGGAGGTGTGTATTTGTTGGGTCCTGATCCGCTCTCTGATGCAGCAGTGGCATCGGCTCCATCGAGTTTAACGGCTTCAATTGTAGAGGCAATTTCATCCAAAGGTTGCATTGTATCCTTGTAGGGACATTTACTTGTGAAGTGCTCACCCTTACAGATACGACATGCAATGTTCTTGGTCTTGAGTTGGCTCTGGATCTTATCTTTAGCTTCCTCCTCTGCCACAGCTTCGACATTCTGTTGGTATGAATCATGATTAATCGACATGCCTATCTACAATGCATGATTCCATCCTGCGCCCATACCTTGCCAGTATTTGATCCTAATTTCAAGGGAATATTTTCACCGATGGTAGTAGTAGAAAGATCAGGGCCAGCCTTCTTGCCCTTTTCCTCACCAAACTTGGCCCACTTTTTGCGCTGAGCAACGGCCTTGTTGACATGTTCAGTTACAAGCTTAGCACGAAGCTTGCGAGTGACCTAAATCAAAAGCTTTATCAATACCATCTCTTAGATAATCCTCTTGGAGTAAGCATATCGCACCTTGACTTTCTTGCCGTCCTCGTTTTCTCTGAATTCAATGATAACCTTGTTGCCATCTTCGTCAGTGTACATTTGAGGTTGGAAGGAATCTAAATTCCATGATGATTAACGTTGAATGTTTGGTCGAAAAATGCTGACAGTTTATCGCCATCATGTCTGCTGTGGTTTTTGTTATTACCTTCTTCATCCTCGTATTCGTCAGCCCAAGAAGCTTTTGCTGGAGCACTACAAACAGTGAATAATTCAGTCGTTAATATCTCATTTGATGCCGTGTTTGTTGTTGTCGAATAAAGAAATGCTCTTCAATTGTATTGAAAGGTAATTACGTACGCAGTATCAACAGCCATTATATTTAATTATAGAATTATGAAAAAAAAGTTAAAGAAGGGTTGCAAACTCCAAGTTAGGCACTCAAGTCAAGTATCCTGTGTCAATATTTTTTTCCATCTCAATAAGCCACTGTTTTGAAAGGGCTCTCCAACATTCGATCAAGTCACATTGAGGTCAATGTGTCTCTTCTGATAGATACCCATAGACATCTTGCAGGTAATATGTGCATTGCTAAAAGGCATTTGATCTGGCAAATCACCCGCCTAGTATAGATTTTGCTGCATCGAGATGCAAGTCTGAAGACTGCATGGTGGATGACATTCCCAGTCCCCACCTTCCTTTACTGATCTGGATGTAGCTGGATTCATCTTCGTTTTGATAACCAGCAAGCTGTCATATATGGGCGTTGCAAGGCAATGCTGATGATGATAGCAAACAAGAAGAAAGAAAAGGATCGAGAGAGGTCTACACACATCTTAAACCAGCATTTTGATAATTGAATGCCACGAGGTAGCTCTTCGCCTCCACCGCCAGTGTCTCATGGGAAACATTTACTGGAAAGCTTAGAATACCTGTTATGACTGGATTACATGTAATGTGAGTGTGCATTTAAGTCTCCTGGTTTAGGTGGGCACGATGTATCGCATATCAGTCTTATAGAAAGAAATGAAGAAATCTCATAATTGCCATCAAAATTAAAGGCAGTGAAGTCTTTCTCTTCCATTGTAATTGAAAGGTTTGCTATAACAAGCGAATGCCAGCCTAAAAATGAATGTAGCGCACAAAAAGTTCAGTGGATTATCAGCTGGTTTCAGGGCTCTTGTCCGTATGTCTTGTGGTTTGCTAATTGGAAGCATCCTCTCAGATTGTATGCCGTATAACAAGAAATAGCATGCTGTCTCATGAAAGCACTTCCAAGGAATACTGTTTTTCCGAAACTTACTACATGCTAATGAAATTCATCCGTTGAACCAATTGCCTCTGCCTGTACAGGTTGTCCTTTTCAACGACTGCGCATGTAAACATACCTACTTTTTATTTCTTCACAGCTGCATCTCTCTTCTTTAACGAAATATATTGCAAAGAAAACGGTTAGCATTCTGGAATTCCTCTGCTTTATGAGATTTAGTTTCGGCCAAGATGCTCTCTCCCTCCCTCCCTCTCTCTCTCTCTTAATCAGCGTTTAGGAATACAACAAGTGTGCATGCTCTCTAATCAACCTTTCCACGACTGCTTTGCTCATTTGTTGCACGGACGATTTGAATTTAAGCCTTCGGGTCGGTCTGATTTGATGCCCCAATGACGTTGTATGGAATAGCCAAACGTATAAATGGAGCTCTGCCGCGTTTTAGGTTACCATTATCGCTCTTCTCTTTCCATTTTAATAATTCAATCTACAAATATAAAAACAAAGCGAAAATTACATATAAGAATTGAAACCATACATTATACAATCAGTAGATAGAAACATGTCAAGTACATCACTATTCAAATGGATGGGTCTGGTATGTTGTATAACCAATTTAACGCCATGGCTGTAGAAAGCTAATATAATCATGCCTCTCAATGCTTTAGGGTCAGCAGTCTGGAGGTGGACATGGAGCAAAGCCAGCTATTGACAACGATGCTATTGATGAAGGCGAACGCTATTTTGGTTTAGAAAATGTAAATGCTCGAATTGTCTGCAGAAAGTGGCTCGTATACTCACTCTCTTTTTTCCATTATTTCTGTAATTAGTTTGGTAATACTTGGTAAGCACAATTGAAATGCCAAAAGAGAGCTTCTTTAAACTAAACGAGCGAGGACAACAGCTATAGCAACTCGGTAGTTCAAGCTCTTTATTTCTGTAAACCATTTCGACAATGCGTATTGAACTTTCCACAAGTCAGCACTGCTCAGCTTTTTACACCGCAGTCGACACATCCTAATTCTCCTATGAGCAATGGGCACTCATACTTTCCTACAACAAGCTCATCTACCACCTCCTGCTCATCTCCTGCCCTGAATGGAAAAAGCGGGACCAGCACACCAAACAGAGAAAATCCCAACAAACGCTCAAGCGTAGCAACTCCTGGCGCTCAACCTGCTGCTATTGAGAAGGATCAAAACAACATGAACTTGGCACCTGGGATGGAAGACACACTTTTCTCTTCGCTTAAAGATTTGTTTTGGAAAATATCTCAGAATAAGAAGAAGAATGGTGTAATTGCACCTGTAAATTTCATCAACAAAGTGAAAAAAGAGAATGGTAAGTTGGCTCTGTTTGTTGTATAGCCATTTGCTGACAGATCCTGCTATAGAATTATTTCGATCAAGCATGCACCAAGACGCTCACGAATTCTTGAATTACACACTGAACACAATTGCTGAGGATGTTCAGAAATATCAGCAGAAAGTAGCAGATGAGAGTGGAGGCAAGCAAGGCAGTATCAATAGTGATAGCCAGACAGACAGCACAGCAGGTATTGCTCACGCAGCCCTGAATTGGATCGCCATGTCACTCAACTTATATTATCTGCAGGCACGGGACAAAACCCAAAGAATACATGGGTACACCAGCTTTTTGAAGGTGTCTTTTCTAACGAGACAAAGTGTTTATCTTGTGAAACTGTAAGCTCAACTTTGAACTGATTATTTCGACTACTAAAAATGGGTAATCAATTAGGTTACCAGCAGAGACGAATGTTTCATGGATCTGTCGATCGATGTTGAAATGAATTCATCCATCACCTCGTGTTTGAGGCAATTTTCAGCTAGTGAGACTCTATGCCACAAGAACAAATATTTCTGTGATGTTTGTTCCGGTCTTCAAGAAGCAGAAAGAAGGTAAAACCTATTTTGATTATTGTCTTGGCAGTCTTGTTTAGCATATCCTTGGTAGAATGAAGATCAAAAAGCTGCCCAATATTTTGGCACTGCATTTGAAGCGTTTCAAGTATCAAGAGCAGCTGCAAAAGTACATCAAGCTTACTTATAGAGTGGTGTTTCCATTTGAATTGAGACTATTCAACACGGTATGGCTAATTACAATGCTTCGATTCTCATTTATTGATTGCCTGTGCTTTAGAGCGATGATACAGAGGATGCTGATAGAATGTACGAGCTTTGGGGTATTGTGGTGCACATTGGAAGGTAAATAGTCTGGCTAGAATCTGAAGATGGCTCCATGTACTAAAGAATTGCTACGATAGTGGTCCTCATCATGGCCACTATGTTGCTATTGTCAAGAGTAATGGACAATGGATGCTTTTTGATGATGATGTGGTGACAGTAAGTGCATTCAATTGGAATCATGGCATGGAACTTACAGTTTCTTTAACCTGCTAGCAAATTCAAGAGGAGGATATCCAGAAATATTTCAGTGATCTTCCAGGAAGCGGATCGGGTTATGTTTTGTTCTACCAAGCGGTTGATTTGAATATGGACGCCATCAATATAGGATTGGAAACGGCAAAGAAAATGGATGAAAGTAATAATAATTATAGTAACGGCAGGCCATCAACATTATCATCACAACATCCTACTACCACCCTTCCCATGAGTCCTCTTCGACTAGATAATAACAATGATAACCACTTTAATCTACAATCACCCATACTACGAAGAGAAGAATATAATGATTTCCCTACACCAGAGTCGACTCCTCCACCTACATCTACTCAGCAACAACCACAACAAGAGGAAAAGAAGCGTCGCTGGGGTCTAGGTAGCAAAAAGAAGGATAAAAAATAAAGTCGTTCTACATTTTCTTTGTAATATAAGCCTGGTATTTACAACAGAGTGCATTTTGCATCTGTAGCAAATAACATAGAAATCTGGTCGAGATGGACACTTGAGCAGTTTTAAAATGCCATAGCTAGTTGAAGATTTTCTTGGCACCGCAAGTATCTAGCTGCTATGCTCGTATAGTGTAGATGATGGATCGAGAGAGTGAACCAGACATTGCATGATTGTCCTTGTCAGAGATCCTCTTTGACCGGACTAATTTCAAGCACTGAGTTTCAATGTAGGCTGTCAAAAAAGGGGAGCAAGAAACCTTCATATATTGAAACCTAAAGCATCCAAACCATCAACTCCTTCTCTTTCATTTATCAATCATGGTGAGTTACATTTTTTATGATTGGCAACTGTGAAGATGTAATCAACGGTCGACTATGATAAGGAGGATCTATTCAGATGGATGTAGTCGATTCGATTACAAACCAGATGGATGGATGCCGGTTCTGATCATACAAATTGTGATTCAATTGACATTGCAGCTATTTTTTTCAACATGATGTATCGGCTCAAGTACTAAACTTTTCTCTTATTTTTTATAGTCTAACAAGAAGGTTGCCCCTAAGGTTGTTGAAAAGGTCACTCTTGGTCCCCAAGTCCGTGAAGGTGAACTCGTTTTCGGTGTTGCCCACATCTTCGCTTCTTTCAACGATACTTTCGTTCATGTTACCGATCTCTCTGGTCGTGAAACCATCTCTCGTGTTACTGGTGGTATGCAAGTTAAGGCTGATCGTGATGAGTCTTCTCCTTATGCTGCTATGTTGGCTGCCCAACAAGTTGCTGCCAAGTGTAAGGAACTCGGTATCAACGCCCTCCACATTAAGCTCAGAGCTACCGGTGGTACTGGTACCAAGACCCCTGGTCCCGGTGGTCAAGCTGCCCTCCGTGCTCTTGCCCGTGCTGGTATGAGAATTGGTCGTATTGAGGATGTTACTCCCATCCCCACTGATTCTACCCGTAGAAAGGGTGGCCGTCGTGGTCGTCGTCTCTAAACTATTTGCATTTTATACTTTTATATATAAATTGTCTAATTCAACCTTGTCTGGCAATCTGCTAGTACTTTAGGAACATCGTATTTGATTTTGATTACTGGATTATACTTTTTTTTCTTTTGGATTGGGGTGTAGGTTGCTTGCATTGAGGATGTAAATGAGTGGCTCCAGTGATTTGTGTTGGTGTTTGTCAATTGCAGATGCTTTTGATCCGCGAGTTCACTTTCAGATCACTTTTGATTTGTTTCACCAAACCTTTGCCTGACCTGATCGACATATGGGTTGCCTTTGACCTAATCGGCATATAGGTTGCCTTTGGCCTGATCGATCAACAGCATCCAAGCTTGATGTATCTACTTTGAACTATGCCAGTTGGTTGAGTTTTTTTAAAAAAAATAGTATCAATTCATGCGTTAGATAATGTTACAGGCGAGTCGGTAGTAGTGGATATAGTTTTGATAAAAGAGTATGAAAGAGATAGTAAATTAGCCAAAGCGGATCTAATTATCAAATGAGCACCAGGCTTATAGTTGTCCAACTAGAATAAACAAATAAACAGAAGTAAAAGTAGAAAATAGAAAGTAATACAGAGATGTATATAAAAGAGTTTACAATGAATCGATTATAATATATGATATATATAAAGAATCCAAGGGATCTTACAAATAACAGAGGTTTGATATAAGAAAAGAAGTAAATATAATAGCTAATGAGCTTTATAAAAGATGTGTATTGAAATACTGGTAAAGTATAAGGTGATTTTATTATTTGATTTTGAGAGTTATGCTTTTATACTGTTTTGCTATTCTTTATGTCTGTAATAATGTCCTGGTTAACATAGGATTGATTTGTGGTTTGATAATATTTCTGTCCTGATATCTTTCGATGAATGAAGAATTGCTTACTTAATTTACAAGGGTCAAGGTGTATGGTTTCGTATGATTTGGTTATGTAATTGCATTTCATGGAGTTAAAAGTGAGATTTGATATAAGATTGTCCTTTTTGGATACGATGCGGAAGGCAATGCAGCGTTGATCTAGGTCTTTAATTCATGCCCGCTTGATATGTGGCCCTTCGAGTTGAGATTGAGTTGTGGGCAGAGTGTAATTTAAGCGTTACCAAATGTGATGTGTTTTATTTGTATAATAGAGACAAGCAGACTGGATGATTATATATGGTGGCAGGAAAAAAAAAAGTAGATGTTACGACTTGTAACAATAACATGCAATATTATATGTCTGTTACACTGGCTTTAGACACATACTCTCACTGTGAGTTCTATCAACAAAAGAAAGGACTCAACATGTTAAACCACGGAACAGCGATCATTCGCTACAAACACTACGGCTACCATTTGAAGCAAAAAGGGCTTCTCCGGGAATCGAACCCGGGACCTCTCGCACCCTAAGCGAGAATTATACCACTAAACCAAGAAACCTCAGATGATTTTGTCGTCTTGATAGATAGATGCAATGGTAAAAGTTAACAAATAAAGAAATAGATTGTAGCTAATACTTAGTGATTATGTTGAAAGATACCGTTTATTGAATGCATTTACAACTTATATTTATACTATTTCTACGATCGATAATTACTTAATCAATAGAACTTCCGAGTAGATATAATACTTGATATAGCAACTGATAATCAGATCAATGTCTGTGTGGAATTTGAGGCTTGATAGACTAAAATTCACGGAAAAAAAAGAATAAAAAAACAGTAATGTCAACTTGATAAAGGTATATTTTATTATCAAACTGACAGGTGTAAAGTAAACTGAAGTCTTTCTACTGGCCAGGTAGATGATCCTTCTTATATACTATAACAATGGATAAAAGTTCTATTAATTAGATTGACAAATAAGTCAACTCAGATCAACTAATGTCTAATCATGCTAAAAGACAACTCCAGTAAGCTAATCATGATTTAGCTCTGTCTGGATGAATAATTAGACTCTCATCCGAAGTACCCTGATCTTTCCTTTCTATAAGGATAATTAATATCGATCTAGTAGCATGTATCCGATAGGTACAGTCTTCTTAGTCTATATTAATAGTACATATCTGAGTGTATATCGCTGAGCATACATCTTTAGCATGTATCTGGATATATGGCATGTCTATAGCATATCGTATGCATGTCTATAGCATGTCTCATATATAGTACAAGTCTGTAGTACATAAAGTATCTGTAGCTAGTATCACGGATATAAGCATGTGTCTTATAGCCAGCGTGGATCATGAAGTGCACATCTGAAGCAACAAGCTCATATTGCATTAATCTTGGTGCCTATCCAGATATGGTAAACATCCGTAGTCAATGTCGGAATACAAGCATAAGTCTATAGTGCCATCCATGTCCGTGGTGCCATCTATAGCCTATATCTTATATAATATGAATCTTATAATAGTACTAGCGTATCTGAAGTCCATATCTTCTCATGATCATAGTATAAATCGATATCGTACATCTAATCCAGTGTACATACAGTTTATATCTAAATCTGGTAACTGGATGAACTGTCGGAATGCAGATCATAGTGGATGTATTCCACAGTCTGCTATCAGTTTCCAGAACCTTCGAGTATGTGCTGGCGCCTTTTAGTCGCTTTCTTCAAATTTGGCTTAAACCAAAATTTAGGCACGACATTTTTGTCAGATGCTAATACGTAGAGGTAGCATATGCAATCTGAGATCTGATAGAGATATAAATGGAAGTAGATATAGAGAGTATGCAGGAAGATGTTATAGCCTTTTAGTTAAATGGATAAAAAGGTGCTTTATTAATATTAGATTTGAACATTGATTTTATCCAATATAGTTTGTGTAATGTTGTGTGCTATCCAGGTTAATCGCTGTTTAATGTTCTTGGTAGCTGGCGCTCTAGGTTTAAACCTGCGCTTCTTATTCTTGTTTGTGTTTAGTCTGTCAATGATATCCTGCAGATCTAAATCACTGACAGAATACCCCTCAACCCTGACATTTTTGTCGTGCCTAAGTTTAATTTCAAGCCAAGTTTAAAGAAAGCGACTAAAAGGCGCCAGCGTATACTCAAAGGTTCTGGAAACTGATAGCAGGCATTGATCTGACTATCAGTTGCTATATCAAGTACTATATCTACCCAAAAGTTCCATTGATTAAGTAATTATCGATCGTAGAAATAGTATAAATATAAGTTGTAAATGCATTCAATAAACGGTATCTTTCAACATAATCACTAAGTATTAGCTACAATCTATTTCTTTATTTGTTAACTCTATCTATTGGATCCATCTCACAAGACGACATTTTGATACTCTGTGGTGCTGGTTTCGTGAAGTGTGTAGCGAAATGTGTAGAAGATCTTGCAGTAATAGTTGATCTTGAGACTAAACCAAGTAATTAAAGCTGTTTAGGTCGCTGATGTGTTTGCAGTAACCTTGATGTAGACAGTATCTCAGCGATAAAATGTATATATATAAAGTTATGTACCCAAAAGATTTGAACGTAAGAAGGTTCTATTTATTTCCAATGTGTTGTATAGATCAAAATATATAAGTCAAAGCATAAAATGTAAGAGTAACCGATTTCAATACCAGTTCAGGAACAGTGTTCTGATAGGCTCAGAGTTCTGATACCGCCTTTTGAAATCAGCACCACCACAAAATCCTTTTACCATCGTGACAGTTTGTGTCGTTCAAAATATATATGGACAGTATATATATATACAATATTAGATGAGATGAGAAAGATAGTGTTTATTTAATTCCATGTGTGGAATACAGCTACTATGATATGCATTCCGGCAGTTCATCCAGTTACCAGATTTTGATATAAACTGTATATACACTGGATTAGATGTACGATATCGATTTATACTATAAGAAGATATGGACTTCAGATACGCTAGTACTATTATAAGATTCATACTATATAAGATATAAGCTATAGATGGCACCATGGACATGCATGGATGGCGCTATAGACTTATGCTTGTATTCCGACATTGACTACGGATGTTTACCATATCTGGATAGGCACCAAGATTAATGCAATATGAGCTTGTTGCTTCAGATGTGCACTTCATGATCCACGCTGGCTATAAGACACATGCTTATATCCGTGATACTAGCTACAGATACTTTATGTACTACAGACTTGTACTATATATGAGACATGCTATAGACATGCATACAATATGCTATAGACATGCCATATATCCAGATACATGCTAAAGATGTATGCTCAGCGATATACACTCAGATATGTACTATTGATATAGACTAAGAAGACTGTACCTATCGGATACATGCTACTAGATCGATACTAACTATCCTTATAGAAAGGAAAGATCAGGGTACTTCGGATGAGAGTCTAATTATTCATCCAGACAGAGCTAAATCATGATTAGCTTACTGGAGTTGTCTTTTAGCATGATTAGACATTAGTTGATCTGAGTTGACTTATTTGTTAATCTAATTAATAGAACTTTTATCCATTGTTATAGTATATAAGAAGGATCATCTACCTGGCCAGTAGAAAGACTTCAGTTTACTTTACACCTGTCAGTTTGATAATAAAATATACCTTTATCAAGTTGACATTACTGTTTTTTTATTCTTTTTTTTCCGTGAATTTTAGTCTATCAAGCCTCAAGTTCCACACGTACGCTCCGATTTTTAAAATGCTTGATCAAATGCATAATACTTGTGTGGTGTACATACGGAAGGTTAACGGAGATTTAATTTCTGTTATTCTGAATGAGGATCCATGGGATTCCGAAATCTATTATCGGCCTTAAAATTACGCGTTTCTTAGTAGTAACCATCCCTTCAAACCTATAGTAAACTTGTGGAAAACTCAAAGAAGAATACAATGATACTTATATCAAGTCTCTGGTGCACATTGTTCACCTGATATTTGATACGATTGTTTTTGCGATTTTTTGACCATTTTCTAAATATTAATCAGTACCTATCATCAAAGCATTTTGTTAAGCATTACTAAACATTATAGACCAAAAAATTTCTTATCGAATGAGCTATTGCTTGAAGCTCTGGCATGGCTCTATCATGAAATATTGAAAATCTTGTCCTGACCAAAAAATCGTCACCAGATTTTTTGCTTGCTATCACAGGCAGATTTTGAACAAAAATTGATGATTTTGCACGATACTCTTTTTTGGTCGTATTCCAACAAATAGTCACCGGATTTGCACAAGACAAAAACAATTTGATAGCTCTACGTTAAATGTATCATAATATAAGGGCTTTATGTATCAGATGTACGTTCCCTTCATGAATTTGCTCAAAAATTTATATTTTATGAGCTACAAGAAGAGGATTTTTAAAACTTGAAAAACAAATGTATAAGAACCATACCATCGTATAGAGAATTGAGAAAGAAACAGAAGCTATTATGTCTGAAGCTCTCGTTCACTTAGTAAACTCCGGAGATATGGCTCTTTGAAAATTGTTGATCACCTTAACTATTTTTCCACATTGTTCATCTACCTCGTTCTACATAATCGCAAATCAAACACGTTCGAGCCAAACAAAGTACTCTCTAAAACTCTTAGTAGACGTACAGCCCACATTCATATAGTTATCGAATAAGTTCTAATTACAGCATCTTTTCAAAATTTACAGATTTCAAAAATCACAAGTTCCTTGTTGTGCCAGAAGGGCTACAACTGTCTATAAAGATTAAGGTATTCTTGATGGGTAGATATGTCTGCGTTGTGCAACAACATGGACAAGCTATGATAATTAAAGTGCATCTCAGCTATCTAAATACTGAGGTTCACCAGATGTGATAAGCGTTGTACAAGATAAATTGCTACTTAGGCATTCAGAACTTAGTATAAATAGAATAACTCTTGTCTTCATCAATAAATCTTTAGTTTTTTGTGTCTGATTTTATTCAAATAAGTCTTTTCTTGTTTTTATAATATCGAACATTTTTTATAAGCTACAAATAATAATCCTTTTATTCTTTGTACTTAACATTCCTCATCATTAACGCAGTCTATCTAGAATCCAATTACGTGATTGCTTCTAAGGCAAATCTTTTCCGTAAGAACATGCTATCCTGAAAGTTCGCATATCAACGTAAAGAAACTCAATTTCCAATGTGGGTGGTATGGCTCAAAAGTTGGTCATGTTGTATTATTCACACATCTAACTGTTCCTGAATCACAAGATCGTAGATTGAATTCAGTAATAAACTATGCACATATGGAGCATATGTAAATAAACTGTATCAACATGTAAACGATAACCATGATATTCACATAAGCTAAGTTTCAGTAAGCTATTCTCTATATGTCAAAAGATAGCAGATAAGGAATGTAAGTAATTAACGTTGCCAAGAGCAACTACTAAAGATATTTAGACTGATCATCTATATCTGAAATAATTACCATTTAGCATAAGTGAGGATTATTGACACTCAATTAGCATAAGAACACCATTCTAGACGGGTGTGTAAGCAATCCATAAATTATACATATAAATAGCAGTAGACATTCACTCTTCCCTCTCCTCTTCATCTGATTTTACGAAAATAAACTTATATCCATTCTCACGTACTTTCAGATTTACAACAACTGTTTCAATGTTATATTATCGAAACTAATGGACGAGGGAAAGACTTTATTTGTTTTTACTGACATACTCTTCAAATTATCAACTGTATATCGTTATTAACTTGTGCCAGTTTTGATTGAAATGATTTTCATTGTCCTGAAGAATAAGCCAGCTTCTGAAATTTTCCTATTCCTATATGAATAAACAACTATTCAGCAATCACAAAAATAAGAGAGTATCTACTGTTTTGAAGCAACTGAGCTTGAGAATAGAGCTGATAGTACCGTCTTTAACGACCTTTCAATCAAAAACAGTGATTCCTCGTCACATCATCGTTCGAATTCCACTGCAACTTTTTGTAGGATAATAGAAGGGTAAAAATAGGGGCAAAGTGCACATATTACTTCTAATATTGCCCAAAGAGCAGAGTGTACATATTACCCTGTTGTTGGGTAATATATATGAGGAAGTTATTCTGCTATTTTTTGCTGCTTAAACTTGATTTTAAATGTATTCAACAGTATCTATGTATTGTTAAGCACAAAGAATAAAAGGATTATTATTTGTAGCTTATAAAAAGTGTTCGATATTATAAAAACAAGAAAAGACTTATTTGAATAAGATCAGACACAAAAACTAAAGATTTATTGATGAAGACAAGAGATTCTATTTATACTAAGTTCTGAATGCCTAAGTAGCAATTTATCTTGTACAACGCTTATCACATCTGGTGAACCTCAGTATTTAGATAGCTGAGATGCACTTTAATTATCATAGCTTGTCCATGTTGTTGCACAACGCAGACATATCTACCCATCAAGAATACCTTAATCTTTATAGACAGTTGTAGCCCTTCTGGCACAACATGTATCATTTAAAACTTAGTTCAACTTTAAAATTTTCAAAAGCACCTGTTTATCAATCTACAGAGCTCTTCAAAAACTTATTATCTACCTGCAAAAAGAATATTCGTAAATTACCCCTAGGGCAAAACAAGGTAATATGTCAAAAAGTTGCAGTGTTGTGCAAAAAAATACTGCATATTAATGTATAATATATATACAAAATTTACAGATATCAAATGGTTTCATAGTGTAATGGTTATCATATCGGTCTTTGAATCCGGTGATCCGAGTTCGATTCTCGGTGAGACCTTTTTACCATTTTTACTAACTGTAGTGCGTTCAGCCTTCTTTTTGTTCGTTTATGCAATAATTGCAAAGAACTAGTATTTCGCTTATAAGATCAAACACTGCAGATTATGCCAAATGAATAGAGATTGCATGCTTGTGGCTTCTACAGATACAGAGGGATGAAATAATGTAATGTCGGTGACAAATTTTTGGTAATCAAATTTAGAGCACTCAGCACAAGTGGTAGTGAATCATGTTCATGAAGGTGTTTGGCTATCTGTAGCCTAACAAACTTGATGGGTTAAGGAACTTTTCGGTGTAGAGCATATGTGGGAAACAAGAGCTCAATCATGGAATTGCAACGGGATGATTATAACACAAGTTTACCCAGAAGTCCAGATCTAACATAGCAAATGTTTTCGTCATGTAATTTAACTTTAAATTGTGATTTCGATAAAACTTATGTATTGATTACTCAATAATGAGTACCACAAAGCCAGGCGTATGATTTTAGCATGGCTTGCCTCCTGTTATTCATGCAGTAAAATAGTACTACAAGAATTGATACACTCACATTGTCAAGAAGCTAGCACCAGAGAAATCAGCTTATATATTGACAGCAAATTGTGCTTGTGCAATGTAAGTAAACGACATCTTTGGGTATAAAGCAAAATATTTTGGGGCAAATTGCTGGAACGATGATGAATTAAATACGCAAACCAAGAAAAGATGGAAATTGTGAGTTACAATACCATGTTGTATCACAATCATGATATGGCAACACAACGCCGAGTCAGTGCTACATGAATTTAGTAAACAGCACATTTTTTCAAAAGAAAGGTCCCTCCCTAAAACGGAAGATCGGTCATCCCGCTACGCTTACACAAGTCTATTCGATTGTTGATATATATATAGTGGACAGCCTTCAAAATTTTTTCATTCATCTTTTGATTCCCTTTTCTTCTTCTTCCTCTACATTACATACACTCTTTCCTTTAATTAAATCATACAAATGCTTGAAAATTTGGAACAAAAGAGATCTGTCAAGTTCAAAAGCATATTTCGTCAACAAGTTGACACAAATCAATCCAATTTCAGTCGCAAATCAGCAGCGCATCTAGAGATTTCACCACCTATCCTTCAACATTCAACAAGTATCTTTTCGTTGGTCTCTCCAACAAGAACAGCATTTCAAACATTTTATAATGACAGAAACCAGAATGAAATTCCTTATGAACTTTATCAGCCGTTGTCTTCACCACCGCCCATTCCTCAACAAAAAAGTCCTTACTTAACTACCAACACAGCTAATTCAGTCTCACCCTCTCCACATCGTCAATTGTCTAATGTTACGGCTAGCCATAATGCCAGACAAAACTTTGGGCGTCCTATGCATCCTTTGGAAGTATCTCAACAACAACAACAACAACAACAGATTGGAAGATCTATCAATAATCCAATGCGCCATGTGGATGCTCGTCGTACTCTTGCAAGTGACCCAAGAATGCTTGTCGGTAGTTCTGAAAAGAAAAAGAGTAACCGCAGACATTCCTGTTCATCCACCATGTACAAGTCGGTTGAAAAGGAAGCCAACAACAACAACAGCAGCAGCAGCAGCAAATCTCTCTTACGAAAAGGACGTTGCAGTAGTAAAGTAGGTACATGGTCTCCTTCTGCTGCATCCATTGAGCCTTGTGCCAGCAAATCTACACCGCATAAAGTCAAGACATACAATGTCCCAAAGAAGACAGAGGACATTGAGAAGGAACGTAAAATGCAAGAACTGGAGGACCTGATCACTGGTCGTCGTGGAAGCACATTGAAGCTTAGCTTGACGCCCAAGGGGCTTTCATAATTGAACGAATAATAGGATCAACTCAGTCTGATTTCCAACTTATTTTACATATACTCTATACATTACTACTACTACTTTCTATTTGCTATACTCTAATCTACTATTTATGCCTGCTAGACTCTCATACCATCCCTCCTTAGATTTTTTATTTGCTCCTCATCCCATATTACTATGACAGATTTAAGACATGTCTCTCTGTCAGCCCCTTTACATCTCTTTATATGACAAACCAACTTTTTACATAAACCCTTCTCTTACTAATATCAATTTGATAATGGCAATTAAGACTAAAACATGAAAATTTATAATGTTAAATTGATAGACAGTTCTGGATTTACCGTAGTTTATTGATCCATCCACACAAAATAAAAATAAAAGTTTTTTTTTTTTTTTTTTTTTTTTTTTTTTTTTTTTTTTACATGTAACACAGTGAGATTAGAGTGTGTGGTGCTTGTTCAGCATTTCATTAAAAGGAGACCAAGGCCTTTGAACAAGAAAATGGTGCCATTTTTTTATTGTTTACAAATCTAAGGTGACACCTTGCCACGCTTTATGAGAAATGACATCAAGATGTTGCGATATGCATTTCTCAAGAGCCTTTACTTTTATCCATAAAATCATAAAAGGCTTTTTGAGGCAATTCAACATTACCTGAACAGGTCAAAAAAGTAATTGTTAAAATGAAATCCTTCGCTGTCGTCGCACAAGGTATACATTACCAATCATCTTCATTCTCTTCTTGCCTTCTTTTTGTTTTTGTAAGAGCTTCATCTTTCTTGATACATCTCCACCGTACTACAAGAGATCACATTAGAAGGAAGTTGAATGAGTCTATTTTTTATGCACTTACACATTTGGCAGTGACATTCTTGCGCATGGCAGATACACTGTAAGCAATAATCAACATGAGCATGCAGTCCAATCTATCTTAGGGCGGATTCTTACGTTTCTCTAGCAATAATCTTTGTTCCCAATGCAGTTTGGATGGACACATCAAACAGTTGTCGTTGAATAACACCCTTCAATCTCTTGACCCAATCTCTGCCAACAATGTCAACTTGGCTGCGATGGAGAATGACGGATAATGCGTCCACAGGCTTGGAGTTCAATAGCACACTCATCTATTCAGTACGATCCAGGTGTCAGCACTCTAATCAGTTTTTCTGAATCACACTCTTACCTTGACTAAATCACTGTCTTCATACCCGCCTTCTTCATAATCAAAGGAGGCATATCCAGACGACCTACTCTTCAGCTCATCATAGAAATCTGTCACCACTTCTGCAAGCGGAATTCTGTACTTCATCATCACACGTGTTTCATCAACATAAACATACTCCAATTGCTCTCCTCTGCGAGACTATCATGATGCGGATCAGTAAGCCGTTGCATGCTTGGATAAGTCTATACCTACGCCACACAATTCGATCAATTTACCCATGTATTCCTATAAACGCTCCGTTCAGTAAGCCCCGTTTTCCCATCGCCATCATCCAGCAACTTACATCAGGAAAGATAAGCGTCGCCAGTACCATTGGCTCTTGTAACTTGGACACCTTAAATGAACGCTCCTCTAGATCGGGAAAGTCGGCTGGATTTCTCACTAATTTCGAGGTGCCATCTCTATATACAACTACACGCATCATCAGTACATGAAATTGATAAATCAAACAAAGAGCTACCTTTGTAAGGCACAGTAGGCTGCGTCACAATGATATTGGCATCGTATTCCTGTTATAGTCGCTTGTCAGTAATATTGCTGGCATAGGATACAGTACACCTTACATTCTCCAAACGCTGTCTAAACACATCCATGTGCAATGTCCCCAAGAAGCCCAAACGCCAGCCTTGACCAAGGGCATGGCTAGTCTCTTTATGCACTGTGACGCTTGCATCGTTCAGTGTCAACTTTTTGATGTTGTCGTCTAATTTTCTAAAATCGTTGGTATCCACTGGGAAGATACCGGCAAACACCATGGATTGCGCAGGCTGGAAGCCTGGTAAAACCTCCACCTTCTGACCCAAATGATGAAACGTATCGCCAATATGGGCTTCCGAAGCACTCTTCATACCACAGACGATATACCCTACTTGGCCAGCATGTCTATCATCCCAACGAATAAGCCTTTGGTTTGAGTTTGACACAAAACACTACTTACAAATATCCAGTAGGCATCTGCTCTGGGTGCATAATACCCACTTCCGTGATTTCATACTTGGTATCAGAGTAAGCAGACACAACCTTATCGCCTTTGCGCAGCACGCCATCCTTCATACCAAGCATACACACTACGCCCACGTATTTGTCGTACCATGAATCGAACAACAGTGCTCTGAATGGCTTGTCGATCGAAGCAACGGGCGGGGGCACCTTCTCAATGATGCTCGGTAACACCTTATCAATATTGATGCCTGATTTGGCAGATATCTGTAAAATATCGTCTGTATTCAGCTCAAATGCGCTTTCGATTTGCTTCAGCACTCGCTCAGGTTCTGCGCCAGGCAAATCAATCTTGTTCAAAACGGGTATAATCTCCAAGCCTTCACCAAATGCCAAATAAAAGTTGGCCACAGTCTGTGCTTGGATGCCCTGTGCTGCGTCCACTAACAACAGGGTGCCTTGACATGCAGCCAGTGATCTGGATACCTCGTAGCTAAAATCGACATGTCCCTATACATCACTTGAATTCGTCGTACTGGTGGATACATGTGTTCTATAGTTACAGGTGTGTCAATCAAATTCAGTAGGTATTCTGTGCCCTTGTGGTTGTAAAACATGGAGACTGTCTACAGATCAAACGACATGAGCATACACAGTGGGTCCACTGGCATCCAATCTTACCTGAGCTTTTACTGTGATGCCTCTCTCTCGCTCTACTTTGAGTTTATCCAACACTTGCTTGTTTGATCCTGTTGCTGATATTGTGTTTGTCAATTCCAATAGTCTAAAATGGGCGGTGCGTTCAGATCTCTTTCACTGCTGCATATCCAGAGTGAGTTTACCTGTCTGCCAGTGTACTCTTTCCATGGTCTACAGTGTCATGTCAATGCATTAGATGTGCAAATGTGTATGCTGTTATTTCTCAGTTACCAATGTGAGCAATGATACTGAAATTCCGAATGTTTTCTGCGGGAAACGCTGCTAAATCGATCGACTTGCTAGGATTGGCACCTTTCAGTTTCTATACATGACGGCTCAGTACGATACTCAAGCAAAGCTGCTGTTTTCCTTACTTCAGTGGAGCTTTTTGAGTTCCATCTCTTGTAGATGCATGCGATGGATCCATTGTACAATGATCGTTTGCAAAACAGAATCGAGCTTCGTTGCAAAAACATGGTGATGATGGGACAAAATGTAACACACCCCTCCCCTCTTCAAAAAAGTCAAACATTTATATAGAGTCACCCAAACATTGATTTGCAACAGATTTCATCATCCGAGTCGATTTCCCCGCCTGTTGACAGAAATACATTTAAATGCATTTCCCGACTGATTTCAGCCTCTTTTCTTTCATCTTTTCTTTTATAACCAAAGCATGTTGAGAATATCACAGAGAACCATAAACACAGCCGCACGACGCCAATGGCACACAACTATCGAGCGCCGTGTCTTGACAAGCAGATTACTGAGTGGAAATGTCAAAAAGCCATCCTTATTAGCTGTTGCATTGACCAAGCAGCCCATGGCTAGCATGTACTATGGAGCCAAGCGTTTCTACAATGGTAAGTACCAGCCCACACACTTATCAATGCACATGTGGTCTCATCTTATCGTGATGTCTTGTAAGGCGGTACACCTGGCCAAGGTGGACAAGGATTCAAATTGAACCCCAATCAAGAGCAAGAGCAGCAGAAACCATTGGAGCAATTCGTAAGTTGCAGAGGATATTCAGTATGTATCTCTGCGCAACTAACCGCCTTGTTTATTAAGGGCATCGATCTTACAGCAATGGCAGAGAAGGGTAAACTAGGTAGGTATCGTTAAAATGTTCTGGAGATTTCGATGGCGGACTTTTCCAGTGCTTCCACATTGGTGTACTACAGAAAGCATGTATTGATGCACACTGAATAGATCCTGTTATTGGTCGTGATGAGGAGATCAGAAGAACATTAGAAGGTAAAGCATAACAGAAGGGCCCAAGTCTCGAGAGTGCATGTGTGCTGATACATTTGAATTAGTGTAAGTCAAGTTGCATGATGGGTGATTATCGGCAGCATTTTTTTGATATTTGGCATGCGATGTACAGATTGGCTCGACGTACCAAGAACAATCCAGTCTTGATTGGTGAAGCAGGGTAATTTTAAGATTAGAGTTTTTTATTTTTTGTATGATCAACTAACCCTTGTCATCCTGTAGTGTCGGCAAAACTGCAATTGCTGAGGTAAAAAACATTTGCATGAAACAAGCCTTTTTCACTATGGCTAACTCTGGCTATATTAGGGCTTGGCTCAGCGTATTGTGGCAAATGAAGTGCCCGAATCAATTCAAGGAAAGAGAGTTATAGCTTTGGACTTGGGTGTAAGTAGACGGTATTCTTGGAAGAAGGCTCGCTATTGACATCATTATCGACATGTAGGCTCTCGTTGCAGGTGCAAAGTATAGGTGAGTCATTTCTCAGTCATCCGTCAATAAATACAGAGTCTCACATGCCTCTCAGAGGTGAATTTGAGGATCGGCTCAAAGGCGTTTTGAAGGAAGTGTCCGAGTCAGAGGGAAACATTATCCTGTTTGTAGACGAAATTCACACATTGCTTGGTTTGGGCAAATCTGAAGGTGCCATGGATGCCAGCAACTTGCTCAAGGTAAATGTGCACCAGCAAGTGGAGGAGTGTGAATAGTTATTTATTGACAGCGAAAAATAGCCTGCATTAGCAAGAGGCCAACTGCGATGTGTAGGTGCCACTACCATTGATGAATACCGCAAATACATCATGCAAGATCCTGCTTTGGCTCGTCGTTTCCAGCAAGTCATGGTTGAGGAACCCTCCGTTCAGGATACAATCTCTATTCTACGTGGTCTCAAGGAACGTTACGAAGTACATCATGGTGTGCGTATCTCTGATGCAGCCATCGTAGCTGCCGCCATCCACTCTCATCGATACATTGCAGACCGCTTCCTCCCTGACAAAGCTATTGATCTGATTGATGAAGCATGCTCCAAGCTTCGTCTTCAACAAGAAAGCAAGCCTGAAGCTCTTGAAAACCTCGATCGCCAAATCATGACTCTTCAAATTGAATTGGAGAGTCTGCGAAAGGAAACGGATGTGATGTCTGTTGAACGTCGCGACAAGCTAAAGCAAGATCTCGAAAACAAGCAAAAGGAGAGCGAGCGTCTGTCTGCTGTTTGGAACACGGAGCGTCAGAAACTGGATGAAATCAAAAAGATCAAGGAAGATTTGGAGAAGGCCCGTGTTGATTTGGAACAAGCTCAGCGTGCAGGCAATTTTCAACGTGCCTCTGAATTAAGATATGGTGTCATCCCCAACTTGGAGAAACAGCTGCCAACCGAAAGCCAAGCCGACGACGAGAATACCGAGTCCTTTATCCATGAGAGAGTAACATCCAACGATATCGCTCGTGTGGTTTCTCAAATGACTGGTATTCCCGTCCGCAATCTGCTCAAGGGAGAACGCGAGAAGCTGCTGCACATGGAGGACGTCATGACAGAGCGTGTTGTGGGCCAAGATGAAGCTATCCACGCTGTCGCTGATGCTGTTCGTTTGAGTCGTGCTGGTCTGCAAAACCCTAGTAAACCCATCGCTTCCTTTTTGTTCCTGGGTCCTACCGGTGTTGGTAAAACTGAGCTCTGCAAGACCATTGCCAAGTTCTTGTTTGATACTGAGAATGCCATTGTTCGAGTGGATATGTCAGAATACATGGAGAAGTTTAGTGTCAGTCGTTTGATCGGTTCCCCTCCAGGCTACGTGGGCCATGAAGAAGGCGGTGAATTGACTGAAGCTGTTCGTCGTCGCCCATACGCGGTGGTCTTGCTGGATGAAATGGAAAAGGCACACCGTGATGTATCCAACATCTTGTTGCAAGTCCTGGATGATGGTGTCTTAACCGATACAAAGGGTCGCAAAATCGATTTCCGTAACACCATCATTATCATGACATCCAATTTGGGCGCTGAGGCTCTGGTGCATGATACCAACCAAGAAGGTGTTGTCAGCACGCGTGCCAAGGAAAGTGTAATGGACGCTGTCAGACATAGTTTTGCACCTGAATTCGTCAATCGTATTGATGAGATGGTCATCTTTAATCGACTTTCAAAGAATGCATTGCGTGATATAGTGGATGTGCGTATCAAGGAAGTGGAAGAACGTACAGCAGATCGTCGCATCAAGATTGATGTTGATTTGCAGGCAAGAGACTGGCTGGGAGAGCGTGGTTACGATCCTGCCTATGGTGCCCGTCCTTTGAATCGCTTGATTCAAAAGAAGTTATTGAATCCCTTGGCTCGCCTTTTGATTGACGGCGGTGTACGTACAGGAGAAACAGCAAAGGTTACTGTGGAAACTCTGGACAATGGTGAAACTGAATTGGTCATTCAACGAAATCATGCTCCTGGTACCGCCAGTACTGAAGAAGAAAACTTGACAAAGAAGCACTTGGCCCCTGTTGGAGATGAAGAGGCCGTTCTGGAAGAGGATGGATTGAACAAGGAGAAAAAGAATGACGATGGAGAGTTGTTCTAACGCATTTACAACATATGAAATAAAAACCAAAAAGCTTTTTATATACAATTCATGGATTTACTAGATTTGAAGGCATTATTTTTTGTAGACACAATATAAGCAAGGTCTACAGCACTTTCAACCATGTACCCATACTTTACAATGATGAGGATTATCAGTCCGTGCTTGCGTCAGTCAATTAACCTACTTGTTCAATAATTTCAAATGTATGGATCAAGTTAGTTGACCATAAATAGACACAGCTCTGCGTTGATAAGTAGCAAAAAAAAAGCTCAGTTGTCGTTATCATGTTCTAGCGAGATCTTGCTGTCTTGATGATGAGCAATGTTCTGGAAAGTCGTAAAAAAAAAAGCACAAGGCGCTACATGCACTAGCTTTATAAATTTTAGAAAAAAGGTCTCACCGAGAATCGAACTCGGATCACCGGATTCAAAGACCGATATGATAACCATTACACTATGAAACCATCTGATGTCTGATACGTGTGTATCTTTCTCTTGGTTACTTGGCTCTATCTCGATTTCCTAAAAAGGCAATATACCGTATATGGAAAAGGCGCAATGTGGTGGATTCAAGGTATAATTCTCTAACTTATCTACTATGTCTTACTTGAAGGGTTACTCCTCGTTGGTGTGGTGTTCTGCTGCATTGACACACTCATATAATTGTTGTAAAACTGTATGTTATCTCTTGATGGTGCGTTGATACTGTTATTCTAGTCGATGTGGTCTCTGTGGAATTTGAGGCTTTACAGACTAAAATTCACGGAAAAAAAAGAATAAAAAAAAAACAGTAATGTCAACTTGATAAAGGTATATTTTATTATCAAACTGACAGGTGTAAAGTAAACTGAAGTCTCTCTACTGGCCAGGTAGATGATCCTTCTTATATACTATAACAATGGATAAAAGTTCTATTAATTAGATTCACAAATAAGTCAACTCAGATCAACTAATGTCTAATCATGCCAAAAGACAACTCCAGCAAGCTAATCATGATTTAGCTCTGTCTGGATGAATAATTAGACTCTCATCCGAAGTACCCTGATCTATCCTTTCCATAAGGATAATTAATATCGATCTAGTAGCATGTATCCGATAGGTACAGTCTTCTTAGTCTATATTAATAGTACATATCTGAGTGTATATCGCTAAGCATACATCTTTAGCATGTATCTGGATATATGGCATGTCTATAGCATATCGTATGCATGTCTATAGCATGTCTCATATATAGTACAAGTCTGTAGTACATAAAGTATCTGTAGCTAGTATCACGGATATAAGCATGTGTCTTATAGCGTGGATCATGAAGTGCACATCTGAAGCAACAAGCTCATATTGCATTAATCTTGGTGCCTATCCAGATATGGTAAACATCCGTAGTCAATGTCGGAATACAAGTATAAGTCTATAGTGCCATCCATGTCCGTGGTGCCATCTATAGCCTATATCTTATATAGTATGAATCTTATAGTACTAGCGTATCTGAAGTCCATATCTTCTCATGATCATAGTATAAATCGATATCGTACATCTAATCCAGTGTACATACAGTTTATATCTAAATCTGGTAACTGGATGAACTGTCGGAATGCAGATCATAGTGGATGTATTCCACATTTGCCCCCACCAGTTTCAACGCATGTTGACTAATTCAAAGAATTATGTAAACGATCAATGATCTGTATTTCGCATTCGCTGACAAAGATATAACGCAATGTGATAGTCTAAAGGTGCTACTGCAATTTGCATGTTGCCCTGATATATCCCATGACAAACATCACTTTACTGTTCTGCAACGTTGAGCCTCTTAGAGCCTCTCAAACGCTTGTCAGAATCATCACGCTTACGCTTTGATTTGGAGGAAGCAGTGTCACTATTTAGTGCCTGTCTTCTCTTCTCAAGCAGCTCATATTCCTTGATCTTTGCCCAGTACTTACGAATGGTTTGAGGGTTGTTGAACGATGCAGCAGTTTCCCAGGAGTTGGCAGCTTCTCCAAATGTCTTCCATTTTACCAAATACTCTCTATTGTGTTCAGGACCACGATGCGCTCTGATCTCGTCAACCTCATATACTTCTTGTTCGATGATAGACTCGTCGATTGCTACCAGCTTCAATTCAGATGGCACATAGTCGCGATGTAGTAGTTCATTCATATCGTCTTTCAACACATATGTAGATCTTTTCTTTTGAACAACTTGATAAGGTCCATCATAAGCGGCCTCAAGTTTGCTTTCTCTATGCGGAAGTCTTACCATAACCCAATCACCAACTTTGAAGTGTGTAATCTTGTGATGCTTATTGAATCGCGTTGCTTGCTCTTCAATAATGCGTTGTGTTCTTTGGTTAATAGCTGGAAAGACAACCTGGTTCATAATCTCTGCCTTCTTGCGTAGCTCACCGAGAGTCATAGGCTTCTTTGGTAAGTTGTCCTTGATCTTAGGATCATCGTAGTCTACGAATCTATTCAATGGTCTAGCAAACATCAATTGAAAAGGTGCACTCTCAGTGCGATACCTAATTTTTGTGTTTATAGCCAGTTGAGTTCCAGGTAGAACCGAGTCCCAGTCATAGATGTGTTCACTGACCATCTTACGAAGTGCATTAAGAATATTTTTAACACCTGATTCGGATGCACCATTGCCCCTAGCGTGGAAAGCCGTAGAGTATCTTTGATTGATGCCAAGTGCTTTACCGATCTCGCTCATCAAAGCACTCTTGAATTCACGTCCATTATCAGATTGTAGTATTTGTACTACGCCAAAGTCTCCAAAGATGGTAGTCAGAGCTCTAGCGACAGTATCGGTTTGTTTGTTGGGCAATGCACGAGTTATAATAAATCTGGTGCAAATGTCGTATACAACTAATATATATATATTGCCATTGTTGGTTGGAGTTAACGGACCAAGAAAGTCAATGCCTATGTGATCAAATGGACCATACGCTACAACGTTTCTCAGTTCATGGTAACCCTTTTGAACTACATTGTGTCTTGCACATTCCATACATGATTGACAAATTGCCTTTGCATCATCATATAGACCTGTCCAATGAATACCTTCTTCATGTAGTTTCTTGACAATACTAGCGGCACCAAAGTGTCCAAATTCATGAGTTTCACGAAGCAGTTGGTCTCTCTCATTGTCAGGTGGTGCAATGTAAGCAACGCTTTCATAATTGCCCTCCTTGATCTTCATAGCAAGTACATTCAAGTGCTTGTCTTTGTTATAGACTACTTTGTTCTTGGTTAGATAATGCTTTGTTTGCTTATTGTTGCCAATGAATCGTTTCTTGGAGCCTTTGCTTCTCATGATATTCTTTTGTAATTTAGCAATTTTCTTATCACTGTCTCCCGCCAGCTCTGTATGATCTTCTAAAGGTTCATACAAGCGACTAAGTTTGTCAGGTAAGATGTTGTCTAAGCCCTTGATATGAGTGAATTGCAGTTGGGGATACTCGTTTAAAATCTCCATGTAATTTTGAATGACTCTAGTAGGACATTTACATGTGTAGATATAAATCAGAGCTCGATGATCTGTCATAACCTCAATCTCAGGATGCCCGTACAATAAGGGTCGCAAACGAACTAAACCGAATAACACGGCATACAGTTCTCGTCTCAGGACAGGCCAGTTCTGTTGGGATTTGGTCAGAGATTTGCTCAACATCGCCACATAGACTGTGCGTCCTTGATCGTCGCGCTGCGTCAAAATGACTGCAACTGCATATAAGCTAGCATCACATTCAAGATAAAATTTCTTATTCATGTCTGGTGCAGTCAGTAAAGCTTCAGATAACAAGACCTTCTTGATAATCTCAAGTCGTTTGGTGTGCTTCTCAGTCCATTTGCTACCAGCATCTGGATCATTTCGTAGAGCATCAATAGGCGCCATCAGTTTTGACAGATTTGGGATGTGTGGTCTCAAATATGAAATAACACCAGCTAGTTGTTTAACCTGTTTGGCAGATTTGCATGGACCCCAATGATCAATGTCAGAGAGACGTCGCATGTCAACCTTGGAAACATGAGGACCAACTACAAAGCCTAGCAAGTAGATGCTAGATCGAAACCAGGAGCACTTTTCAACACCAATCTTTAAGTTGGCATGTGTCAAGCGTCTCAGCACCTCCTTAATCAATTCGCAATGACTGGATAAGGATGAAGATACGAGGCATAGGTCGTCCACATAGACCTCCACGTTGGGCATATCAGAAAACAAAATGTTCATGACAGAGCTAAAGACAGATGTGATTGGGCGCAACCCGAAACAGCAGCCTAACCATCTATACGATTTTCCTCTAAAATTGAACAAAAGCACATTTCTTGATATGTCAGAAATTCTAAATGAAAAATATGCGTTTTTCAGATCGATTTTCGAAAATATTGTCCCCTTCTGCTTGATCCGGGTGAAGATATCCTGTATATTTGGTATCTCAAATTGGTTTGTATTGTTGGGCATATGCTGGTTGATCCTCCGCACATCCATACAAACTCGAGTTTTGGTGGGTTTGCCATCATTGTCCTTCTTTGATACTGCAATGAGAGGGCTGTTGAATAAGCCGTTAGGTCTACACTGTTCTACAATTCCTACATCCAGCCATTCATTCAATTGCTTTTCGATTTCGGGCATTGCATGATGTGCGATCGGATATTGCTTGACGTAGTAATCAACATTCTCCTTGATTGGTATAGTGATCTCAGATTCAGGCACGTTACAAAATGTTCCAGGCTTGATTCTCTGATTCTCATCAATAGCATCTTGGATGTTGCTCATATACTTATTCTCCTCAACTTGGGATTCAAAGATTGATGCGGTTTCTGGATCAATAGAATGTTTAGTATCAAAATTGACATTTTCGAAATCGATGCTTTCAAGAAGCTCTGATTTCTCTTCCTCTGTAAGATGTCCAATATCAGCAAACTTGTGAGCAACGCCAGTTAGCCCAATTCTAAGTCGACTTAATGTGTCTACACCCAGTAGCACATCAAAATCGCC